TGCGGCTAACTGATAGACTGCAGGTGAAACATCCCATTGCACAGGGACTTCCTGAGAAAAAACTTAAACCAAGCCTTGAGATTCATTGAGGCAGATAAGGGTCACTTTTCGAGAAGGGAGTGGGTGGGGGGATACCTTTGCAAACGCGATTGGTTCCTGTCTCAAAATAGCCCGGGGTCACTCACCGTGACGATAGGAGAGGTGTAGGGGTCGGGTAGGGCAATGACCATTGTCCTGCACGTGGCCTCAATAACGACCCAGAAGATTCTTGATCGGGGAGGTCACCAGTTGGGCTGGGGTTTCAGTGGCCGCTCTTGTGTCTGAAACAATGGGGCAGCAAAGTTTATTATTATTATATATAAAATAAATATATATATATATATAAACACCCCCTCTGCTGCCTCTATCCATCCAGAAGAATACTGCACGGTACTATAAATGGGTACACCACCAATCTAGATTTGAAGTTTTCGTGACTGCAGGGATCTATACTCTTTGGTTCTTTCGGTAAAGTCACGTAGGTATACCACCAGTTAAGTCGATCGGCAAAGGGGGTGTGTGGTAGGGTGAAGTGTGGGGTCCTCCCTTCTCTGATGCTGATGATGACTCCTTTTCTCTGCCGAGACGTCGGTCAGGACAGCGCTGAAAAAATGTACCCGTAAAAACAATGTTTTTCACTATAAATCCTTTATATGCGTCGCGGCTAGAGTCCTCTCGTCCTCTGGCTTGAGATGGCTGCCACCTATGGGTCAGATGATTGCCTGCCACCATTAAGCAATTGGTAATTAAATAGAATTTATTTTTTCCTAAAAAGTGTAACATTTTTGAAAAAAAAATTCAAGAAAATAAATTGTCACGCACAACGAGTCTGTGTGGAAAATGTCAGCTCGATTGGATCACGGGAAGTGGGTTAAAAAAACGACCGAAAGATTTGCACGGTCGTAAGCGCGCAAGCAAGCAAGCAAGTGAACTTAATATAAAGGATTTAAAAATAGCAAAAACTCTCCTGCCATCTGTAGAGTTTAGAGCTACCTCGAGTGGAGGCCCCTCACGCCAGCAGAGGCGTGAGCAAGCGAGTCCAGGGCTGCACCTTTACCTTTTAGCGCGGCCGGTGCCTTTCAGACCATTTATTTATTTACGTTGGCCACTTATCGTTGATGAGTCCCAGGGATTCATCGCTCAGCGAATTTTCCGCGTCGCTGGTGAGTTCGAGTGCACGTGGCACCTCACTGTTTGCAACCCACAGCCATAAACAGATGTATACTTGATGTGGTATGCCGGAGGGGGGGGGGAGTAGAAATAATTAAGCCCTGGATAAATTCGATTACCAAATCACGTGGGGCGCGTCAGATATCGGAAGCTACGCAGATAGTGATTGGGTGGTCGACCTACCATGCACACAACGGCGAGTGAAGCAAAATCCAACGTTCTCCAACCGGCGTGGGGAAGAATGTTCCAAATAACCTCCACGGCCGTCGTGGCGTGGGGAGGCCCTCATCCAGCAGTGGATCCACACGGGGCTGTGCGTGCGGGGGGGAGCCGGGGAGGGGGGCGGTGGCCGGTGGTCGAGACGAACGACGGAGTGGCAGTCAAAGGAGGGTGTAAGGGGGGGGGGGGCACGTTCACCGCGGAGATGGAGCCACGGGGATCAGCCCGCGTGCAGGCGCGAGATGGATCGAGGAATTGCAAGGCGGTGAGAGGTGACGGATTGGGGAGGCCTTCATCCAGCAGTGGATATATCATGGCTGCTCTTCCTGATGTATTATTATTCTATGCTGTATTTCACCATCGTCTGATTATTTATTCACAAATTACCCACAATACACCACAACGGTGACTAATTGTTATATTTTTTCATATGCCGGTCTGTAACTCGTCTGTGTATCAAGAAGACTCATTTGACTGGCAAGTGCTCACAGAAGAAAAAAAAACAAATCTTTGTTTTAATATTGTGAAGTCCAAACCACTGCTGCCCTCTTGCGGCTAAAGTCTATCAACGCAAGCAATTTGCTCAGCCCGGTCAGGAAAGGTCACGGTCCCGTGATTTAATTTAAAGCCCCCCCCCCCCCACACACACACTTTGAGCAGTGGGGGTTGTGGTTAGCCCAATGTTCTTCACGGAAAAGTCCGCGGGCTACTAGCGGCCCCTGGTATCCATTAGTGGGGCCGCCGAAAATACACAAACGTAAAAACAATCCCGTCGTCCTGCTGTCAAACCGCCAATGGTTTCAAATGTGTGACAGGTCCTCGCACCGATGATTTCCTCTGAAAATGAGTGAAGAACACCGGGTTAGAGCGATGAACCCATCGACATGAGTTCGAATCTCATTTCCCACTGACGGCGTGCGCCAACGACGGGAGCACGTCTATGGGCACCCCTAAACTTCACGATATTTTTTGTATTTTACCAGGTAAGGCCCATTGAGCTAAATAGCTCTTTTTCAGAAGCGACCTGGCCACAAATGATAGCTCAAACGAAGTGGCTCAGCGTGTGGACATGTTTAGCAGCCAAGCACTCGAAACGCGCGATGTTGATTCTAAACGTGGAGTAGAAAAACCGGAGAACCCGGAGGAAAAATCCACGCGACCACGGCGAGAGAGAGAGACCGCAAACTCCAAATATACAGCAGTTGGCATCAGGGTCGGGTTCGAACCCACGACCTCCTGCATACCAGGCGAGGTAGTTAACATCTCCTAGCCACCGTGATGATGATGAGAGAGAGAGACACGCAAACTACAAATATACAGCAGCAGGCGTCAGGGTCGGGATCGAACCGACGACCTCCTGCATACCAGGCGAGGTAGTTAACATCTAGCCACCGTGATGATGATGAGAGACACCGCAAACTCCAAATATACAGCAGCAGGCGTCAGGGTCGGGTTCGAACCCACGACCTCCTGCATACCAGGCGAGGTAGTTAACATCTCTTCGCCACCGTGATGATGATGAGAGAGACACCGCAAACTCCAAATATACAGCAGCAGGCGTCAGGGTCGGGATCGAACCCACGACCTCCTGCATACCAAGCGAGGTAGTTAACATCTCATAGCCACTGTGATGATGATGAGAGACACTGCAAACTCCAAATATACAGCAGCAGGCGTCAGGGTCGGGTTCGAACCCACGACCTCCTGCATACCAGGCGAGGTAGTTAACATCTCCTAGCCACCGCTATGATGATGAGAGAGACACCGCAAACTCCAAATATACAGCAGCAGGCGTCAGGATCGTGTTCGAACCCACGACCTCCTGCATACCAGGCGAGGTAGTTACATCTCCTAGCCACCGCTATGATGATGCGAGAGAGAGAGACACCGCAAACTCCAAATATACAGCAGCAGGCGTCAGGGTCGGAATCGAACCCACGACCTCCTGCATACCAGGCGAGGTAGTTAACATCTCCTAGCCACCGTGATGATGATGAGAGAGAGAGACACCGCAAACTCCAAATATACAGCAGCAGGCGTCAGGGTCGGGATCGAACCCACGACCTCCTGCCTACCAGGCGAGGCAGTTAACATCTCTCTACCGTGGCACCTCAATACCAAATTCCCGGAAGATGGGGGCTGTAGGGGAAAGGAGGGTGTTGGCAGAGTGGTTGTGATTACGCTTGTATACCTAACAAAGCCTCAGTCCGAGTCGAATCATTGTTAGGAGGGTTATTATCAGTTTGGGGCGATGGATTGCTCTGTACTTTATATTCCAGTTGAGTCACGGGGGTCCTGACCGAGACGGAGACCATCATTGATGCTCGCTGTACTCGAGCGAAAACGGTTCAATCACAACGAAGCATCACAACCAATCACACATATTCGTGCTGCTTGTTTTAGTATTTTATTTATTATCCAACCTTACAGTAAACACCCATGCGTGCCTTTTACTTGCACGGTGTTGTTGTTGTCTGACATACGTCAATAAGCGACTCTGTTTGCTCTAACCGGGTGAGAAGCCTCGTTTGTACCAGCCACCGCACGTGGAGATGAGCTGGGGGGTGGTGGTTGGTGGTGTTGGTGGTGGTTGGTGGTGTTGGTGGTGGCGCATCTCGATTAAAAAACGTACTTCTTCAGAACCGCTTTTTGGGTTTAGTTTGTTGTCCTTACCCCGCCCCTGCGAGCAGTGCGGTTGGCTACGTACGGTGCGAAAGAAGTTCAACATACAAACATCTGCTTGTACCCAGTGCCGGACTATCCTAGCAGCAAAAGTAGCTACATATGCTACGGGCACCGCACTTTCAAGGGCCCCCGCGCTAAATGCTTTCAAGCTATCAATTCCGGTTCGGTGATTCTGCACTATTACTAGACTACTATACTGCCTTCAACTTTTAAGAACGACTGGGTGTCGTATTATCTGGCTGTAGAGCACATGAAAAAATACATTTACAGTACTTTACTATGCAAGTAAAAAAAATTTGTGTTTTAATATTTACGTGTTTATTTATTTAAGGCCCCTTTATAACAGATGCTACAGGCCCCGCACTTAGCTTAATCCGGCACCGCTTGTACGCTATGGATAACGGTGTGTGTAGGCACGATTTGGAATGTGACTGCCATTTGGTCTGGTTCACTGGTTCACCGGCTCCGCGGCGCCAAGGTGAATCATTTCGCCTCGATGGAAAAGAGTCCCAGGCCACGGCGCTGGTTGCACGTTGGCACAAGCGCGAAGACAAGGACAGAGATTGTTTTGGAAGAAAATGGAAAAAAAACTGAAAAAACTGCAGCCGAACGTCGGTGACATTCGCGTGAAAACGCGTCAACGCATTTTTCTATCGGTTCAATAAAAAAATATGAAGCTAAAATGTTCACTCCAGTAATTGCCAAACATTTAGTCCGGAGAGCCTCGCCGAGGATGTATGAGCGCTTTGTTGGAGGAAGAGAACGATTCCACCCCCTGTTAACCAGGCTCAAGCGGGCTTAGCATCCGCAGCAAAATCCCATTTCGGGATTCGGTGGAATTACCGAGTGCTCAACGGGCCAAGCAAAGGTATCCGTGCAAGATAAACAATCGGCGCGCACGCACACAACGCCACGTGACAACACAACCCCACGTGACGATGGTGAAACCAGCATTTGTTTCAGAGGTCTGTCTCTGTGACGAGACCCCGAAAGGGCGAATCCGGGTCCAGAGTTTGTATTCTCAAACAACCGATTTGTCAACGGCGGGCAGCAGAGGACGGTGCAACAAAATCCACTTTTGTCCTGCACGGTGCACTTGCTTTCCTGCCGCGTCTAGAGTCAACGCCTTCACCCATCCGTACTCACCAGCGTGGCGAAGTTTGGTCAAAGAAGGCCTCAAACCCCGCTCAGGTATCGGGAGGGCCTCGTTCAGGAGTGGATTGACAGGAGGGCCTACACGCGTGCATTTACAACATCATTCTGGACGGCTCCTAGGCTAAAACATTTCTTTCCTCTTTATGCGGAAAGATGAAGGCGGTCTATTTGTGAACGTATTTACCCACAGTGCTCCACACAGCTCAGCAGGCTGCAGAAAGCTCAAGCTGAAAATATTTATTTTTAAACATTTTACTTGAAAGATAAATTAGTTAATTTAATTCATACGTCTTGATTAACGAAAGGTTGTGTCTGCTACTCAATAGCTATTTGTAGGTAACTATTCATATGCCGATATAAAACATGGTTATTAGAAACTAATGTTTAAAATATAATTCTGATCAGGCCCCATGGCGTAAAGTGCATTTTCCAACTTTTATTATCAACTGATTATTATTATTATTCACTCTATTTCTACGGCCTCTATTTTATCGCGGTGGTGCGGGGATGGTTTCTCCTTCGCCTTGTACGCAGGAGGTGGTGGGTTCAATCCCGGACCTTGACGATGCCTGTCGCTGTATATTTGGAGTCCACGTGCTCTGTCTCTCCCTGTGGTGGTCGCGTTAATCTCTCTCCGGTTTTTCCCTCCGCATTTACAAACGGACCATGCGTTTAGATGATTTGCCCGCTACTATAAATTGCCACACGTGGTGACGCTCTAAAGCCACTTCGATGAGCAATAAACTCACGCATGGACAGGCCGCCTCTGTAAAAGAGCTAATAGCTCAGCAGGCGCTACCTGGTAAAATAAAATGAGAGTATTATGAAAGAGGGCCGTTGGCCCGAAACGTCGCCTATTGTATATATTTTTGTTTCTTTTGAAGGCCATACTCAACAGACACACACACGTTGGTGTTGAGGAACGCGTGGAGTTTTCTGAGGGCACGAGAGAGCCGGGGAGAGTCGGTGGTGCTACCGAACGCTGGCACGCGAACGCTGGCACGTTCCCCCATCGCGACGGGCAGGCAGAAGAACCGGCCGCCGCTTCAGTACCAAGTCGGAGAGAACTTCAACTCCAACACCAAGCGTGGGGGGATGCCCACCCTGGCATCTGTCTGTCCATCCGTGGGATGCCTCGGTGTGTCCCACGTGCCTTCTCTCGTTTGTGTCTACACCGTTAGCTCCTCAGCCGTCTTTGTATCTCACAACCCGGCCCACCCAATGTTCACCTCTCCACCGAGTCAAGGCGAAGTTGTCTCCCTGACACAAATGAGCGCAGGGGCTGTCGTCGATGACGGTCAGTGGACATTCCACACTGCTATGGCGGGAGACAGTTTGTCCGCAGGTAGGCCACCGCTGACTTCACAGAAAGTGATGTTTGCTGTCGTTGATCCTTGAGGAATGATGATGGAGCTGCCGATGAGGAGTTCATGATGATGATCAGCTGATTACAGGCCACGTGGACGATGACAATGATGATGACAGTGACGTGGACGATGATTATACTTGTGTCGATGATGGTGGTGACGCACAGAGTTGATGATGACAATAATGACGGTAATGACGTGGGGTCTAGTGAATGATGACAACAATTATGTCGCTGTAGATGATGGAGTTAATGATGACGATGAAAATTGTGATGGTGGTGATGATGATGATGATGAAAACGACAACAATCTATCACGGCCTGACCGAAAACCGAAGATTTCACCCATGCACTTCCTCCTGTGTGTCGATGGTTCCAACCTTGGTGCTGGATACGATCAGCAGCAGAGGAGGCAGTGGCACAATAGTGTGGTTGGCACGGGCCCTGGTGCAAGAAATAAAATCAGGGATCGCCTCTGTCCAAATTCCCCACTTCGACGCAGCCCTGCGGCTGGGGCCCCCTGCCCCCTGGCCTGTGAGGCCCTGGGGCAGTTGCACCGCCTGCGCACTCGACAGCTACGCCGGTGGGAGGAGAGGAGTTCTCAGCAGCATCGTCGAGGTTTCTTCCCCGCGTCCTCCGTGCCCAGCTGCAGGTAACCTCCATCGGACAGGTGACTCGGCTCCCCGGCACCTCCCACACACAGCATCTCCTCTACCAACACCCTGGTAGGAGGGGGGAGGGGGGGGCAGCGGGGGCGAAGGGGAGGGGGGAGGGGGGGCAGCGGGGGCGAAGGGGAGGGGGGGGGCAGCAGGGCTGGATTGACATTTCAGGCCATGGCACCACCTTCACGGCGCATGGAGAGGCCAGATAAATCCTACAGCGGTGGTTTTGGAAATTAAATTCATAATCACAGCAATAATAATTTCGGATTTTTAAAGGAACTTATACGTCAAGACATCCCAAAGCGTTGTTTATGAAGCAGAACGATTAAAATGTGAATGATTTCAAAAATGCAAGTTAAATAAAAATTGCACAAACCTATATACTGTACAGCCGAATCAAGACACAGCGAAACCAAGCGCACAGTCGGCACTAAAACCTCTGTTGTGTTGGGCTTTCAGTGGAATGCAGAAGAAAATATGATACAAACCCGTGAAGTCAAAAGGAGACAGTTAAACATGTAAAAACTAACTAGAATAGTAAAAGAGAAACCCAATAAAAATACCAAAAACCGATATAACAGCAATAAAACTACCGGACTCGAATTACAGTACAATCAAAGATAACATAATAATAATAACAACAAGGTCACTTTGTCTATAACTACTAGTTACATGCCGAACATTTCTAAAATCTTGTTGGTTTGGGCTTTGATTTAACCTGTACCATTCGCACATCACGTTCAACAACCAGAAACTAAAACTGCCACCGTGCGGGGGAAGGGGGGGGGCAGAAGGTCACGAGAGCTCGCGCCGTGACCCTTGACCCCTGAACCTGGAGCGGATTGCCGACGGATGGACGGCACGTACCGTATGGACTCCGTGATGTTGTGGTTCATCTTCACGGATGTCTCCGCCCAGCCCAGGAACCCCGAGTCCCGGCTGAACTGCTCGATCTCAGCCCGGCTCACAGCCCAGTCGGGCAGGTCGCTCTGCAGAGGGAAGGATGATGATGCTGACTTTTGCTTAAGTACCACAGGACCATCATCTCGATTTAAAGCTTTCGTGACTGCAGGGATTCATCTTCTTGGTTCTTTCGGTAAAGTCACGTAGAAGGGAAATAATAAAATAATAAAAATAAAACATAATAAAATAATTCTCATGACGTTTTGGCCACAACGCAAGCAGCCGTCCTCAGGTGAAGAACAGGTATGTCTGTGTTCATTCAGACACTGTCTTTCCGACAGACCTGTTCTTCACCTGAGGATGGCTGCTTGCGTTGTGGCCGAAACGTCGTGAGAATTATTTTATTATGTTTTATTTGTATTATTTTATTATTTCCCTTCTATGTGACTTTACCGAAAGAGCCAAGAAGAGGACCATCATCGTTATTTTGACGCTCGTTTAACCAGAGAGAGCTTGGCCGAGTCTCAAGATCTTTTTTTTCTGAAGCCCCTGGCCATGTTTTCTCGCTCTAAGGGTGGCGATGTTTGTTGCAATACGTAATCCCAATTGAGCGATTTGCCAATACGTTTTCGTTAGTGTGTTGTTTGGCCAATACCGGTACCACGGAATGTTTATGTTAAAACAATTTGAGCTTTTGGAGGAAACCGCAGAACCCAGAGGAAAACACACGATGTATGGGGAACTTCTTTTGTACCATACGTAGCCAACCGTGCGCTGCTAATTCGAGGTGCGGGGGAAAGGACAACAATCTCAACGCAAAAGGCAGTTCTAAAGAAATGAGTTTTCAATCTTGATTTAAAAGTGCATAGCTCCAGTTGCTTCCTAACAGGACAAGGGGAGAGAGAACATACAAACTCCACGCAGGGAGGCGTCCCCAGTCGCGAATTGAACCCAGGCCCTTAGTGCTACGGGGCGCGGCACGAGTGCTACCGCTGCACCACTCTGCCGCGCACCGTGCTGCGAGCTCGATTCGCACGGTGGGCTACGTACGGTACGAAAGAAGTTCAACAAACGTACGTACACAACCAAAGATGAATTTCTCACTCTCGCCAATTAACGCCGTGTAAGCCGGCAATACAAAGAAAACGGTTTAAAGAGCGGCGAGTTTTAAAGTGCAGCCCTGCAAGTATTTCAATCAATCGGTCTTCGATTCGAGTGCCAATATCGCCCCCAATAAAGCAGGCATCAGTGCATCATTACAGCAGAACGGGAGAAGAAACCCATCACGACATCGGCGGCTAACACCGACTGAGCAAAGTAAAGTGCAACCGCGAGCAGTGAATAGCAGAAGGAAGGTAAGTAGTCGACAAATAAATAATTTGTATAAAAAAAACATAAATTTTTTTCCTCCTCGATTTCAGATTTGCTCACTCCAGTGCTGGCAGAAGGGGCCTCCACTGGAGAAATCCCGTTTCGAGAGAGGGTATTTTGGCCTACTCTTCCAGGCTAACCAGACATATTGGAAGAGGAGGGGAGTTACCCAGACTTTACCCCACCTCACGTGACCTGCTGAATGGAGCAAGGTGGGGGGCAAGGGCAGGGGGGGTTAAGAAACTTGCTCCATTGTTTCAACTGCCACACCGAGAGATCGAATCAAACCGGTGAGAGCAGTGTGCTCACAATTAGACCAGGGCAGAATCTCAAACTACAGTCCACAAATAAATGTAAGTAACGCTTAGTAGTGGCAACAACAACAAAAACAACCACATAAACATCAGATGACTGATTTCATTGCGACTGTGCAAAGGCTGCACAGGCAACGTAACGATGTCGAAAGGACCTTGCTGATGAACCTCAATTACATTGAAACCGGTCCATTGAAACGGGTGCTACAAATGATTTCAAGAACACAGGATGAGATGTTACTCGCCTTTTTGCAAGCACTTCCAAGAGTTCATGAACAGTGAGCCTGGTGAAATTTGGGGAGCGCATCGTCAGTAGTGTACCTTTGGTTCCTAGGGTGTTTCAGCCTTTCACACTATACACCCTCCCCAAAGGCGGCCAGCGACCGGGTGATCAATCCTACGCTTGCGTCCCATTCCCAATTAGTCATAGGAGTTGCCTTGTTGTTGATAGCCAACAAAAAAAATAATGGCACGGAAAACCTGGGATCGGCTGATGTTTACTTGAATGTCATGTTCTACGTGGAGAAGCAATCTTGTTTGTTTACTAAATAGCGTATTACCCATAATCCCCCCCCCACACCGTGGGGTCACGTGATTGCTACTGCATGCACGTGGCCCACGCAGCTGAGTGAGAAATCGCGACCAATGCCATTAGCAACGCGGCGACCGAAACGTCGATCAATAATCTCCCGGTCTCCAGATCAGCAACAACTTGAGTCATAATTCCCCCGCCACATTTTGTATGAAAAAAATGTTGCCGTACCGATTGCGTTTCTCGGTAAGGTGGTGCGCGATAACTTTGCACGCAAGTGCATCTTGAATGTGGGTTGGTGAGTCGATGGGCGGGTGGAAGTGTGGGTGAACGAAGGATTTGCGTCAGTGGGCGATCAGCCGAACGAACGAGTGGGTAAATGAATGTGTGCGTGGGGCGGGTTTATGAATGGGTGAGTGAATGCGCAAGTGAGTCGGTGAATGAGTGAGTGGATGGATGAGTGAGTGGATGGATGGGTGAGGAGATGAATGGTTGAGTGGGTGCGTAGGTAAGTAGATTAATGTGACCGATTGAATATGTGGGTGAGTCTGTTCACGAATTCATGAACGAGTAGCGGAAAAATTGAGTGGATGAATAAATGAACGGGTTGATGAGTGTGTGGGTGAGTATAGTAAGGATCTGGTTGAGTATATGAATGAGTGGGCGAATATGGTGAGGATGCAGATGAGCGGTGACTGGGTGAGTATGGTGATGATATAGGTAAGTAGATGAGTGAGTATGTAAATGAGTGAGGGGGTGAGGATGGTACAGATGTGGCAGAGTCAATTAACGCGAATGGTGAGTGTTTGGGTTAGTGCAGGGGTCGGCAACCAAAATAACAAGAAGAGCCATTTCTTTCCAATTCGGTACAAAATTCAGTATTTCAAGAGCCGCAATGCATCTGAGTACATACTGTACATACGTACATATCGTCAAGAAGCAGCCCGTAAAGAGCCGCATGCGGCTCCAGAGCCGTAGGTTGCCGACCCCTGGGTTAGTGGATGAGTGAATATTTGAGTGAGTGAGCAAATAAGCTTGCGCGTGAACATGGTAAGGATGCGAGTGAGTCGGTGAGTCAACGAGTGAGTAGGTGAGTGAGCGGGTGAGTAGGTGAGCGAGCAGGTGAGCATGGTAAGGATGCGGGTGAGTAGGCGAGCGAGCGGGTGAGTATGGTAAGGATGCGGGTGAGTAGGCGAGCGAGCGGATGAGTAGGCGAGTGAGCGGGTGAGTAGGCGAGCGAGCAGGTGAGCATGATAAGGATGCGGGTGAGTAGGCGAGTGAGTAAGTGAGTCAATGAGTGAGCATGGTAAGGATGCAGGTGAGTAGGCGAGCGAGCAGGTGAGCATGGTAAGGATGCGGGTGAGTAGGCGATTGAGCGGGTGAGGAGGAGGCGATTGAGTGGGTGAGTAGGCGAGTGAGTGGGTGAGCATGGTAAGGATGTGGGTGAGTAGGTGATTGAGCGGGTGAGTAGGCGAGCGAGCGGGTGAGTAGGCGAGCGAGCAGGTGAGCATGGTAAGGATGCGGGTGAGTAGGCGATTGAGCGGGTGAGGAGGAGGCGATTGAGTGGGTGAGTAGGTGAGTGAGTGGGTGAGCATGGTAAGGATGCGGGTCAGTAGGTGATTGAGCGGGTGAGTAGGCGAGCGAGCGGGTGAGTAGGCGAGCGAGCAGGTGAGCATGGTAAGGATGCGGGTCAGTAGGTGATTGAGCGGGTGAGTAGGCGAGCGAGCGGGGTGAGTAGGCGAGCGAGCGGGGTGAGTAGGCGAGCGAGCGGGGTGAGTAGGCGAGCGAGCGGGTGAGGAGCGGTGGGCGATGCTAAAGGACGCGTGTGCCTTGTTGGCGAGCAGGATGCACGAGATGGGCCTCCCGTCGGGCAGGAAGGCCTTGGAGTCGAGGTCGCTTTTCCACTTGAGGCAGTTGTGGAAGGAGGGCAGGGAGGTCACGTCGAATATCACGATGCAGCCGGCCGCGTCCTTGTAGTAGAGCCGCGTCATGGACGTGAACCGCTCCTGCCCTGAACGCACGCAGCAGACCCACGGGGAACTCTCGCTCTTAGCCCTGAACGCACGCAGCAGACCCACGGGAAACTCTCGCTCCTAGCCCTGAACACAAGAGGCAGACCCATGAGAAACTCTCGCTCTTAGCCCTGAACGCACGCAGCAGACCCACGGGAAACTTTCGCTCCTAGCCCTGAACACAAGAGGCAGACCCATGAGAAACTCTCGCTCCTCGCCCTGAACGCCAGTGGCAGACCCACGGGAAGCTCTCGCTCCTAGCCCTGAACGCGAGAGCCAAACCCACGGGAAACTCTCGCTCCTAGCCCTGAACGCGAGGGGCAGACCCACGGGAAACTCTCGCTCCTAGCCCTGAACGCGAGAGGCAGACCCATGAGAAACTCTCGCTCCTAGCCCTGAACGCAAGAGGCAGACCCACGGGAAACTCTCGCTCCTAGCCCTGAACGCAAGAGGCAGACCCACGGGAAACTCTCGCTCCTAGCCCTGAACGCGAGAGGCAGACCCACGGGAAACTCTCGCTCCTAGCCCTGAACGCGAGGGGCAGACCCACGGGAAACTTTCGCTCCTAGCCCTGAACACAAGAAGCAGACCCACGGGAAACTTTCGCTCCTCGCCCTGAACGCGAGAGGCAGACCCACGGGAAACTTTCGCTCCTAGCCCTGAACGCGAGAGGCAGACCCACGGGAAACTCTAGCTCCTAGCCCTGAACGCGAGAGGCAGACCCACGGGAAACTCTAGCTCCTAGCCCTGAACGCGAGAGGCAGACCCACGGGAAACTTTCGCTCCTAGCCCTGAACACAAGAGGCAGACCCACGGGAAACTTTCGCTCCTCGCCCTGAACGCGAGAGGCAGACCCACGGGAAACTCTCGCTCCTAGCCCTGAACGCGAGAGGCAGACCCACGGGAAACTTTCGCTCCTAGCCCTGAACACAAGAGGCAGACCCACGGGAAACTTTCGCTCCTCGCCCTGAACGCGAGAGGCAGACCCACGGGAAACTCTCGCTCCTAGCCCTGAACGCGAGAGGCAGACCCACGGGAAACTCTCGCTCCTAGCCCTGAACGCGAGAGGCAGACCCACGGGAAACTCTCGCTCCTAGCCCTGAACGCGAGAGGCAGACCCACGGGAAACTCTCGCTCCTAGCCCTGAACGCGAGTGGCAGACCCACGGGAAACTCTCGCTCCTAGCCCTGAACGCGAGTGGCAGACCCACGGGGAACTTTCGCTCCTCGCCCTGAACGCGAGAGGCAGACCCACGGGAAACTCTCGCTTCTAGCCCTGAACGCGAGAGGCAGACCCACGGGAAACTTTCGCTCCTCGCCCTGAACGCGAGAGGCAGACCCACGGGAAACTCTCGCTCCTAGCCCTGAACGCGAGAGGCAGACCCACGGGAAACTCTCGCTCCTAGCCCTGAACGTGAGAGGCAGACCCACGGGAAACTCTCGCTCCTAGCCCTGAACGCGAGAGGCAGACCCACGGGAAACTCTCGCTCCTAGCCCTGAACGTGAGAGGCAGACCCACGGGAAACTCTCGCTCCTAGCCCTGAACGCGAGAGGCAGACCCACGGGAAACTCTCACTCCTAGCCCTGAACGCGAGAGGCAGACCCACGGGAAACTCTCGCTCCTAGCCCTGAACGCGAGAGGCAGACCCACGGGAAACTCTCGCTCCTAGCCCTGAACGTGAGAGGCAGACCCACGGGAAACTCTCGCTCCTAGCCCTGAACGCGAGAGGCAGACCCACGGGAAACTCTCGCTCCTAGCCCTGAACGTGAGAGGCAGACCCACGGGAAACTCTCGCTCCTAGCCCTGAACATGAGAGGCAGACCCACGGGAAACTCTCACTCCTAGCCCTGAACGCGAGTGGCAGACCCACGGGAAACTCTCGCTCCTAGCCCTGAACGCGAGTGGCAGACCCACGGGAAACTCTCGCTCCTAGCCCTGAACGCGAGAGGCAGACCCACGGGAAACTCTCGCTCCTAGCCCTGAACGCGAGAGGCAGACCCACGGGAAACTCTCGCTCCTAGCCCTGAACGCGAGTGGCAGACCCACGGGAAACTCTCGCTCCTAGCCCTGAACGCGAGTGGCAGACCCACGGGGAACTTTCGCTCCTCGCCCTGAACGCGAGAGGCAGACCCACGGGAAACTCTCGCTTCTAGCCCTGAACGCGAGAGGTAGACCCACGGGAAACTTTCGCTCCTCGCCCTGAACGCGAGAGGCAGACCCACGGGAAACTCTCGCTCCTAGCCCTGAACGCGAGAGGCAGACCCACGGGAAACTCTCGCTCCTAGCCCTGAACGTGAGAGGCAGACCCACGGGAAACTGTCGCTCCTAGCCCTGAACGCGAGAGGCAGACCCACGGGAAACTCTCGCTCCTAGCCCTGAACGTGAGAGGCAGACCCACGGGAAACTCTCGCTCCTAGCCCTGAACGCGAGAGGCAGACCCACGGGAAACTCTCACTCCTAGCCCTGAACGCGAGAGGCAGACCCACGGGAAACTCTCGCTCCTAGCCCTGAACGCGAGAGGCAGACCCACGGGAAACTCTCGCTCCTAGCCCTGAACGTGAGAGGCAGACCCACGGGAAACTCTCGCTCCTAGCCCTGAACGCGAGAGGCAGACCCACGGGAAACTCTCGCTCCTAGCCCTGAACGTGAGAGGCAGACCCACGGGAAACTCTCGCTCCTAGCCCTGAACGTGAGAGGCAGACCCACGGGAAACTCTCACTCCTAGCCCTGAACGCGAGTGGCAGACCCACGGGAAACTCTCGCTCCTAGCCCTGAACGCGAGTGGCAGACCCACGGGAAACTCTCGCTCCTAGCCCTGAACGCGAGAGGCAGACCCACGGGAAACTCTCGCTCCTAGTCCTGAACGCGAGTGGCAGACCCACGGGAAACTCTCGCTCCTAGCCCTGAACGCGAGTGGCAGACCCACGGGAAACTCTCGCTCCTAGCCCTGAACGTGAGAGGCAGACCCACGGGAAACTCTCGCTCCTAGCCCTGAACGCGAGTGGCAGACCCACGGGAAACTCTCGCTCCTAGCCCTGAACGCGAGTGGCAGACCCACGGGAAACTCTCGCTCCTAGCCCTGAACGTGAGAGGCAGACCCACGGGAAACTCTCGCTCCTAGCCCTGAACGTGAGAGGCAGACCCACGGGAAACTCTCGCTCCTAGCCCTGAACGCGAGTGGCAGACCCACGGGAAACTCTCGCTCCTAGCCCTGAACGCGAGGGGCAGACCCACAGGAAACTCTCGCTCCTAGCCCTGGACGCGAGAGGCAGACCCACGGGAAACTCTAGCTCCTAGCCCTGAACGTGAGAGGCAGACCCACGGGAAACTCTCGCTCCTAGCCCTGAACGCGAGAGGCAGACCCACGGGAAACTCTCGCTCCTAGCCCTGAACGCGAGAGGCAGACCCACGGGAAACTCTCGCTCCTAGCCCTGAACGCGAGAGGCAGACCCACGGGAAACTCTCGCTCCTAGCCCTGAACGTGAGAGGCAGACCCACGGGAAACTCTCGCTCCTAGCCCTGAACGCGAGAGGCAGACCCACGGGAAACTCTCGCTCCTAGCCCTGAACGCCAGTGGCAGACCCACGGGAAACTCTCGCTCCTAGCCCTGAATGCAAGAGGCAGACCCACGGGAAACTCTCGCTCCTAGCCCTGAACGTGAGAGGCAGACCCACGGGAAACTCTCGCTCCTAGCCCTGAACGTGAGAGGCAGACCCACGGGAAACTCTCGCTCCTAGCCCTGAACGCGAGAGGCAGACCCACGGGAAACTCTCGCTCCTAGCCCTGAACGCGAGAGGCAGACCCACGGGAAACTCTCGCTCCTAGCCCTGAACGCCAGTGGCAGACCCACGGGAAACTCTCGCTCCTAGCCCTGAACGCCAGTGGCAGACCCACGGGAAACTCTCGCTCCTAGCCCTGAACGCAAGAGGCAGACCCACGGGAAACTCTCGCTCCTAGCCCTGAACGCACGCAGCAGACCCATGGGAAACTCTCGCTCCTAGCCCTGAACACAAGAGGCAGACCCACGGGAAACTCTCGCTCCTAGCCCTGAACGCAAGAGGCAGACCCACGGGAAACTCTCGCTCCTAGCCCTGAACGCAAGAGGCAGACCCACGGGAAACGCTCGCTCCTAGCCCTGAACGCGAGGGGCAGACCCACGGGAAACTCTCGCTCCTAGCCCTGAACACAAGAGGCAGACCCACGGGGAACTCTCGCTCCTAGCCCTGAACGCGAGAGGCAGACCCACGGGAAACTCTCGCGCCGAGCCCTGAACGCGAGAGGCAGACCCACGGGAAACTCTCGCGCCTAGCCCTGAACGCGAGAGGCAGACCCACGGGAAACTCTCGCGCCTAGCCCTGAACGCGAGAGGCAGACCCACGGGAAACTCTCGCTCCTAGCCCTGAACGCGAGAGGCAGACCCACGGGAAACTCGCGCTCCTAGCGCTGAACGTGAGTGGCAGACCCACGGGAAACTCGCTCAGAGCCCTGAACGCAAGAGGCAGACCCATTCGCCTGGCAGAAGCACCGTGGTGACGTCATCGCCACTTAGTGCTCGCTAACAGCACTTGCCCCTACAGTCTGTTAAGGCTATACGGGGGATGCTTGCCTTTGTTTTGGAGACTGGTGACAAAATGACAATGAGATCAGCTGATATGCAGGAATGCAATTGGGCTAGATGAAAGGTGGAAATCGCAGAGCAGCGTGGGATGGCGACGGGGTGGGGTAAGCCTTCATCCAGTAGTGGATAGACCATGGCCCGTGATAACGATGACAGTACCTGCTACGTCCCATAGTTGGAGTCTGACCGTCTCGGTCTCGGACCACTGGATGATTTTCAGAGCGAAATCCACTGCAGGTTCGAAAGACAAACAACAACAACAACAGACGTTCTCTCACAACAAGCAGACACAACCAAGACAACGATCACGTTCATATCGTCTAGCCAGGTGAGAACTACAGGATACCAGGATGACTCTCATTTGGGGCCGTCCATAAATGACGTCACGCGATTTTGGACGATTTTTGACCCCCCCTCCCCCATCGTCACACGGCGTCACAAAAAGTCAGACCCCCCCCCCCTCAAATATGATGTAAAAAAAAATAAAACATGCTTCAAATCATCTTCTTGGTTCTTTCGGTAAATCATCTTCTTGGTTCTTTCGGTAAAGTCACGAAAGAACCAAGAAGATGAATCCTATTGTCCTTGTAGTGCGTATTTAATGTGGCGCTGCACTCTGATGTTGTAGGAGAAACATTTATTAAAAAGTCTATTTAATTAAGTAGAACGTGTTGTCTATATTTATTTAAAGTTGCGCATTTTAATGCGACGTCACATTTCTCACCCCCCCCCCTCGTCGTCACACATCGTCACAAATGTCTGACCCCCCCCCCCCACCAGGTGTGTGACGTCATTCATGGACGGCCCCTTTGCAAAACTTTATGTCGTCGCTAATTGGGCAAGATGTAACAATTGTCGTACGTACTACAAGTTCAAGTGTCGAACATTTTTTGTTTAACCAGGTGGGAACTCAAAGAGACCAAGTTAATGTAATTCGCGAGTGTCACCTGGAGTATTAATTAGTCTCCCAGCAGGGGGTGATTATTGCTGTTGTGTGTCGAAGCCCCCATTGAGTTGTTTGCATGTAATTTTCGAAATTGGAAATGTTTTGTGCAATATTTTATATTTATCAAGGTACACAGATGTTTTTGCTCTGCTTTCTCTTATCTTCTCGGCTTTATTAAAAAAAAATCATTATTTTTTATATTACCCTTGCGAATGAGACTCAACCCCGCTCTCATACGTTTTCACCTGGGTCACACAAAATAAACTTCATTAACTTGACTCATTTGAGGCCGGTACCGTACACACGTGCGGTGTGTGGGAGGGGGGGGGGCCAACACCATGCCCGGCCGTCTTTGTCTCCCCAGCCCCAGGTGCTCAATGAGAGGCGATGGACTGCTTCAGCTAATGGGTCACTCATGTTGACCATGGCCGCGAATTGAACTCAAGTCTTCCGCATCTGTAGCGCTGTATGATCAGCACTGCGTCGCCGATAGAATTTACGCCAACAGTCTGTTTGTTTACACAAAGACAAAGATCCCCCTATAGACTTCAGTGACTGATGGGGCAAGTGCTGTTAGCGTGCACCTATGAAGGCCGGCGCAGCACACGAGGTGGTGGATGGCCAGCACCACACCCGGTCACTTTTGTCTCCCCAGTGGCGATGTTTTTACACACCGCACCAGGTGCTCATTTGAGGCTGAGTCGACCTAGGGGAGGCCTAGGACTGGTTCAGATAATCATCACCGGTGTTGGCCGTGAGCGGCAATCTAACTCGGGTCGCTGGGTTCGTAGCGCAGCGTAGAGCTAACTCACTACACCACCGCTCCCCATAAAATATATATTCACATACATTGAGTTTCTTACCGGGATTGCCCCTGGACACAACACGCGGGCGTGGGGACGCTCACCTCCCACCGTGGCGCGGTAGTGCCTGGTGTAGACATCGTGCACGAATCTCTGCACGAAAGAGGTCTTGCCCACCACGGGGTCGCCAACCACGAGCACCTTGAAGAGGCGATCCACGTGCATGGTGGCGGTGTGCATGGTGGCGGTGTGCACGGTCACGCCACACGTGGAGGGCACGGGCGGGTGATGGCGGTGGCGAGGATGGTCACAGAAGGCGACGATGGTCAGGGTCTGTGTTAGCCGCCGAGGTTCATTCACGTTCTGCCGTAAATGTGCACCGACGCATACTTTGGCGAGGGAGATGTTGGCACGTAAGATACTGCTAAAAGATTTTTTGACGCCCTATTGAGATGGTGATAGCGGTGATGCACGATTGAGATGATAGTGAGGATAGTGAATAGGTCAAAGAGGTGATGCCCTATTGATGACGATGATGACGGTGCTGATGTCCTATTGAGATGATAATGGTGATGATTTTGCAATTAAATTGAATTGGCGATAATATGTCATGATGACGATGTCTATCGACTACCATCAAGTTTGATTACGGTGATAAAAAATAATTAATATTAAATACTCAAACAGAATGATGAGGAATATGATTGATAATGACTGGAACCAATATCGATTAACGATATCGATGAGGACATTGACGTCAACGATTAATTAGGATTGTCTGGGAAAATAATTAATTAGGATTGTCTCGACACAATAAGAGTCATCATGATCTTGGTCATAGTGTCTAACGGACACTCTTCAGAAAAAAATGATTGCTACGAAAAATTTTGACGATATACTACAATATAATTTGATGATGATGATGAAGATGCTGGTTGTCCAATGTTCAAAGAAATAATACAATCTACTTAATTATCACTCTAAGGTGGTTACATGTGGCCAGTAAGATCGATCCATGGCCTCACGTAATTGAAAACAACGGTCCTTGTTCTTGACGTTTATATATACTGTACGGAACCCCACCAATTTTAAAACAACAACAGGCGTTAAAATTACAATGTTGACGTCTCCACGTGAGTTCCGAAAACTAATTTAAAAGTGAACAAGGCGATTGTGCTTAAGTCACTCGAGTTTGCAGAGTAAATTGAGATTGTTTTTTTTAAACGTCGTCTTTACTCTCGTAACTTGTTGTTAATACGCGTTATAATTCTCCTTTGTCTGCCGTAAAAAAACAAAGTCCTATTGTGCTCTTTAAAATAAACGCGCCAGGCAGAGTGAATGTTGAGCTATCTTATAATGTTCGGCACCGTATATCACTAAAGGTGCAATCAAGTTCCCTCTAAGCGTATGTAGTATTGTACGGTAGTCTGCGCATTATACAAAGTGAGACGCGCCACTAAAAACTCGTGTCCCGTCTCAACAAAGTCGGACAGAGCGATAAGATCGATAAAACTGAGGCGATGTTTTGAGGACTAAGCGAGTCCCAAGATCATCTGAGTCACGTGCTGTCGGACAGAGGAGGGGGTGTGGGGGGTGATTAGGGATTAGAGGACTTGTGAAACGACAGCTTTGACATGGTAAAGGGCCGTCCATAAATGACGTCACGCGATTTTGGACGATTTTTGACCCCCCCCCCCCTCGTCACACGGCGTTACAAAATATGAAACCCCCTCAAATATGACGTCACAAATATGACGTCACAAACCCCAAAAAATATATGAACATGCTTCAAATCGCTTTAAACTATTGTCATTGTAGTGCGTATTTAATGTGACGCTGCACTCTGATGTTGTAGGAGAAACATTTATTAAAAAAAGTATATTTAATTAAGTAGAACGTGTTGTCTATATTTATTGAAAGTTGCGCATTTTGATGTGACGTCACATTTCTCAAACAACCCCCCCACCTCGTTCCACATCGTCACAAATGTCTGACCCCCCCCCCCCCTCTATGTGCGTGACGTCATTTATGGACGGCCCCTAAGCGATGACACAGCCAGTTATAAGGGGCAGCAGGGTGGCACAGTGGTAAATGACACCCGTGCCTCACAGGAAGAAGCGCTTGGGTTCGATACCCGGATTCGATCACCTTCCTGATCTGTATGGGCTCTCTGCTTTCCTCTCGTGGCTTCAACACACGTGCAATGCAACTGGCGTTGATGACACATTGCAATGCTGAAGCATGTTCCTCCTGTGCATTACTCAACCGGGATGACACACACACACATATACAACAGCTGTGCTCTTCATTGCAAGGCCCGCCCGGCCCCTGGTGGGCCCCTGGTGGGCCCCTGGTGGGCCACTGGTGGCATTTATAGCGCGGCCCCTGGACGTGCGGCCCCCAACAATACACACATGTGACCCTCCCCTTCCACCATCATCATCATCGTGCTGTCAAACCCCCAAGGTGACAGCCCTCAGCTGATTTATGTCTCATTGGCGAATGTGCCCCCCGCCCCCACCCCGCCTCTCTCTGAAAATGAGTGAAGATCACTGCTCGACAGCAACAACGTCGCCCCTTCCTACAACAACTTTTCTGGGTAAACAAACGTCAATAAACACATTTCTGCGGAAGGAGCTGGTAGGAACGTTGGGTTGCTCGGTCAATGGCCAGGGTCAACGGCGGCGTGGTGTATTCCGCAAATATGGCCGACTGTGAGGGCGGGCACAAGCCGGCGTGAGTAGGTTTAACGTTGAGTTTTATAAGGGCACCACGGGCTGACCAGCCCCTCCCCACCCCACCCAGCCCCACCCCGCCCCACCCTCACCACCAAGCCTCTCCCCACCCTCCCCACCCAGCCCCTCCCCACCCAGCCCACCCTCCCCACCCTCCCCACCCAGCCCCTCCCCACCCTCCCCACCCAGCCCCTGCCTCCCCACCCAGCCCCTCCCTGCACGACGGATACAATAATCCCCTGTGGGCTGGTGTAACCAGGAGGTTCCTACCAGTATAATAATCATTATCATAGCAATAATAATGGTAATCATTATCATAGCAATAATAATCATTATCATAGCAATAATAATGATAATCATTATCATAGCAATAATAATGATAATCATTATCATAGCAATAATAATGATAGCAATAATAACAATCACTCGATCACTCACACAATCACTTACCCAATCACTCATTCACCCAATCACTTACTCGATCACTTACCCACTCACACAATCACTTACCCAATCACTCACCCAATCACTCACTCACACAATCACTCACTCACCCAATCACTTACCCAATCACTCACCCAATCACTCACTCACCCAATCACTCACTCACCCAATCACTTACCCAATCACTTACCCAATCACTCACTCACCCAATCACTTACTCGATCACTTACCCACTCACACAATCACTTACCCAATCACTCACTCACCCAATCACTCACACAATCACTTACCCAATCACTCACTCACCCACCTACACAATCACTCACTTACCCACTCACACAATCACTTACCCAATCACTTACTTACCAACCTCACACAATCACTTACCCAATCACTCACTCACCCACCTACACAATCACTTACCCAATCACTCACTCACCAAATCACACAATCACTTACCAATCGCTCAATGACTCACCAACTCACACATTCACTTACCCATTCTCACTCAACAATTAACACAATTCCACAATCACGCAGTGACTTCTCATTGACTCACTAACCTGTCACTCACTCACTCACCCACTCACGCAAGCACTCGCTCACCCACTCATTCGCTATCTCTGCTTCACCCTCACTCACCTAATCACTGACCTTCTATGCTTGAGTTTCACCCACTCACTCACCCATCCACACAGTCACTTAATCACTCACCTCTCACTCACTTATCTGTCACTCTCCGACTCACGCACGCACCCTCTCACTCACTCTCACCCCCGAACTCACCCTCTCTGCTTCACTCCCCCTCACCCACCCACCCCCTCCCCCTCACCCTCGCTGCTCCACTCTCACAAACCAACACAATCACAATCTCACTTTTTTTTTACACACTCACTAACCTCTCACTCGCGCAATCACATGCTCACCCGCTCACACTTCTCTGCTTAAACTTCGACTCATGCACTCACCATCTCCGCTCCGAACTCACTTACCCAGCCACTCACCCTTGCCTCTCAGTGGGGTGTGCCCATGTGAAGCGCATGTGATTCCAGAGGGCGGGTGGCGACGGGGGATGATCTCGGGGGCGGGGAAAGGAGAGTGGGCGATTAGTTGGGGATTAGGATGAAGCGTGGGGATGATGATGCTGATGGGTGTGGATGGGGCAAGGAGCTGTGATGTGGGGCGTGATGGCGAGTCGGGAATGTGAGATGGGATGGAGGGGTGCTGATTCAATTTGCTGAGCAATGAGAGAGCGAGGTGGGTACAGCTGGATAGGGGTAGGTGGTATTGAAACCATGCGTCACGGTTTTCGAGTGTGCAGGCGGTGCAACTGCACAGAGACCCATTGGGAAACAATGTCATTGCCTCCCCTCTATACACAGTTCACGCATTCTAAAATCGATAGTGAAACATATACAATCTTGTAACCCATGTCTGTGGCATGGTTCTAGTTCTCACGTGCAAAATGTTATCCAGAGTCTGGCCGCTCGATGGTAAACAGATCACGTGATAAAATTAGTGGCTCTATTGCACAACTGCACATCAGAAGATCAGCGATCGATTCTTAGAGATATATTGTTACCATTAAGTGTATAACGGGTACAAAGGTAAAGGTGCAGCCCTACAATTGTTTAGCTCACGCCACTGCTGGTATAAGGGGCATCGCTAGAGAGAGCGCCTCTGTGGAGTGCCTCTGTGGAGAGTGCCAGTGTGGAACTGCTCTGTCTTTGATTTACTCTTGCACGTTGGTCAGACGTCTTGGAAGAGGAAGATGCATAACGGTAAGTACGATACGTCGGCAAACAAAGCTGCAAATTGGTGAAAACCGAGTAAATCTTGGCAACTTAAACAAAAATTGTCGAAATAATGTTATCAGAGTGCATTGAGCATGCTTGCGACGACTACAGAAGGCGCTTGGCAGGTCAGTTGATGTTTCAACTCGAGCCAACGTTTGTGGCTGATCGCTCGGAGTTTTTGGGCCATTGGACCTGCGGCTCGGCAGACCGTGGTTTAAGAAAAAAAGATCGTTCTAACTCTTTGCAACTCGGATAGAACGCGGTTTTGAATGTGCTCAGTGCTTCCGTCCGTCCGTCTGGAACGATCACTCTGGACAAGATGATTCAATACGAATTGACTTGTAGTGCAATGTTGTGTTTATATTTTATCAGGTTTGACCCGTTTGAAAACCGGCCATGTAGCAGTGAATTGACAAAAGGGTTGTACATACAGGGTGGCGCAGTGGTAAGACTTGTGCCTCATACCAAGAATAGTCTGAGTTCGATTTATAACTCGGGAGGTTTTTTATGTGCAGTTTGTGCGTTCTCTCCCTGTTATGCAGAGTGTTTGAATACGTGAACAAGTGCATGAGTGTGTGAGCGTAACGCTGTGTGAAAGCTACCTGTCCTGTCGCTCCATACGAAGCTCCCAAGTCTCCTCAGCCACAGTAATGCCCTCGCCTGTCTGTGCTTGCGAAACGGGGACCCCTTTGTCGGAACATCTGCACCGGTTTGACACATCCAGTCTGGCCTGCATAGGGTTTAGCCAGCCTGGTTTGTGTGAGGATCTCACATTTCATCGAAAGAAATGGACACAGTCCCATCAGTGAGCTCCTCCGGCAGGCGAGGCTACGTTGGCTGGGTCACGTGGCCCGCATGCACAGACACTGCATGCTCAAGCAGATTATGTTTGGCCGGCTAAAGGGGGCTAAACGGGCGCGGCACAAGCTAGAGAAGAGATGGACTGATGTTGTACAGGAGGATGTGGAGCTGATTGGACTTTCAGCAGATGACCGGTACCAGCGGTGTCAAGATCGGAGTCTGTGCAGGAGGCTCGTGAAGGACACCACTGGGCAGTTGGAGGCAGTCGCCCTCCAACAACAACGGAGTGATGCTCACAACAACGAGCGGAGCTTTGTCGGATAAAACGCCGCAAGTTGGCACAGTGGGGAGTGCAGGTGGTGCATCTCTCAGTCATGCCAGTCAGTCAACCCATAACCCCTAGGTTTGTCCCATAACCTGCCAGCGAGCCTCGGCGTGCACCTAGCCTGGCACAAGCGTCGTGGTGACATCACAGCCACTTAGTTGTTGTTGTGTATGTATTTTGTTCTCCCACTGTTCTGTATGGGTTTTCTCCGTGTTTCTCCGGTTTCCACCCATAGCTAAGCAATAGCTTGCAATGGGTGTTGACCAAGTACCCCAATGCTGCCAATAAGCCTGCAAATGGCTCAACTTGACGACACAGACAACAGCAGCAGCAATATCGCCCTCTACTACGAACATGCGGCAGGACCCTCTTGAAAAAACAAGGTCGTGAGACTCACTCACTGAGGCTTTTTGGCCAAAAAAAGTGTAATTTTGATGCAGTCATGCGGACAATCAAACATACGTAGGAAATACGTTTTTTTTTTATTGTTAGATCGCGTAAATATATAAATGTGTCGTTAAAACCCGCCACCACCCGACACAGCCAACTAGTAATGGTTGTCACGTCAACAGAACGTGGCCAATTCGTCACTAGCACAGCAACACCAGTGTGTTGGAGAGCCAAGCCACAACATTTACAATCGTAGGAAATATGAAATATATTACTGGTAGGAACCTCCAGCCCACAGGGGATTATTGTGTCCGTCCGTCCGTCGTGCATCCAAAAATGGGAGGGGTGGGGCTGGGTGGAGAGGGGAGGGTGGGGAGGGGCTGGGTGGGGAGGGGAGGGTGGGGAGGGGCTGGGTGGGGAGGGTGGGGCTGGGTGGGACTGGGTGGGGAGGGGCTGGTCACCCCGTGGTGCCCTTATAAAACTCAACGTTTAACCTACTCACGCCGGCTTCTGCCCGCCCTCACAGTCGGCCATATTTGCGGAATACACCACGCCGCCGTTGACCCTGGCTATTGACCGAGCAACCCAACGTTCCTACCAGCTCCCTCCGCAAGCAATGTGTTAACTGTGGAGTTGCACTGCGTAGGAATGACCAGCAGGTGGCGTGAGGTTGCCTAGTGCCGGTATGAGTCCGGTTGTGATGGATGGCGAGCCAAGAGTGATGGGGAAACGTGACGCAGGTACCAACAACGTCTCACGCACGTGGCATGCGTGAGAGGTCGTTACTGCCGATACAGAGGACACGACAGAGGTTAGCTATTGGTGTGTGTATGTGTGTAATGGTGTATGCGTGTAGGTCGACTCAGCCTCAAATGAGTACCTGGTGAGTGCGTGTAAACATCGCCACTTGGAAGACAAAGGCGGCCGGGCGTGGTACTGGCCAGTGGCCAATCATCGCCTTGTGTGCCGAGCCGGCCTTCATAGGTGCTCGCTAACAGCACTTGCTCCGAGTCTGTTCGGGCTACACGGGGATCTTTATCTTTGTATACATGATACGTGTGATGTGTGACAGTGATGTTCACGATGCATTACAATGTGTGGTAACGTACGATGGTGTGTGATGATGTGTGATGGTCTATCAAGATGTACCTGTATTATTTGTGATTTCTAATGATGCATGATCGTATGATGTAGTGTCTGTGTGACGATGTATGGATATTGAGCGATGATGTCACTGATGATTATGAATAACGATGATGATTATGCTGTTTTTCATATCTCATGATGGTTGTTTTGTGTTTTCAATGACTACTAATGATGCAGTGTGTGACAAGGTAAGACTTAATTGGTGCAAGAGCAATTATATCACAGGTGAGGATGTATGTGCTGATACGTGTGATAACACCGTGTGATGAAAACGTGATCCGGCATATAATAATGTTGGATAATGTAAAGCACATTGTACATACGGTAGTGTAACGTGTGATGAAACGAAGCTATAGAGCAAATGACACCACTCACTGGCGATGCATGATTATCATCATCATCATGATTTACCCAGCAATGCCTCACGGAGTCTCGTGACTTCATTTTAAGGAGGGTCCTGCCAAGTTTTCACAGGAGCGTGTGGGGTTGGGGGGGGTAGCTGATGTATGATTCCAATTGAGTACTTTGCGACGATGTGTGTTGCCATATGTGATGATGTATGATGATGATGCAGTGTGTGATGATGCAGTGTGTGATGATGTATGATGATGATGCAGTGTGTGATGATGTATGATGATGATGCAGTGTGTGATGATGCAGTGTGTGATGTTGATGATGATGCAGTGTGTGATGATGCATAGCTACCCAGTAAACATGGAACGTGGGACCAACGTTGGGGCAACGAGTCCAACCACACGCCAACGTTGACCCGACGTTAATTCAACGTTGACCCAACGATGACCCAACGTTGACCCAACGATGACCCAACGTTGACCCAACGACGGCCCAACGTTGACCCAACGATGACCCAACGTTGACCCAACGACGGTCCAACGTTGACCCAACGACGGCCCAACGTTGACCCAACGATGGCCCAACGTTGACCCAACGATGACCCAACGTTGACCCAACGATGACCCAACGTTGACCCAACGACGGCCCAACGTTGACCCAACGATGGCCCAACGTTGACCCAACGATGGCCCAACGTTAATCCAACGTTGACCCAACGTAATTATAACTATAAAAAATACTTGAAACTTTGTAGTAGAACGAAGCAAAATGGAGAGTACATTTAGAACAATTACATATTCATTTCACAGAATGAAAAGCCCTGGTAGAATCATTAGAATCAAAGTGTTTAATAACAATCATTAAAAATAAATTCAAAATGTATGCTTTTCCATTCTCCCATGGAGAAGCAAAATGCTCCTTCATGGAATTAATAAAAGGTGACCTTAGTAAATTGAAATAGCAAATAATGAACATTAATCAAATTTAGTATTGTTATAACAGTTCTATTAACTTAATATGTATTTAAAGTTGCGCATTTTGATGTGACCTCACATTTCCCAAACCTTCCTCCCCCCCTCGTCACAAATGTCTGACCCCCCTCCACCCCCCTATGTGCGTGACGTCATTTATGGGCGGCCCCTTGGCTATTTGCTAAAACTGGCCTTGGGGGAACCCTCCTGGTATTTGCCTATCGCGGTGACCTCTCTACTCGGTAGAATACGGTACCACCCCCCACCACCCCCCACCACCACCCACCACCCCCCACCACTACCCCCACCACCCCCCAACACCACCACCCCCACCACCACCCCCCACCACCCACCCACCACCACCCCCACCACCCCCCCCACCACCCCCCACCACCACCCCCCCACCACCACCCCCCCACCACCCACCACCACCACCCCCAACCCCCACCACCACCACGCTGCACACGTGGGCGCGTCACGCGTGGGGCGTGTGAAGTCGGGACAGCCACTTCCTTGGTTGAGCTGCGAGCCAAGTGGGGAGAAGTCGTGGGTGGTTGTGGTGGTTGGTGGTGGTGGTTGTGGTGTATGTGTAGTGGTAGATTGTGGTGGAGCGGAGGGAGGGGGGGGGGGCAGTGGCTGTGTGTGAGTGTGGTTGGCGTGGTGCGAGATCACGGGGGGGTGTGTTAGGTGGACGGGGGGGGGGGGTAGCAGTGTCTGTGTGTGTCTCTCTGTGTGTGTCTGTGTGTGTGTCTGAGTAAGTTGATTGCTGCTGCAGGCTGGGTGGCTGCGGGTAGTGACTGGGAGTTTGTCGTTAGTGGTGGGGAGAGTGCTTGTGGGGGGCTTTGAGTCTCTGAGTGTTTGGTGGTGGTGGTGGGGGGCCCTATGAGCAGTCGGTGATCGTAGCGGTGCCCGGGGGCAGTGGCTGTTTGTGAGAGGCAGTGGCCGAGGCTGTGTGCCGTAGCTGATTGTGCGAGGAGGTGTGGGTGGTGGGGGGGTGGTAGTGGTTGATTGAGGAGGTAGTCGTGGTGGTGGTGGTGTGGGGGGGGGGTACGAGACGGTGGCTGTGTGTGTTAAGAGCGATCCCGGGGGGATGTTCCTCTGGGGAGGGGGCGGCTCTCCCGCCCTCCAGCAGCGAGGCGTGAACAGCGTGAGATTCAACCAGGATCACAGTGAGTACACAGTACACGTGTGTGTGTGTACACAGTACACGTGTGTGTGTACACAGTACACGTGTGTGTACACAGTACACAGTACACGCGTGTGTGTGTACACAGTACACGTGTGTGTACACAGTACACAGTACACGTGTGTGTACACAGTACACGTGTGAGTACACAGTACACGTGTGTGTGTGTGTGTACACAGTACACGTGTGAGTACACAGTACACGTGTGTGTGTGTACACAGTACACGTGTGGTGTACACAGTACACGTGTGTGTGTGTGTGTACACAGTACACGTGTGTGCACACAGTACACGTGTGTGTGTGTACACAGTACACGTGTGTGCACAGTACACGTGTGTGTGTGTACACAGTACACGTGTGTGCACACAGTACACGTGTGTGTGTGTGCACAGTACACGTGTGTGTGCACAGTACACGTGTGTGTGTGTACACAGTACACGTGTGTGTGTACACAGTACACGTGTGTGTGTACACAGTACACGTGTGTGTGCACACAGTACACGTGTGTGTGCACAGTACACGTGTGTGTACACAGTACACGTGTGTGTACACAGTACATGTGTGTGTACACAGTACATGTGTGTGTGTGTACACAGTACACGTGTGTGTACACAGTACATGTGTGTGTGTGTACACAGTACATGTGTGTGTGTACACAGTACACGTGTGTGTACACAGTACACGTGTGTGTACACAGTACACGTGTGTGTACAGTACACGTGTGTGTACAGAGTACACGTGTGTGTACAGTACACGTGTGTGTACACATGTGTGTACACAGTACACGGGTGTGTACACAGTACATGTGTGTGTGTGTGTGTACACAGTACACGTGTGTGTACACAGTACACGTGTGTGTACACAGTACACGTGTGTGTACACAGTACACGTGTGGGTGTGTACACAGTACATGTGTGTGTGTGTGTACAGTACACGTGTGTGTACAGTACACGTGTGGGTGTACACAGTACACGTGTGTGTACACAGTACATGTGTGGGTGTGTACACAGTACATGTGTGGGAGTGTACAGTACACGTGTGTGTGTGTACAGTACACGTGTGTGTGTACACAGTACACGCGTGTGTGTACACAGTACACGTGTGTGTGTGTACAGTACACGTGTGGGTGTGTACAGTACACGTGTGGGTGTGTGTACAGTACACGTGTGCGTGTGTGTACAGTACACGTGTGTGTGTGTACACAGTACATGTGTGGGTGTGTACAGTACACGTGTGTGTGTACAGTACACGTGTGGGTGTGTGTACAGTACACGTGTGGGTGTGTGTACAGTACACGTGTGGGTGTGTGTACAGTACACGCGTGTGGGTGTGTGTACAGTACACGTGTGGGTGTGTGTACAGTACACGTGTGGGTGTGTGTACAGTACACGTGTGGGTGTGTGTACAGTACACGTGTGGGTGTGTGTACAGTACACGTGTGCGTGTGTGTACAGTACACGTGTGCGTGTGTGTACAGTACACGTGTGCGTGTGTGTACAGTACACGTGTGCGTGTGTGTACAGTACACTGTGCGTGTGTGTACAGTACACTGTGCGTGTGTACAGTACACGTGTGGGTGGGTGTACAGTACACGTGTGGGTGGGTGTACAGTACGAGTGTGTGTACAGTACACGAGTGTGTGTACAGTACACGAGTGTGTGTACAGTACACGAGTGAGTGTACAGTACACGAGTGAGTGTGCAGTACACGAGTGAGTGTGCAGTACACGAGTGAGTGTGCACACAGTACACGAGTGTGTGTACAGTACACGTGTGGGTTTGTGTACAGTACACGTGTGCGTGTGTGTGTACACACAGTACACTTATAGTATAAAAAAACACAATGCGATACCCTAGTATACACACGCGTACCAGAACGCACATACATAGACCCTAGCCTCTAGGTGCAGTGGTAATTAACATGTAGTCGTTTATACAGAGCTCTGACAATCTACTGCTGGATGAAGGCCTGTCGGTCCCGCGTCGGTCATGGGAGTTGTTTTGACCCACTGCTGCTGGGGGGGGGGGCGGTCCGTGCGGCAAAGCCGAATGGAGAGGCCCGGGACACGGGGTTTGTAGCGCAGTGCGCTAACCACAGCGTGTGTGTTTGTGGTGTGTGGCGGGTGTGGCGGGTGTGGTGTGTATGGTGTGTGTGTGGCGTGTGTGTGTCGTGCGTGTGGGGTGTGTATGGAGTGTGTGTGTGGCGTGTGTGGTGTGTGTGTGGCGTGTGTGTGTGTGTGGCGTGTGTGTGTATGTGGTGTGTGGAGCGTGTGTGTGTGGTGTATGTGTGGATCGTGTGTGTGTATGTGGTGTGTGTGGAGCGTGTGTGTGTGTATGTGGTGTGTGTGGAGCGTGTGTGTGTATGTGGTGTGTGTGGAGCGTGTGTGTGTATGTGGTGTGTGTGGAGCGTGTGTGTGTATGTGGTGTGTGGAGCGTGTGTGTATGTGGTGTGTGTGGAGCGTGTGTGTGTGTATGTGGTGTGTGTGGAGCGTGTGTGTGTGTATGTGGCGTGTGTGGTGTGTGTGGAGCGTGTGTGGTGTGTGTGGAGCGTGTGTGTGTGTGGCGTGTGTCGAGGATGCCTCTCACCCATCCTCACACACACACCCTACAGACTACAACAGCGTGGATACGCGATGATGGTGGGTATGGTGGTGAGGTTAACGATGGTAATTCATGATTGTGACGGCGTTGGGAATTCTGACGTTTGTGATGATTGCTGGTTGTCCTGATTATGCTGACGGCTGTGATGATGGTACAGTAATGGTGGTGATGCTTGCTGTGTCATGATGTTATGGGTCCGTAGCACGCTTCGCCGAGTACCGTAGTCAACCGAGTAAACGAGCAAAACATCCGCTCTCGTCGTCACGAAAGCGCCGGTTCCGTTTTTCTGCAATGCCGGGCAACTTCCCCTATCGGACGCTGTGGCTTGGCAGCTGACTGTAGCTGTTGTCTTTCTATTGACCAGGTCTCTTCTGCTGCGCAATGGAGAGCGGAGTCAAGGTTTTCAATGTGGACCCACTGGCACAGAAAGCACATATCGGTGAGAGGGGAAGAGTTGTTTGAGATCCAGCCAATGATGAGATTCGTCTTGCAAATCTCTGGGATATGTGATTACTCGAGGAATCGATATGTCCTACCGATGAACGGTCCGATTGCTCGACCAATCGAATAATTTGGGAAAAAGTTGTCGGGGAAAAAAACCCGTTCCATTTTCAAGTGTGCCGCTGGACTGGAGGTGAAGGGCGGGGCTTGGTGGCATCATTAGCAGCGTCGCGCTGGGCGTGGCTTGTAAGGGGTTTCCAACCTTCGCCGGAGGCAAGATGTCGTTACCGGCCCTCATTTTTAAACAGACCCGAGCGATCGGCCACAAAAAGCAATTCGTAGTCGATAAGTTCGATACCATTTTACACCGCCAAAGCCGGAATTTAACCGAATTAAGTTCTGAAACAAATCTGTATATTGTGGAGTGTTGTGCGCAAACATTGGTGGCGAGGCTGAAAAGGTCGATTCACTGCACTTGATAATCCAGTTTAATCACAGGTGGCTGGCCTGAATTAGAACCTCGGATCTCAGCAGTGCACATGAACGTGGACAGCACCTTTTTGGTCAATCCACTGCTGGATGAGTGGCCTTCACACCGTGCGGCTTGTGGGGGTTATTGGGGACCCCACTTGATCTCGCTGGTCAGTGCGGAGTTAGTGAAGGCAGAGAGCAGAAAGTGTTTTTCTTCTTCGCATGGCTGATGTTGATGTCGTGCCACAGCTGTAATTTTACACTGAAGTGGTTGAGACAAGAGGATTGCATCAGGAGTCGCGGAGTGGTGCATCCTGGCTGTGATGATGCCTCCTCCGTATTTGTGAATCAGGGCTTTGAGTGGCTGTCTAGTGCTGCCCCCATGGTTCGTGCGGATGACGCAGTTTAGGCATTGTGGCCCCATGACCTTCGCGGAAGATCGAAGCCGGGGATCTGAGTTGAGTCTTTCACGAGGTGTTTGTGACTTCCTATGAACGCCATTCGGCTTTACAAGCTTCATCAGGGTTGAAGTACAGCACATCAAAGGACTTCGCTTCACTGCCCCCACAAAAACGATCTCAGAATTTCGCATCCCTTAACGAGCGCAGAGAATGAGCGCCGCGATGTTTAAGTTGAGCGCCTTTTTGCCGGGCGGTCGCTCCACCGTCGCAGACCAGGAGCAGGTGGGCAGCGTGGGGCTCGCTGAGGTGCTGCGGCGCTCCAACCTCATCGCCATCGTCGGAGGCGGCAGCCTGCCACGCTTCGCCGAAAACTCCGGTGCGAACACCCCGACCGCCACTACCGACATGGCCACACCGCTGCCCCCACCACCAGCAACACCACGAACATGGCCCACCGCCTTTACCACCACCACCACCGCGAATATCAACTTGGCATCACCACAGCCCCCACCATCGATATTTCTCACACCGATTTGGACATTGCCACCACAATCACCGTCGCCGATACCAACGTGGTCACAGAGGCTGCTGTCGCTACCACCACCGCCACTGCTTGCCACCGTGGCCACCGACACCAACGTTGAGACAACCACCGCTACCACCGTGACCAATATGGGCCCTGCCACCACCACCACTGACACATGCCGCCACCGCCATCGTGAACGTCACTGACCGCCACCATCAAGTACCACTGACAAGACAACACGAGCTTTAACACGTGTGCCAGCACGACTGCCATAACCATCAATGCCATTGACACCAACATGGTGGCCACCACTGCAACCACCGATACAGCTACCCACAACTTGTCCATGGCCGTGTGATTTTTGTGCCGCCAGTGCTGATCTGGGACGACGCGCGTGGAGGGACCGCCGAGCAGGACAAACTCGTCCTGGACTTCACCTTCACGCAGCCCGTGCTGGCTGTGCGCATGCGCCACGACGCGTAAGGCCTCCCCCACCCCACCCCACCCTTTCCCCAACCCTCCCGACCAATTTGCGACTTGAAAATCGTGGTAATTAATCACATCGCCGGGGTGATACGGGGCAATTCGTTGCACCCCGGGTAGAACACGGGACGTCGCACGATGTGCGGTCTGTGCTGGCGACACGCCGCTAACCGCTGTCAGCTGCTCGCCCCTCGTAATCGCTTGGGTGTCGAGTTATTCCCGAGCGAGGGATTTCACAGGAAGGTTCACGTGTGAAAATAGCGAGCGGAGGAGGAAGTGGTGGGGGGGGGAGGAGGGTGAACACATTGTCAATGACATCTCAAGAAGAGATGCTGGTCCTGTTGCCAAAGAAAAGGATGTCGCCGGTTGATTTTTTTTTCATGAATTCAAAGTAATGGGGACCTTGGGCAGGACACGTTGCTTGAAGAAATAATGATGATGACCGATGACTGAGAATAGTGATGGAGCGGCAGCCGAGGTAGCGAACACGTCCGGGATGGCGTGCACCACTCGCTCAGTTTCGCGAGGTATCTCTCATCGTGCGCTCGTTTTGATGAGCCAGGCGATGTCCGCTTACCGTCAGTACCCGGGCCTGTCCCGCGAAGCTAGCGATCAGGCCTAGCGGATCGTCACTCTTCAATGAATCTTGGTCACCTGCCACACCGATAACCCTGGCGGAGTGCGCCAACCCTTGGACTTTTAAGCGATTGGAGCCGGCACTGCGAGTTCGTCAAATCGACGTTGTTGAGGGTTCGTCATCTGCCAAGCGCAGCCTAAATCGGCGAGCATTGTGAGGTTAAGAAGCAATAAGGTTCAAAGTAGATTTTTGGGTCAGATTGCTGCGTAAGTAAAACTTGTCTCGAAAAGCCCTCCTGCACCCGACAGCCAATTACCGTAATAAAGTCATCAAAAAAAACTTGTTCACTAATTACTTATTTAGCAGCACCACTGGCGGTGCTGGAGAGCGATCCACACACATTTACCGATTTGGTTTGACGTCGCTGGTAGTTACAACCAGCATCATCAGCACGCAGTTGCCATAAATCTGAAGCTACGCATCGATACGTACATCATCAAAGTTTGTAATAATAATACCAAAATCTATACAGTTAGAAAAAAACTCACATCTATTCTTTTTTTTTCATTTGCAGAATATCGGTTGTGCTCCGGAGAAAGATCCACGTTTTCTCCTTCCCAGACAATCCCCGGGAAACCTCACAATTTGACACAAGGGACAATCCACTGGGTGAGGATACGTGGTGAAGTATGGTGAAACCCCACCCCACCCAAGACCTGCACGGATTGACGCGAAGGCCGCACGCGCGGACGCAATTCCATCACCCTGAATGCGACTGATCTGTTCGACAGATCTCGGAAGCTAAGCAGGATTGAGCCTCGATAGTACTTGGCCAGCAAGTACTAAAGCAGCAGGTGCTAGAGGCTGCTACAGGGCTACGTGGTGGGCAGCACGGGGTAGTGCAACAAATTCCACTATTGTACTGCACTATGCTAACACATCTGTTCATTGCCTTCACCAATCCGCACTGACCATTGCGGTAAAGTATCGTCAAACAGCTCCCCCTTAACCGACATGGTATGGGGATGCTTACAAATCCAGCGGGTCACTGACAATGGGATTTAAATAAAATTACAATTATTAATACGTGTTGTAAACGAATTCACTACTTTGTTTTGATTCTTGTTTACATGAATACTGCGGTAGGGAGTGCTGGAGTAGCGGTTAGCACACTGCGGTGTAAACCCGGCAACTCAAGTTCAGTTCCCACTCGCGGCCAATAACAGTGGCGAATATTTGACCTGGGTCCAGGGACTCCCCTGGGTCGACTCAGCATTAAATGAGACAAAGGCGGCCGGGCGTGGTGTTGATCACCCACCTCTTCGTGTACCGTACCGGCCTTAATAGGTGCTCGCTATTGGCACTTACCCCAACTGTCCGTTAAAGTCTATGCGGGGGAACTTTGTCTTTGTGTGCGCAGGCCTGTGCGAGCTGTCTACGTCACTCGAGCGGAGTCTGCTCGTGTTCCCCGGGCTCAAGAGTGGCTTCCTGCAGATAGTGGTACGGCGAGCCACGCACACACGCACACACGCATGTACGCACGCCTATGTGTGTATATATGTTGAACTTCTTTCGCACCACACATAGGCAACCGTGTGAATCGGAGGTGCGGGGGAAGGACAACAAACTAAACACAAACAGCAGTTCAAAAGCACCAGGAGTAACAACGGCGACTCGCCGATCCGCCGATTAATATTTATTGTCACGCTCGCAATACGCGCATCAGTTTGTGTGCGTGTCTCGATGTTTTTTTTTACATTTGTGCAGTTGTGTTGTTTGTAATAGGTTTGTGTGACCCCTGCAGCCACTACAGAAAGTAAAAATCAGTTCTTGAATAGAAATACAACCTTTGAATCGTTAAGAACTGGCACTTTTGCCAAATTTGGTGAAACATGGGTTTATTGTACATCCACTCATTGGTGACCATGCAGAGGCCATGAACTCGCTGCACTTCAGAACCCGGTCTAACCTCTGGGGGACAAAACTTGGCTTTAAACCCCTGAACCTGCCTGGACATTGTTGTGTGGGAGGAAACGAGCAGAGCACCTGGGGAACCATAATAGAGGTCTGTTTGTGCCAGTCCATTGTGTCGTTGTGTTATTGTGCACTCGTGTGCATGTGTGTGTTGGCGGTGAGAGCGGTTGTGCAGCTGTTAGCGCTCTGTGCTGCAAACTCAGTGACCCGAGTTTGATTCCCGCTCGCAGCCAAGACCAGCGACGAATATCTGGACTGATCCTGGTCCTCCCCTAGGTCAACTTAGCCTCAAATGAGTAGCTGATACAATGGCCACTTGGGAGATATAAGCGGCTGGGCGTGGTTCTGACCACCCCACAACCTCGTGTGCCATGCCGGCTTTTATGGGTGCTACTCGGTTAACAGCACTTGCCCCCAAAATTCTGTTAAAGGCTATACGGTCGCTCTTGGTCTCAGTGTACTTACCAATGCTGTGTTCTGAATGTTCCAGGATATTTCTGCTCTGAAGGGAGCCCCAAAGCGGCCTGGCCTGGGGCCCAACAAGAGCGGTGTGACGGTGAAAGCCCACGAGAGTGACCTGGCGTGCATCGCGCTCGACTCCACAGCCAGCAGAGTGGCCACCGCCTCTCACAAGGTGCCCCACCGCACTGCACCGCACAACCGCACCGCACAGCAACCGTAGCACGGTTGGCTACATGTGGTTTTGAAAGAAGTTCGACATACATGCCACAGCACTCCCCCGATAACCGGGTACTCACCGTGCATATTCACCGTTCGTTGATGGTCACACGTCGCTACTGCTTCTGCGCTAAGTGGGATTTGCCGCGGTGTAACGGTGAGCAGCTCACTGCCAGTTCGATTCCATCTCCCGGCGTGGCAGTTGAAACATTGGAGCGGGTTTCTTAAATCTACCCCCGTCCCCCCCTCCGCATCTTCAACCACCTCTGTCCATCCAGCAGTATAAATGGGTAGGCCTCTGTTGATTGGCAGGTTGTGTCCGGTGAGGTGAAATGTGGGTTACTCCCACCTCTTCCAGGACATCTGACCAATGTTGAAAAGTTGGCCAAAAATATCCTCCAGAGTGCAGGCACTTCTTCCGTCAGCAGTGGTGTGAGCGAGCAATTGCAGGGCTGTCCCTTTACCATTTATTACAAGCACTGTACAGCCCTTTATCAATTCATGTTGGTCATAGGGGTTGTATCACCATACTTCACCACACTGGTCAGAGCAGGATGGTGAAGGGAATGCCCAGTCTGGTTGGATATTGCTTGCCACTGATGTTAGCCATGGCTGGCATTCATGTTCAGTGTGCTAACTACTGCGCCACCGCTCCCTCCCGCCACCACAACCACTGTTACATGCTAATCACTATCATTACCATCATGTATGATGACGATGAACTTCTTTCACACCGTACTTAGCCAACCATGCTATGTACGGTGTGAAAGAGACAACAAACTAAACACACACAGCAGTTTCTAAAGAAATTCGTTTGCAATAAGAACTGTCCAAGATGTTGGGGAAGAAAGGGTGATGATGATGAGAGGTGTGAGAAGAGAGGGAGAAGATAGAAGAAAGGAGCGAGAAGAAGTGAGCTGCACAGAGGAGCGGCGTCTGTTTTCACAGCGGGCGGCGGGGAGAGGGGAGGGATTCGGAGTGGGGGTGCCCACGCAGAAGTCACGTGATGTACGGGAGGTTCGAGCTGATGTTGATGTAGAGATGCGTGCGATACTCTGGCAGGGAACGTTGATCCGTATCTACGACACGACAAACGGCGACAGAACTATGGAGCTCAGGAGAGGCGCCGACTCGGCTCAACTCTACTGGCAAGTGGCTGACGATTTCGCGCGCGTTTACCGTCGTGCACGCCTACACGTGTGCACGTACACTCGACAAAAACGGGCGCAATTCGCCCCTAAGTTCCGGCGACGTCACCACAGTGCTTGTGCCTGGCTAGGTGCACTTTGAGGCCATGTGAAGATCTTCTTGGTTCTTTCGGTAAAGTCACGTAGAATGACTTTACCGAAAGAACCAAGAAGATGAATCCCTGCAGTCACGAAAGCTTTAAATCGTCATGTGAAGAGTTGAAGGCAGGGTGCACCAGCTGTGCTCCCCACTGTGCCACCTCGCTACACTTTATTCGCCCAGGGCCCCGCTCGTTGTTGTGAACGTCGCTCCCTCTGCCCTTTGTTGTTAGAGGGCGACTGCCTCCAAATTGCCCAGTAGCGTCCTTCACGAGATTCCTCCACAGAGGCCGATCTTGACACCGCTGGTACCAGTCATCTGCAAGTCCATTCGGCTTCACATCCTCCTGTACCACATCAGCCGATCTCTTTTCTAGCCCATGCCATGCCCGTTTAGCACCCTCTATCTGGCCAAGCAGAAGCTGCTTGGGCATGTGGGCTACATGACCTGACCAATGCAGCCTCACTTGTCGGAGGAGCTCACTGATGATACTTGCAAAGATGGAAATTATTCTACGCATAGGTAAGATAATGCCGGAGCCGGAGGACATCCCTGTCACACCCCACGGTGTACAGGTAATGGCTCCGACTCCTGTCGCCGCAGGTTTACCTGGGCCTGCCCATCATCATGAAGGTCCTTAATGAATGTGAGCAGAGGGTGAGGGACTCCAAAAGCATGCAGAATAGATCGCTGGTATATTCATGGTATCATAGGCATTGACCAGGTTGATAAAGCAGAGATATGTCCTGTTGAATCTCCCAACATCTCTGCTGTAGTAGACCTCTCTATGCGCTGGGAAGAAGGGCCTATGCGCCGAACAGTCACCTTTTGTAAACTCGTTCGCTTCAAGGCCCCACAGTGTTATTGATGAATGTGTCGAGTTTTGTTGTTGTTTTACGTAAACCGAATGAGGAAGCTTGCTGGTGGGGTTTGAAATGAGAATTCTCTCTGATCCGTGGCTTCTTTCGCAGCATCAACTTCAGCCAGGATGCGTCCTTCCTGTGCGCGTCCAGCGACAAGGGCACGGTGCACATCTTCGCGCTGAAGCAGACCAAACTGAACCGTCGCTCCGCGTGAGTGACTCTCCTTAGAACTTGGAGTTGGGGTTGGTGCCCCGTCACAGACTCTTTCCGGTGGCGTTGGCCATCTTCAGCGTCTCTCGCAGAGACTTTGTCCGAGGTCACCACGATGTGAGGAAAGGCCTCTGGATCTGCGGATCCAGAGGTCACCGGTTCGATTCCGTCTCCCGGCACGGCGGTCGAAACAACGGGGGCGAGTTTCTTAAATATTACTAACCGACTAACCTCTCCCGCTCCCCCCACCCCGCCGGTCCACCCCTGGTCTTGCCGTGTGCTGCAGGCTAGCACGCGTGGGCCGCAAGGTGAGCCCGGCGCTGGGAGAGTACGCAGAGTCGCAGTGGAGCCTTGCAAGCTTCACCGTGCCTGCCGAGACGGCGTGCGCCTGCGCTTTCGGCAAGGGCAACTCCATCATCGGTAAGCGGACTCGGTCATCGGAAAGCTAATTCGGTGATAGGTACGTTGACTTGGTCGTCAATAATCTGACCCGGTAGCCGATGAGCAGACTCGGTGACCGGTAAGCCAGCCCATGGGCACGGGGTGCACAGTAAAGGTGGACGCAATCCCAAAAGGCAAATAGGCGTTCATATCTACCCCGAGAGAGGTTTTTACGAATAAGCTGCAATTTTATTTGTGAAGACAATTGAATATAATTTGTTGTAAGGCCATTCGAGTAACAAGTGCACAGCCATTGCAGGATATCTTGCTTTGGCATCATAAACCCTTTACCGACTCGCGTACAAATTTTTTACCCCTTTTTTTGCGCGAGTCAAACTCTACGTAAACGAGACCCGGAATGCTAAATCATTCGAGCAAACCTCCTACAAATGCATGCTGACCTCACGCTTTCATTCCCACCCCCTCCCCCCGAGAGCTTTCGTTATGCAACGGTGTCCATGCTGCATGTGACGCATGTTTGACACCGCTTCGGAAATACCCAGACTGCTTTGTGCAGCTCTGACGTCATTTAGCAATGTTGTTACTAAGATGTTGACGTTACCAATTACATCAAAAATGTCATAGCCAATCTGGCTTTTCACAATTATCCGGAACAATAGCAACAGGTTTCACCTTAAAGTTGCCTTGCAGAAACCAAATGAGGCTGTGTCAGCACATTACTAAACGCACGACTCTTATAAACTAGGTGATCGCTCGTGTGCAAAGTGCACACCTTATTAGCCCTATTTACAGCTGCTCGGTCTTGGACTTTTTTTTCAGAACTGCCTTTTGTCCCAAACTGTCCATCAACTAAAGTTTGCAACTTCCCGAATCCGACAACAATACTTTTAAAGTCACGACCATAACTCCAGCATGATGCATAGAGCGATTCGCCCATTTGTCGGCGATTTTATTAATCGTCACGAGTCGGGCTCGCGATTCAACTCGAGGGACTCGTGCAGAGGGGGATATGTACAAAAGGGACTCTGCAGGCCCCGGTGTGGGAGGCCCTAGAGGGGTAGGACCAGTGCCGGATTATCCGAGGAGCATATGCTACGGGCCTCACACTAAATGCTTTCAAAACTTTTACGAACGAATGGGTGTTTAAGGTTAGCGATTTGTCGTATTATCTGGCTGTATAGCAAATGAAAAAATACAATTACTTTACTATGCAAGTCAAAAATGTGTTTTAATATTTACGTGTTTTTTTTTATTTAGGGCCCCTTTATAACATATGCTACAGGCCCCGCACTAGCTTAATCTGGCACTGGGTAGGGCGATGGGGGGGGGGCGGTGGTCCGAGTTGACAAGGCGAAGGGCAAGGTACACACGACACTGGATGGTTAACCCAGTGACCGTGGCTTTGTCCCCCCGAGGAGCGGATGAATAAAACATGTCATTTCTGAAATGTCACATTAATATTTGATGTGAAACAAATACTTCTAAGACCGTGCTAAATAATTAAGTGATTTTGGTTGGCCATGGTAGCCCAAGTGAATTGCATCGTCGGAGCAGTTGTATCCTTTCTGGCTAAAGTTGATTAAAATTTACTCTAAATTACATGACAATACTACTAATTAATTACCCATGAGAGCCTCGCTTGAGTAGTCTCAAGACTGTTTATTTTCTCAGCAGGCTCCTGCAGTAGGTTTGGTCAGTCTCACAAGCATTTGCAGTGTAGCAGGAAACTGGAGAAATCCCACCGCGCGTACGAGGGGCGACTCTCAACGTTCAGGTTGTGCGGGTTCATAGCCGCGCGCTAATCACTGTGCCACCACTCCCAACCCCGTTCTTTCTTTAGCTGGATTTGGAAATCACGTTTGGTCCATTTACGTTGAATCTTGATTTGAAGCTTTCATGACTGCAGGAATGCATACTCTTTGGTTCTTTCGGTAATGTCACGTAGGTATAAAATAAATCACGATGTTTCGATTGCAACACAAGCGGTCGTCCTCGGGCGGAAAAAATTACATTGGTTAAACTACCACATGGGCACACATTGCATGATGTGGTTAAGGAACTATTATACTGGTAGGAACGAAGTGGACCAGACCACCAATAGATTAATGTGTCCGTCCGTCCGTCCGTGGGAGGGGTGGTGTTGAGGGTGGTGTTGGAAATGAAAGACTACGAGTCTTTAAATCTCACAGCGTTTCTTGTCAAAACAAACACTTTTAATTAACGTTACACTAGAATACAGTAATTTTTTCTTTAACTCCTCTATACCCGGTCGATATCTCTGTACCGGTACTAAGTATTATTCCTACCAGCCCACCCCGCAGGGTCCTGTTAGTTTAACTGGACGGGTAAAATATTTTTTCCGCCACCAACTACCCGTTACAGATTTTGGAACTCGATAAATAAACCTCCGTGGCTGGAATGCTGAACTCCATGAAGTGATGTGCCATCTAAAAAACACCGCTCAGGGTGCCATGGGAAAGCCACCTTGGCTCCCTCTTCCGCGTCGCAGCACGTGAACCCGAGCGGGGAGCGCGATGCGGCTAGGTCAGGGGTCGGCAACCTACGGCTCCGGAGCCGCATGCGGCTCTTTACGGGCTGCTTCTTGACGATATGTACGTATGTACAGTATGTACTCAGATGCATTGCGGCTCTTGAAATACTGAATTTTGTACCGAATTGGAAAGAAATGGTTCTTCTTGTTATTTTGGTTGCCGACCCCTGGGCTAGGTGAAGATGGAAGGAGTTTTAGCCAGCGACCTAGCCCAACAGGCATTTATCCTCGGTAGTATTTGGAATTAAGTCACGGTAGCTCTTGCACCAGGTGCACGGCGCGTCCGTAGGATAGCGGCTCTGCCGGGGAGGTGTGCGGGCAATGCTTTGATTGCTCTGGCCGGTTTTCTCTCTAGGGCGAGTCTCTGATAGCGATGCAACTCTGTAGTCAAGTTTCATTAATGTTTAAAGATTTCGACCGTAGTAGTTTGGGATAGCATCAATAATTTTGTTTAAAACGGGAAGGAGTAATCTGTACGTCTTGCGCTGTGCAGCTGTGTGCCTGGACGGGACATTTCACAAATACGTCTTCACGCTCGAGGGCAGCTGCAAGAGGGAAGCCTTTGATGTCTACCTGGACCTGGAGAATGATGATTTCTAACTTCCGACGTTGCCGCTTCCCTGCCCGCCCACCCTCCACCTGGCTTCCCTGAACCGAGCCTTGGAAACGCCTTCACAGGCTGAACTTTCTGGGGAGAAACGACAACGGAAGTCAAGCACTGCACGCGGCGAAATGATATTTTCTAAGAAATCCGAGCAAGCGGTTTGTAAACGGAAGCCTTTCGTTAGGCGACTGCGTGCTGCTTATGTTGCCGGCATGCCCCCAGGGTGGGGGTTGGTTTGCATGGACGGGTAGAACCTCGTTTGGAGCCTCCAAGTAAAATTGCTGCAAGGAATGACCTACTGCAGTGCGATGACGACGAGGCTGTGACTTAATTTACAAGAGTGGGGCAGCTGTTTGCCAGTTCTCACGGCCCGAATTTTAAAGTTGTCTGCATTTCTCAACGTCTTGAGATTGCAAGTTGCATTTAGATGTTCCGCAAGTCTAAATTTGGAATGTAATTGAATTGTTAAAGATAAACAAATGCTCTCGCCTTACTTGTAGGTGAATTTGCTAAATAAGTGCACTCTCCTGTGGTTGATTAAATAACATTAAAAATAAAATATTGTAACCAGCGCTTAATTCCAGCAGCAACAGTTCCAATACTTATTTTGACATGGCACATCCACCCTATGCAGAAGTTACGTGAATATCGGGTACAATTGTATACGTTTATAATAGTTAGGCATATGCTGCTCTAGTGGTAGTGCTGTTATGGCCATAATCCCTTTACTCCCAAGCCCAGCCTAGCAGCGTTCCAGAAAGCAGTGAGAATCGAGCCCCGATTATAACGTGTGGCCTGGGTGGGGGGGGGGGCCTCGGGCAAAGAATGGGACAATTTTATTCAACTCGGACAAACGTTGGCTCAAATTTTTAAATCACGAGTAGTAGGAAATTAGAAGCACTCAATTATGCATTATTTCAAGATGGATCGTTTCCAGCAGTCGGGACATTGATTTCTGCTGAAATATGTGGATGTATTTTATAAAAACAAAAAAAAACATTACACTTGCAATGCCAAGGAGATGGTTGTTCTGGTTCGTCTGCTGATCTAGGCAGGCTTAGTCAGGGCTGGTGCGTTTTGTCGATGTTCGTAGCGACGGGTGTTCTCGTCACCATGGGTAAAGACAAACTACTGGAGTTCTGTAATGTCGATACGAATTAGCAACTACTTTTGAGGTATGTAATTTAGATATAGGTTACGAACGCTACGCAAATGCATATTTAATGAAGTGGTAGCATGTTTGTAACTGGTCGATGTTTGAGCCTGGCGGCCACCCTGGTTAAATACTGCGAGTGCGCGAGCCAAAAACACAAAGTGCTGTCCCCGTTTGCTTCCAAGTGGACGTTAAATATCCCACGACGTCGTTTTAAAACAATCTTTGGCCATCTGTGGCCGGCGGCATCACTGTCCGAATACGAAACGTTACTCAATTTATGAAATGAGAATAGCCAATAGCAACATCGCCCACCTCCCCTTTTAGGTTGGTGCTGGTGTTCACATTGTGCTGCACAGGGGGCAGCTGCCTTCAGCGGGGGCTCGGCTGCCCATGACATCTCGCGTATGACACTGGCCTTGCAGGAAAGGGATCGTAAAGAGGGGCATTGCCGGTTACAGCCCAATAATTGAGCGCAATTAATGCTAGATTTGAAGCTTTCGTGACTGCAAGGATTCATACTTAGTTTTTTCGTAAAAAGTCACGTACGTAAAAAATTAAATTAACATTAATAAAAATTTATTAATAAAAATCACGTTTCGGAGGCGCAACACAAGTCTCCGTCATCAGATGGGACCGTCACTTGATGCAGCAAATTTAGCTGTGACAGTCCCACCTGATGATGGAGACTTGTGTTGCCTCCGAAACGTGATTTTTATCATTTTATTTTTTTAAATTTCATTTGTTACCTACGTGACTTTACCGAAAAAACTAAGAGTATGAGTACGCAATTAATGCCTCCGCAGTGTCTTGCAATAATTTAAAACCGACCAGCAGACTCGGTTCCCACAATGCGAGAGCATGAGATTGTGCACTATCGTTAAGATGTTTTCTTTGTATATATTTGCATTAGATAAAAAAATGTGATTCCTTATTCCTCGGGTGTATTTAAGTTGTAGATTCGCTCAAATTATATTGGTGGGAATCACATGCCGACAACAAGGGTTGCCATTTGCCACCAAGTTGTGGTGACCTTGCCACAGAATGCTTGTGCCAGACGAGTTTGCACTTTGAGCCATGTGAAGTGGCAAATTCTCTGCTGGCAGGACACAGCACTCGAGGTGTAACAATGCATGAATCAAATATCGATTCTTACGCTCACGATACATGCATCGAACTGCACGTTTTAGAACAATGTTCCCCCCCCCCCCTATTTTTACGTTGTACATAATACATTAGGGCGATTCGAACAGCCTCTGGTGGCTGCGACATTCACTGGCGATTAAAATTGATTCTTGAAATCGAATCCTTACCCTGAATCTCAACAAGTCATCGGGTGCGAGAAATCATTCTACCACCAACCCAGCTTCCACCAGCGAAGCTTCTGAGATGCAATGAGATCAGGCTGATTAAAGGTGAATTTATCTCCGATAAATACCTCCCCAGGATTAATTTGAATTATGGCAGGGGTAGTACCACTGTGGTGATATGTTAACTACCTCACTTGGTATATAGGTTGTGGGTTTGATCCCAACCCTAATGCCTGTATATTTGGAGTTTGCATGTTCTCCCCGTGGTCGCGTGGATTTTTCTCTGGTTTTTCTCTCCACATTTAAAATCAACGTGCGTTTAGAGTAACTGGCTGCTTTAAATTTCCACGAGCCACTTTGAGCTATCATTCGGAGCCAGGTCATTGATGGAGAAATAGCTGTGGGCCTTACCTAGTTAAAAAAAAAAGTTTGGTTTTAAATAGTTCATACATTTTTCGCCTCTTAATACAAACTGCACATGCATATTCATATATACAGCATGGTTGCCATGAGCCGTGTAATTTACCACCACCGCCTTGTAGCCTGGTGCCTGCCAGCCCAGGAGCACAGTTACACCGCCCATGCACTTAACAGCCAAGCCACTGGACGGCCGCTGTTCTTGATTTGCAAACAAAACGACAATTGTGCAAAGGGGGTTGGAAGACTCGGGACACGGAGGGCACCCCGTGACTCGGCTTATACAGCGAGCGTCAGTCCCACCCCTGCGGGAGAGTCGAGTGCCGGATGGTGTTCCTCGTGCCACGATCTCATCGCACGCCATCGGCCACACAGCATCACTATGCAGATCAAGGCACATTGTAGCTTCGCTATCAACAGTTGGGTGCATGAGTGGGTTGTTTTTGCCATTCGTAACGGAACGGATGAAAGGCCTTTTCATTGTACTCGGAGCATCGGTTTGTATTTCTGAATACGAAGGACTGTGTTGTAGCAATTTTTTTAAACTCGTCATCGCTGACATGTCTGATACCATAAAAGGATCATACGCCGATATGTTTGGCTATGACTTTAGTACCGATTTGTTGTATGGTAATGGAGTTACATCACGAGATTGCTGTATAGCCACAAGAGATAGTGGCTTGGGATGCTATCTAGCAGTGGATAGGTCATGGCTGTTAAGTTGTGTGCTTATACCCCCGTCAATACAATTACCTTTTTTCCCAATCACAACATATGTAAATGCATGCTTTCACTCACACAAACATAAGCACACAATTTACTGTATATTTACCCAAGTGCCAAAACATTGTACTACATTTTTAATGCGTGTAATTATTTTGAAATGGAACATTCCAATTGAGTGCACTGAAAATATTATATCTATTTCTGTTACGTGTATGACTGTATAAATAATAAAAAAATGTGCTGTATCTTGAGTGAGCCTTTGTTCAATTCTGCCGGCAGGCTGCCAAAGAAGAGGCACAGGAATGCCACCCGGGCTGGCTGGGAGGGTTGACAACTAAACGTTTAAGTCTGCATGTCCCATCAGTGACGATATAAACATTGGTTTCGTAAACTGGGTCATGTGAATAAGACTCGTGGGAGACTTAGCAGCTTTGGGGTTGGGTGCACGGAATCAAGAATGAGAAACGCACAATGGCGTAGAAGAGGTGGCAGAAAACCTCCTACTAAAAGCGACAGCTGAAGAGAACTTTTCAAATGTGGTGATGAGCAACCACTCATCTCAGCCCACTTTCCTCAGAGAGACTCTTGTTTTGCGTGAATGGACGCAAGTGAGCGAACGCGCTAAAAAATCTGAAACAAGACCCTGCCTAAGTCAAAAGTATTCACTTCTGGTACATGATTCACGCAGCCAAGACCGCATGCAGCCACGGGTAAAATATTCCTAGGGGGCCGTTGGGAAGTGGTAAGCCCCAAGTGGCTGTGGACCGTATGAAATTAAGTAATGTTGGCAGATACGGCCCCCGTGGGTCCTCGGTTCCTGACCCCCCCCCCCCTGCGATTGTACTCTTTTTAACAAGTACACTCCAGGTTGGCAGCTTCACGCAACTGGAGACTGAGCTCTCAAAAGTGTTTTTATTCAAAATAGCACAAACAGCACTGTGTTTTGGCAGAAACTTACGATGCAGTATAGCCTTTTTACAATGCAGCAACAACCGGAGAACTAGAGGTTAGGGGTCGCAGGGATGCAACTAACGGCCAATATCCGTTACATTCAAATGAACTGGTCTCTCAGCTAAAGGGTACCTACCATTTCAAAATTGAAAAAAAATAACAAAAACGCCACGAGCTACTGGTAACATGCCATCCTGCCAGAGTGAATCGACGGGCAGTTATCACACGTTTATATTAAACTTTTTAAAAGGTAAATGTACACACTGAATATCTTACAAAATCAGCCCCCATTTGGTTACCACCTGTCCTCACTGATCCGTCGCAAACTTTTGACAGCTCTACTTGCCCAGAATTCCAGAAATTCACTTGTCATTTCTCTGTCTCTCTTTAATGATTTCCTCAACCTCTCGCTTCTCTTTCACATTAAAAACACAAATGATTACAGCAGGTTCTTAAACACATGCGTTATTGCACCTCTGGTGCCTACACAACAACAGCTGTAAACGTGGGGGTGGGTGGGGGGGAGCTGCAGAAACAAAGCGAAGGAAAGTTTTACAAAAACGAAAAAAGGAAGGAAGAAAGAACATATGCTCAGTAACATTACAACTACAACTCACCTGGCCGAACACTCACGGATGAACACTTTTACTGACAAAAGGAACAGGCTGCAACTTAACAAACGTGCCGGGCGCTGAAGAAATCGGCAAATCGATAAGTGCGGGAGGCATCACCAGTTCCAATTTGATTAGCGGCTGCATTTTTATTATCAACCCTGTTGTGTTGTGTTTCATTAAATTTTAAACCCTAAACTCTGGAATTAAAAATCTAATGTGTAATTCCATTACAGGTGATTGGAATATAAAAATGAGACTGGTTAAGGCGCATCTAAATTCAAAACCCGACTCAAAACTTCCACTTAAAAGTAATGATCTTGTCGCGTCCCTCGAGACGATACAAAGTTATATTTTGAAAGTCAGACGCATGGATGCCAAGTGCTTTTTTTTCCTTTTTTGTTTCGTTTCTTTTTAAGGTTTTTTTAAACAGTTTTTATTTTTTTTGTTTCTCGGTACGATCACTAAGTATACAACAACACCTACCCTATATATACAGTCTCCTGTGAGTAGTCCAAACCATTAGGATCTAACAGGCGTAAATTACGACGGTCCTTTCGATGCGTTAATAGACCCGAAATCCATGACTATACATTACACTAATCAAAATCACAGAGTACATTGGGGGGGGGGGGGGGCGGGGAAATATACAGTGAATGTATAAAAAAAAGCCAAAAAAGAAAAAAACAATGTAAGTTCTTGGGACGAAATAAAAAATAAACAATTAATAATAAGCAAAAGGGTAACATAACGGCTAAAGCTTGGCAATAGAACACTTTTTTTTATTGATAAAATAAACTCATATGCTTTTAAAAAACTACGCCGACGTTTTTAAAAACTTCAATTTTGGTAAGTACAAGCCAATTCTGTAAAACGCAATGCATGATGTGATAGGGTACAGAACGGGTACGGCTGGCGGCCAAGATCCCGGGCGCCATTCGCGATGGCACCATACGGGCGTGACACCGCCGCACAGACGCCACCTTCGCCGCCAAAGGGAGACCAAACAAGACCTTTCTCGCTCGCCTGGGCACTTGACCCCCCGCACGACCACTTGCCCCATGCTTGCCTGCTGCTGCTGCCACCACCTCACCTCCACTCGCTTCTCCCCACCGCCACAACCTCTTTCCCCCCCGCTCCCACCCCCCCCCCCTTTTCCTCGGGGGCGCAACACCCAGGGCGCTGGTTTTACAATCACCGCTTTGCTTTCGGAGAGAAAAAAAGACGCCGTTTGCGTTGTGGTAGTCTGTTCCCAATTACACAGCTTCCTGTTTGGGTTTCTTCAAGCCCATCGGGGTTTTGCTGCAAAAGAACAAGGGCAGGGCAGTAAAGTGCGATTATGTTAATTGCACGTAATAGATATCGTTGCCGCTTGCACGTGTGTGCACGTGTACTTTGTTGTTGAGAGTTGCCATAGTATTCAAGCATTTAGATTTATCTGGAAATGACATCCAACATATGCAATAGGCCATGTGTTACATTTTCAGCCGTTTATCCCAACACTTAAATTCAAAGAATAATTTGAGAAGCAGTGGAGTAAATAACGCACGCTCCGAGAAATTACAGTATTCAGCGGATGAGTACTGCAGACGTCCGTGACTGTGGGGAACTCACGTTTCTGGCGATGTGATGGGTCGCTTTGCCATCGGCTTGCTTCCTGGGGCATCTTTGCCAGCATCTAACAATGAGATGGATGTGTGGGGGGCAGTGGTGGAAGAAACAAATACACAACAGCTTTCTTATAGTACAAGCATCCTAGGAATTACTCGCCATGAAAAATGCCAATGTGACACACCAGCCATGAGTTCTCTATTCCTGTGTCTCATTTTTACTGCAATAGTTTTTCTTTCTATTTCCACCTGAAATTTACAACCTTCCATAACCATACCTAAATGGAAAAAAGCATTTATTTTTACATGCGCACTGATATAACAGCTGCTCCTCAATCGCCGAGTCAGTGACTGATTGCCCACGTGATCTAAAATATTTTTTTATTCGACCAGGTAAAGCCCACTGAGATATATAGGTCTTTTTCTGAAGTGACGTGGCAACAAATGATCGCTCAACAAAGTGGCTTATATGGAAATTTATAGCAGCCAAATACTCGAAACACATGTTTCTCAATGTGGAGTAAAAAACCAGAGGACCCGGAGAAATATCCACGCGACCAAGGGGGAGAACATGCAAACTCCACATATACAGGCGTCAGGGTCAGCATCAAGCCCATGAGATCCTGCATACCAGGCGAGGTAGTTAATATCTCACCATCCGATTGGCTTTGTGGACCCAACAAAAACATGCAACACTTTACAAGTCCGCATACACCTTCACGTGGGGAAGGTGAAATGACTAACAATGTTGGCGGTGCGCGCGCAGCCCTACGAACCTTGCAGCCACCGCACTTGTGTGGCGGGGCCATAGCCTTTCTGGTTGCGCGCCGAGATGCGGAAGATGATGGCGGGCTTGGCTCCCGTGTCGAGGTGAGCGCCGGCCAGGCTGGCGTTTGCCACGAGGCACGACGGCTCGGCGCCGCAGTACACGCGCGCAAACGCGAGCTGGGCTGCGGCGGCCGGGGCGCCGGTCTTGCCGTCGCCGGCCGCTTGCGCAGGGGGCTGGTTGGGCCGCTTCACCGCCAGGTAGACAGCGTATTCGAGGATTCGGCCGAACTTCAGGGCCGGCGGCTCCCACGTCAGGTGCGCTCCCTCCGGGGTCTGGCGGGCCGGGGGAAAAGGCGACGGTCGCGTACGTTAGTGGATCCCGGCGAACAAGCGGGCGATGGATTTTGTTGGTGAAAAAGAAGCGAGTGCGTGGCAGTGGCCGAGATCCTGGGTTGAAATCCAAAAAGCAAGCCGTGATCAAACTGGCTGGTTAAGCTTAGTCAATTGATGGTTTCGTAACCGTACGTAGCCAACCGTGCTAATTGGAGGTGCGGGAAAGCCAGTAACTGAAAAAAGTATTCCTTGGACCCGGTGATGGAGCGAAGCATGACATTTAGAACAGCGGTCGAGGCTGCTGCACAACCGTATAAACCAAACGCAACCAAAGCCTTCAGTTTCTCGCAACCACCGCTTCACCTGCATCCACCTCGCCAGCCCCCTCCACCTCGACTGCTATTCAACCCATCCTCCGTCTTCCCTCTCCAACACTATCGACAACTGCGGGGTGCCCTGCACCGTCAGTGGATGGCCCTCAAGGAGTCGCTTTGACTTCCTCTCGAGCAATACTCCCATCATCATCCAATAAAACTTCCAGATTTACATTATTTATTGTATTATTCGTGTTACATGTGCATTCTTGTACATTGATCCTATACAGTATAGGATTAATGTTATGAAACCTTTTCACTTTCTCCCGTATGTTGAGTCGGACACAGAAACCTATACACCTTTTTCCCCATATAAAAGGTCTCTACATTCGCAAATTCTACTTTTGTGCAGATTTTCAAGAACCTAACCCTCTTGAATGTCAAGGCCTTACCCTATACAATGCCTTTTGGGTTTGCGCACTACCGTGATGAAAGAAAACAAGAATAATAATCCACGTACCTTGCTGATTTTGATAGCGGAGGGCGCCCCGGGGAAGCCCGGCAGGCAGGTCTTGAAGGCGGAAATCTCGCTGAAGGAACCGCGACCGAGGGCGTTGACGCCGGCCACGCGGAACTTGTAGGCCGTGCCGGGCTGCAGTGACTGCAGCTTGAGAGAGCTGTGGTCAAGGATGCCACTCGAAGCGTCACCGTCCTAACCGTGTGCGTGGTGAGCAGTGTGCGAAAGGTGGAAATAGCACTCGGTCAGTCATCACCGTACAAACTAAAAAGTCGACAAGGTGCGGGGCCCTGCAAATGTTTGCTCACAACACGGCTGGGTTAAGAGCCTCAACTGAAAGGGAGCTCCGGAGAGCTCCTTTAGTGGGTATTTAGGCTGGCTCATCCACACTGGCCATACCATCTTGGAAGATAATGGAGTTACCCACACTTCGCTCCACCACACGCACTCCGCCGATTGACAGTGGTGTTGTCATTGACGCTGCTGGAGGCCCTTCCGCCAGCAGTGGCGCGAGCGAGGAGTAATTTCAGGGCAGCACCTTCTCCCATTACCGCACCAATAATGAGTAATAACGCAATGGCTCATCACAAACCTCCATGCTGCTGTCGTCAGGAGGCAGGTGGTAGCGAGTCACCACGGTGTTGGTCACTTTGAAGATGCCCACGTCAAACCAGGGCGCAGACTCCTTCTTGGCGAGCGGTTTAGGCGCAGCCTCAACCACCTCCGGCTTCTGTTCCACGAGTCCGCAGACAACATGCACGCGCGGCAATGGTTAGAATTGGCCATTCACCGGACAAGTCTGCAACTTAATGCTTGTACAACTCAATGTTAAATATGGAAAAAAAATGCTTTCATCTTGTGGCAGGTGAATAATGTTGATTCTGGGCTGTGCAATAAGAGATTTAAGTTTCGTCATTAAGAAAATGGACTTCAAAGTTGCTCTCGTGCAAGCACCAGTGACGTCACTTTGACAACTCTTACACATGACGACATGTATTGGAGTTGTTACTGTTAGTATGGCAGCAAGTCTAACATTTTTAAGTCTATTTTAACATTACCAAAACTTAAAAGTCATACTGGACTAGCCTGAAAAGATATCTACTAACTAATCAATACTTGAAGAGTGAATATTTCTTCAACAAAATTGGGGAACATTCAAATTTATAATTTTACGAGAGGTGCGCGAGTAAAATTGAGCATATTCTTTGGGTCTTTTGGTAAAGTCATGTAGATAGGTTGAAAGAAAATTACAAAAAACAATGACGTTTCGATCGCAACACAAGGCATCCGTATGGGTGGCTTTCCTATAGCCAGTGTCCCATTTCACCATCTGGTCTCTTTTCGATTAAAACATCAAAAAATAGTAGCTTGCCATCCTTTTCCGCTCGCGCGCTCACCGTGGAGACCACTCACCGATCTTACATTAACATGCTAACTTTTAGCTGGCAGCCCTTTAATTGGTGGAAAACCGATCCACGGTCGCAGCTGCTGCCCCACCACTTACATTAACATTAGCTGCCAAGTCCATGCTGCTGACATTTGAGCTACGACCATTTCAAACCTTTCTAGTTTGCCTTTAGAAGTTAACCCCCTTTTCCTGATGACGACCGCTTGTGTTGCGATCGAAACGTCGTAGTTTTTGTTATTTTCTTTGAACCTATCTACGCGACTTTACCGAAAGACCCAAAGAATATTAATTCCTGCAGTCACGAAAGCCTTAAGTCAAGATTTAAAGTTTAGCAATTAAACTCTTACCACCTCTCCACCCCGTGGCCTTCTCTCAGGAGCTCCCAAGATTAATGCTTTGATTCCAGAACCAATTATGTTTCGTCTCATTTGTTTCTTAGAGTATATTGTTTATATAGTTTTAACAGTTTTCTTGAGAATATCATATAATTGGCACATATATTTAACTTGGGCACAACGTGCACGATTTCACACATCTGCCGTGAGCTTAAAAATCGACATTAAACAGACGAATATGCGCACGTCCCATGGCAACAAAATGATGCGATCAAGTTAAGGGGGGGCCAGGGCGGCCCAGTGGAACGCACCGCTATAGTGATAATAGTAGGACTTGACGGGACGTTGTTTGCCACCTGGGCCAGCACGGTGGCCGCCTGCAGCTTGGCGGGGCTCGCGGGCACGGTGGACACGATGGGTATGGTGGGTAAGATGGGCACGGTGGGTAGGATGGGCACGACTGTGGGCAGGATGGGCACGGTGGGCAGGATGGGCACGACGGTGGGCACCGGAGCGGTGAGAAGTGTGCTGGACGGAGCAAGGCCTGCAAGAAGGAAGGAATCGGCTGAGGTTAATGCCACCCACGACACACACGCGCTCTCATCTCGTAAGGTTCTCAAAATGTGATTATTTGTATTCACACATGTATCTAGCCAAGCTTGACTCAATTAACTGTTGTGATACCGAAACATTGTGGTGACTTTGGTGGGTTTTTGCTGCTGGAGGGGGCCACAACGAACCTATTCATTGCATACAACATATACTCATAAAAAAATTATTCTTACACAAATCCATGCACATATCGGGAGCTAGCATAATAAATATTATTCAATGAATCGATGCATCATTGCACCCCTGGTTATGTCAAATTCAGTAGACGTCATGTGCAACCCGAGCTACAACATGTCTGAAACTTCACGAATGCATGAGCGCACACCTGCAAGCACTGGGAAGTGGTTCGACTCCGGAGCGGGGTCGTTGAGGCTGTCAGCTGGGGCCAGCGCATCTGATGGCGCTAGAGGTTCGATCTTGGAGGGCAGTAGCGAACCTGCTCTCCATGCAACACGCACGGGCAAATTAGTGTGGAAACATGCAAACACACACGTTGTTTGACTCACAGACACACACACACAAGTCCACACTCGCACTAACATGTACACAAATACACTCAGATTCATGCAAAGACAAATAACCCCTAAAATACTTTAACAGACTGTGCACACAAGTGCTGTTAGTGAGCACATGTGAATGCCAATACGGGGTGATGAGACCAGGCACCATACCAGGCCATCTTTATCTCTCCAGTGCTGATTTTACATACCACAGCAGGTACTCATTGAAGGCCAAGTCAATTTAACACCATATTTCTCTTATAACGGGAAAGTATATACAGGAAACTGACGTTTCGGGCAATGACCCATCTTTAGCGAGGTGGTGCAGTAATGGTGCGTCCGACACACGCATGCGCCCACCTGCGTGCGACGCTGGCTGAAGGACGACGGTTGCCGTCTCGGCGCTGGACAGGCACGCGGGGGTGCTGACCGACGCTGGTGCCGCGTTTGTCGGGGGCAGGATGATGGTGGTCGTGGGGAGCGGTGCCGGGACGGCCACCTTGATGGCCACAGTGGCAGTGGTTGCAGTCATGGTGATGGCGGTGGCGGCAGCAGCAGCAGCAGGGGCTGATGGTGCCGAGGATGAAGGGGGCTGTGGTGGAGCTACTACTACTGCTGCTACGGTTGCTGGCGCCGGGGCCACATTAGTGCTTGCCGGTGGATTCACGGCAGTGTTCACCGTCTGTCGGGGAAATCAAGACCAAACTCAGTCAATGCCCCTACATTTTTTCGATGCCTCTCATATCATGTAACAAGTGTACATTTCAAAACTTTCCGTCTTCATTAATAGGGGGCTTTTAGGCATGATGTAACATTTTTTGCACACACTAAACCTAGAAACAGTGTTTCAAAGTCAAAATCTAAGTTTCAAGTTAAGCTTATCTTGTTTAGCCAGGTGAAAGAGATAATGACCTGGGGCATTCGTCTGCCAGTATAGGGTGATGACTGCTGCTGGGCATAACCTCAATTGAGCAATTTGCAGTGCAACTTTTGAATTTGGCAACTTTTGACCCCTGACACCGGTAAATGTCATCAAGGAATCTTTATCGCCAGTTGCAGTTATTACATTGGCAGTAAATATTCACGGCGGCCGCTGAATTCGAACCGTGAACCTCTGTAACAAGCGGCAAACGCTTTACCGCTAAGCCACCACCCAAAATAATTCCCCTCTATTACCCGAATAATGGGGCTAAACTGCTTTACAAATGGGAAATTTTGGCGGGGCGAGCTTGATGTGTCCACTTGGCCATAAGAAATGAATGTGCGGTCATGATAGGTTTCCCACCTCTTGCTGGAATAAAATGTACCCAACTTAACCTCGTGTGACAATAGGTTCACAATTAGCACTCTCTCATAGGAGTGCCATGAGGTGAGCAAATACAATTAACTTGTTCAATATGATTCAAAGAAAAACCTCTATTTAGGTTAAATTCGGGTAAATAATGGTTAACGTGGTTCCACTGTTGACCGGCTGTGACCTCTCACCTGTGCGGGTTGGGGGGCGGCCTCGCCTGCCTTTGGTGCTGGTGGGATCGCGACTGCTGCTGCTACTGTCACCGTTGCCGTCGCTGCTGTCGCTATTGTTGTTGTCGCCGAAACTGTGGATGCTACTGCTGCCGCCCCCCCACCACCACCGCTGTTGGAGGTGGTGGCTGCAGTCTCTGAACTGGCCGCTTGGTCCGAAGTGGATGCGATCGTCTGCAGGTGTAACGATGCAACGCTCTGTGTAACACAAGTGTCTTTCTTAGAGAGAGTCGGGTTTTTTTCTTACCAAGAGTCTTGAGACTCAGCGAGATATTCATCATGAATGCAAACAATGCTAAATATGCTACAATAATGATATGATGCAACGATACCATCATCTGCTTTCACCATCTTCCCTTAACATTTCTTACCCCATCCTCTTTTGAAAAAAGTACCCTAATCAACAATTATTTCAAATTACCGCACTGTATAGGTTCCCCCAGCTACATAAGGGGATGTTGAAGAATGGTGGCGAATGGGGGAGGCTTTCAACCAGCTGTGGATTGGTTATGGCTGATGATGATCATCCATGAGACAAGTCAAAATCGAAATTGTATCACGTTATATATATATCTTTTGTTGCATTCTATTTTAAGTATTGATAATCCATTAAAACTAATACTAATATACGAGCGCTTTGAGAAAATAAGCAACATGTAACCATCACTATAATAAATAATAAACATTAATGTATATGATGCACTTACAGATATTTGTTGTTAGATGTAGCTGGAAATCAAACTAACAAAACAAAGATATACTATGATACAATTTTGGGGGCAAGTGCTGCTATCGAGGCTGAGTGGACCTAGGGGGAGGCCTAGGAGTGGTTCGAACACGGGTCACCAGGCTCATGGCGAAGTGCAATGCTAAGCACTGCACTATTGCTCCCAACCACAAAACAAAAAAGACAATCCCCAAATAGCCTAAACAGTCAGTTGGGGCAAGTGGTGTGAGCAATCACCTATGAAGGCCGACTCGGTACACAAAGGGGTGGGTGGCCAGAACCACGCCCGACTGCCTTTGTCTCCCCAGTGGCGATGTTTGCACACTGCACCAGGTACACATTTCAGGCTGAGCCAACCTAGGGGAGGCTCAGGACCGATTCAGATAACAAGTCACTGGTGGTGGCTATGAGCGGGAATCGAACTGGGTTCATCGGATTCGTAGTGCAGTGCGCTAACCGCTACACCACAAAACACAAAGACAAAGGACACATGCAAAATCACATGGCCCTTACCGAGATGGCGGGCCCCGGGGCGGGCGTTGACTGCGTGACGTTGGTGACGGCGCGGGGCTGGGCGGCTGACACGGTGTTGGTGGCCGTGTTGGTGGTGCCGGCTGTGGCGGTCTCCCCGTGCACGCTCTCCGGAATACCACCCTCGCCCGTAGGGGGAGGCTGAACTGTTGGTACAAAAAAAGCGTGAACGGTGGAAGTTCAAGAACATTTATTTTTTAAAGTAACTAATTTGAGATATGGCCGAGTGGCAAAGGAATTTGAGCAACGAGCCAGTACCCCCCCCCCCCCATTTATATTCCGATTGTGCTATCAGTGTCATGTTATTGGTCTATGACATTTAAAACTATCTATTCAAATGTCTAGCAAAGCAGTGCAACTCTTCTGCTCATCTGCAGTCCATCGCTGATACCAAAAGCTAGCTCTGCACCGATGGTGCATCACAGAAGGTGATGACACTTTCTGCCACTCGCTCTACAATCAAGTTTGTCACGTAACAGTCAAAGCAACATTTTACATTTCTAAGAGCTGGATATTAGACAGTGTGTAAAAATGTAAGTTTACGTGATTACCTTTTTTTGTGTGCAGTCGTCATTGGTGACCAGGCTGAGACCATCAACTGTCTACACTTGAGAACCCAATTTAGTCACAGGCGGCCACCAAAATTCAAACTCAGCATCCCAGGTCATACTAGCTCACCCCTCTGACCTTCTGTGACATCCAGCCACTTTTTCCGTATCTGTTATTACTTCCGGCAAAGCGGTGCAAGGTGCAGACTGTTACCCTGGTTGGGGTCCATGCTGGCTGTGGTTGTGGTTGACGTGTTGGTGGTGTTGGTCTCCGACGTCTCGTGCGGCGGGCTTTTGCACTCGGGCGGTGCAACCACCTCTGCTGGGGGCTGGGCAACGGGGACAACTGACACAGCCACGGTCTGTGGCTTGACAAGCTGCTGTGCCAACATCACCGGCTGTGGAGAGAGCGACGATGGTGGCTACATTAGGAAAGCAATTCTTAGTCGATTTAAGAAAAACAATAAAAAAACAGTGGCAGGTTGCGTTAAGTATAAATGTTACACTTGGTACGTACTTTAATGTGTTACAGTAAATAAAAGATCAAAACATCACTGCAAGAAACCCTTGCAATGACAGTCGTTTACAGCCTGTAGGTTGGAGATTACACACCCCTGACCGACAAGGTGAGACATTTTTCTTAGAGATCAGTACTGCACATTTCCAACAATCAACTACCAACATCCCCAATGCAATACCATGAATCAAGAGCACTGTGTATCGAGAGCACGTCACGATATCGCAGCATGCGGTTAACGCATACCTGGTTGATAGATGTGGCAGGCACGGCCGTGGTGCTGGTGACATGGGTGAGGGTTACGTTGGGTGCCGACGGCCCCGCCACGCCAGCCACCTGAGATGAGAGGGCGGCGATGGTGGCCAGCGTCGTGACAGGCGTCGCCAGTGCGGCCGGGACGCACGTCACGCCAGCCGCAGTCTGTGTGCTGAGGGCACCGGTAACTGTGCCCAGTGTCGTCATGCCTACGTCACATGCGCACACACACGGGTTTAGACCATAGATATACAACTTATGGCTCTCTTGTGTTTTTACCTGGCCTGTGAACACCAGGAGTACGCGAACGTAAAGTACTCGGTGGGCTTCTCGTCACGAATAGGCTACCAGGCCCACTGAGAATCTCCGAGATTCCCGCTTGACTCACAAAACATCACATTTCCCAATTCTAAAGTGTCTTTCCAATTAAGTGGCTTTTACACATCTCCCTCCACGCACACAATATACCGAAATATACACAGATAACACAATGATCCCTTCTATATCTGTTAAAAGACTGTTGGGGCAAGTGATGTTAGGCTAGCACCTATGGAGGCTGGCACAGCACACAAGGGGGTGGGCGGCCAACACTATTCACAGCCAGTGCTGATGTTTACACACCACACAGGGTACTCATTTAGGGCCCAGTCAACCTAGGAAAGCCCAAGGACCAAATTGCAGTTTAAAAATATTTGCCACTATTATCAGTCGTAACGCAATACACTACCATTCCCCACATGTAATCGCGCACACGCACAAACCTGTGGTGCCCTTGACGACCAGTGTGGTAAGGGCAGGCTTCCCTGCAGTGACGGTTGCAGGGGAAACCAGACGCACCCCTCCCATCATGGTGGCGGCCGACATGGGAGTAACGGCGCGCAGGATGGTACCGGCAGGGCCTGTCCCACGCAGCAGCACCTGGGACGGATGGTTGTGAATTGTACACGTTAATGCAAAAGCATCTACATACACACAATACAGAAAGTGCATTTCTCAATTGGTACACTTAAGGCCCGTGACGCAATCGCCCGGAAGTCACACCTCGGCAGATAAATGAGGTTCAGACTGAACAGCGATCGGATGGGAAAGTCTGCCCACATACATTAAAAATGCAATTAGAACTTCAGTAGAATGATCGATTGAAACATTACACACCTAGTAGGACCATAGAAAGCAGAACTGCACCACGATATTGCTTGGATGGACAATTATCATGCGTTGCGCGATAGAAAACCGAGATTATTATTTATTATAGAACAGGTGCTGTAGGCTACTACTGCTGGGCTTTCAGTCTGCGGAGGGCAATGCAATATCCATCGTTATACTACACTATTATGCTCCAATGGTGTAACAGGTTTTTGTAAGTGGAATTTAAAGGCCTAAAATTGTAATTTTAACCGAGCCAAAAAATGGTTCCCTGTTTGTCCTCAAATCCGTAAGATCCACTTTGACTTAGGTCAGTCATGAAAATGAGACTACAGTTTACCCTCGTTATTTCGGTATTTGATCATTCGTAAATGGGAATAATTCGGCACGGCTGCGCTTTCGGCATATGTACAGAATTAGTAATTCGCCACGTGCCGAATTTCCGTACCGAATGGTCTAATTTCGGCAAACACGTGGCACGACACCGCTCGCCACGACCAAAACAACGACTCAGTTGAGTGGCGGCGCGCATGTCGAGCGTTAGTGCAGACCTGTTGCTTTGGACTTTACCTTGTTAAAGCACTCTACAAGCCAACCCTCTCAGATACATCGTCTACAACTACATTAAGTAATAGAAAGGGACTGAAGTATAAAACCCTTGGTCTGGATATAATTGATGCAGGTGTGTCAATGCGTACGGTGTGTGAAGAGTTTGACACAAAATAAAGCACATTTAATGACATTAAGATAGGCCGGGAGAAATTTTTTGGAAAAAAATAATTGGGGCAGGAGACACTGCGAAGTACCATTGTACATAATTCAGAATATTGGATCATTCGTAAATGTGTCGAATTAACAAGAGTTTACTGTATTTGTCTCCGAAGTTGCCACCTGGTTAAATAAATCAACTTGAACTTTAGTGCTCACCTGTGTGACTCCGGACTGGGTGCTGCCTAGTTTAGGCATGGCTGTGATAATCTTTCCTGGAGCTCCGGTTCCAGAGGTCATGACCTTAGTGGTGATGTAAGTGATGGGGGACTTCATTCCACCTGCTTGAGTTCCACCTACAGTACATCACCAGGTAAACATAAATACAAAACATTATATGCATTACAAGACACATGCCCAAGAGAGATCTCAATGACTTGAAAAGAACTGGGCATGGACTGGACACGGTGGTCGAGACTTATGAAGGGAGTGGACATCCAACGTAGAGGATTGGAGCGATGAAAGCAGTTCGCGTGCTTGAGCCAGATGGGATTGTTACGTCGCAAGACTGTGAAAAATGGCTTTCATCCAGCAGTGGATTTTACCAAGGGCGACGATGACGATCCCATGCCTATACTGTATTTGTCTGTTTTTGATTACCAACCTCCATCCCCTATCTGTGGAGAGAAGGGAGCAGGGCAGGGGTCAGAGAAGCCCGAGGCCACAATAACAAGCTTATGGAGCGTGGGCACACAAACCCATGGATCCTCCACGACAAATGGAAACCAAACTAGGCCATTCCTGTGCCAGCAGAGCCTGGTTCCCCGCATGAGTGGAAACAAAGCAATACCATAATCCGATGAGATTTTTGTATCCAGTTAAGCACTGTGTGATCGGTCACCTGTAGCCCCAGCTTGGCCCATGAGCGCCGACATTGGGATGGTCTTGATGATGGTGGCACCGCCGGGCTTGCCCATGACGGTGCCCGTGTGGCCGGCCATGGCACCGATGTTGAGGATCTGTGCCGTGCCAGTCATGCCACCCGCCTGCGAGGTGGTGATGAGCGTGGCAGGCTTGCCGTCCGCCGATGTCACCAGCTTCACGATGGTAGCGCCCGGAGGCAGGGTGCCCTTGGTCTGTGGTGCAAATGGTGGAGAGATGATAGGGATGTAAATTACTCGATCACAAGTTTTTTTACCAGGTAAGGCCCACTGAGCGAGATAGCTTTTTCAGAAGCAACCTGGCCACAAATGACAGCTCAATGAAGCGGCTTATCACGTTTAAGTTAATAGCAGCCAAAATACTCTTAACGCATGCTTCTATATGTGGAGGGAAAAACCGTAGGAACCGTCCTCGGTCTCCCACTCCGCAACACAATTAAAAGGTGAAACCGCAACTCTGCAATTGCTTTCGCACTCAAATGCTAGAGGGCGCTCCATAAAGAGGGTCAGAATCGGAATCCTTTTTGATAATGGAGGAATCTGATGAGCTATGAAGCTCTTTTCCAAAGATGTCCAAGTATGGGTGTGTCATGTCCAGTATTTGGCCTACCCTTCCACACTGTCCAGAAGCGGGAATACCCAGATTTTACCTCCCCCCCACCCCCTCACCGCGACCAGCCAATCACCAAACTGCTGGGTAATTGCTGGGTGGACAGGGGCAAAGGGATATAAGAAGTCTGCCCAACCGCACTGCCGGGAACTCGAATCTTACCTGGTGACCTCTGGACTGCAAGTCCAGTGTACTAACCATCGTAGCATAGCAGAATCTCCCGAGATAAGTGGCGTCTGCTTCACAGTGTAATTTAACGATCCTGCGACGTCATTCACAAGAGTAAACCATTGTGTGCCTGCATCATGGTCCAAATTTGGCAAATTATAAAAATGAATTAGCAAATTACTTAATTTAAAAGTACGTAGCAATTATGGCCCCCGACTGCAAAAACTTGACAGGACCCTTCTGTAGAGTCCTCAAACTTGTTGAAGCCTTCCTGGGTAAGCAAGCGTAATAAAATAAATAAATAAAATAGAGTTTTTTAGTCTGAAATAAAGTGATTTTTTTGCCCAGTTTAGCATATGTAGAATCTAGCTAGATATGTAACTATTCTCCGAGTGCATTACCACGATTAAGAGTTACAATTCAAAAACCTTACTTTTACATTGTGGTGAATATAAGACGAGTGGTGATAGGATCACATCAATTAATGGGAAATGTTATTAAATAAACAAGGAGTTGTGCAAAAGCTACCATAGATTATTGCTATTCTATGCAGTTGTTCTGTTCACATTTGTGTATACACACACTGAGCACTCCTAATTATCCAAGACACCTTATTGGAACAAACCGTTCATCTTAGCTTTCAGCCAAAGTAATACAAATCATTGCCGACATTAACAGATATGCTGCTGGGATTTACTTGGATATGTTAGCACTCGACTTTCTATAAAGGATTAACTTTACTCGACACAGTGGAAACATGAAGGTCCAGCAACCAACAGTGGATGGCAACACTGGCTGGCCCCCGATGTACGAATTAAGATGCTAATATTATGAAACGGCATTTAAAAACCAGTTTCCCTAACATCTCGAGGATTGTTTTGTAAGTTGATGCATTGTATAATTACGGACTGGACATACAATAGCCTTGAGTTGTGCACACATTTAAAATGCTGCGTTTCCCTCACTGGAACCATCATGGATGTTGCAATGGCTCCCCGGTGGTGGGGGTGTGTGTGTGCCTTGTGCAGTTCATTGCACATCTCGAGCACCAATCACCACAACGATTGCACCATGGCTCTACCCGGAGGTGACGCTGGCAGCTACTGAACAAAACATGTTTATTTTCCCCCTCTGGTAGGACAACTGCCAAATTATGCGTGTATCTTTTTCTTCTTTCGTTACAATCCCCCCAAATGAAAACAACACCCCAAATGCCAAAGCCTGGGGGCACAAAATTAAATGAAGCACATCGGTGCGAGAAATAAGGGAGCGATGACTCGCTGGGGCCATCCCACATCTCAGTGGTGGACATGCGTTGTTGCAATGAAAATTAAATATGCATTGCTAATGAACTCAGGTGGCCAGGCAATTTAAGGGGCTAATAAGTGTTATCAAGGCAATGAGCCAGCACTTCTGTTAGACTGGGTTTGAATCGTGGCACCTACATACAATTAAACTGGATTCACAAGTATAGTGAGATGATGGTCTCAGCTTGGTCACAAAATAATGCACAAAAACAAAATGGTTTGATTGCCATGGTGAAATTACTATTTGAAAATGAAATGTGCACCACCCTTTGCGTGGCTAAAAGGCAATTGTTGCGACTTTATAAACGGTTCTGTGATGCCATCTTCTGGGGCCATTTTCTCACACAAGTAGATTTTTTTACACTGGTAACTTTGAGAATTCAGAATGTCTTAATATTAAGACATAACAAGAACAGCAGTATGAATGAGATTGGGAGGACAACTGTCAATAAAAAAAGGTTGAACCAGTGTTAGGGATGTTCTCAGAAGCATGCACGAGACTATCCACTCGGGAAAGGCTACGATCCCCATCAGTGTACTTGCGCAACGGTAATCAATGCACAAACACTGTTGCAAAACAATGCTTGCTCTGGAAATGAAACTTTACACGCAGTAAAGGTGAACCCTTCACCATGTGCACCAGGCCATCTGCAAGCACTGAGGATGAGTCGCAGCCCTTCCCATCAAGCACAAAAGGAGGCACCCCTGCTCAGTTCCACACCAACTTGATAAACAACCTCCTGCTGTTGAGAAATTCACCGGCCAACTGGCAACACATTTCCCCGCAGATGATGCCAACGTTGGGCACACAAAAGCTTGTTTACTGGCTCCAGTTTGGGCTTATTTATTGCGTTAGTGTGGATCCAAGCATTACAATTATCTTCACGAGCGTACGCAGGCTGCTACAGGGATTGGAAGCATTAGTTGCACACGAACACTAAAACGACAACAATTATGCTCGAGCCATACATTATCAACTGTACGTCACCCTGCAGCGGGTCACTTTGTATTCGTTTTTGTTATTAATCCTGTAAACTTGGTTCGTTTGCTTTTTGGTGAAAAATATCAGCATTAATGCTTATGGATAGCAGTAGACATATCATGTTTGTGTGATCCGCAAACAAAACCTACATTCGGTCATCTGAAATATCGGGACCGGCCACAGGAAGGCATCACCGGGTCTGGAGAATAGATGGGTGGGCTGTGAAAGGGTTTATCCAAATAAAATTTGTTTTTGGTTTTGATACTCATAATTAATGTACGAGAGGGTCAATATAAAAGGAGGCAAATGGCTTTTCAAACGATCCTACAAGCTGCCGTCAAGAGCTTGCGGGACCGACAAAATAAAAATCAAAGAGCACACACAAACCGGCAAACCACTCGCCGCCACAGGACAAAGCGGAGGAGGCTAACCTGAATGAAGTGGGCGAGAGAGCTCGCCTGCGAAGTGACAACCCCAGACTGCACAGGCTTAGTCTGCATCAGCGTCACCAGAGAGCCCAGATTGGAGAGCTACACGGACAGGCAGGCGGGAGAGGATACATACACAACACAGCCGGAGGGGACAGCAAGGGGGGGTGGATACAAAGGCAGTGTCACTACGTGCACAAACAAGGCCCAGGCAGAAAAAAATCACCCAAACCACAGCAATAAAAATAAAAGATTCCCTGCTCAATCTGAGCATTAAAGCTGTGTGAACCTTGTAAGTACGGGCCGCTCGCTCTACCACTGAGCAACCAGGCTGGGTCAACCAAATAAAGTAGTTCCTCATTTAATTAAAAAGTAGTCCCACGTAATTGAATAGCTTTAAGTCAAGGACGTCACTGTTATTTGAACTCCAGAATATTTTTGCCACATCGGTGAAGGGTGATGTGACCCAATAAACAAATAGCTCTTATCTTATAGATTAACTAGCTTCAGCTATATATCCTGAACTGTCCATCACGTCTTAAAATTAACTGAAATAAAGAATCAAACGTCACTTCAGAAGCACCCCCACAGTAGTGTGCTTTAATAACATCTTTCTAACAATATGCAGCACATTTTTGGCATTGGACATGTAAAGCATGTCAAAAATGTATTCTAGAAAGATAAAAGCCAGTGCTCGGCACAGGGGAAAAATAACCAGGGTTCGAGAGGTAAATTGTTAGTTTTATATTTCCAGAATGTACCATGGATCGACTGCATTTTGAAAGTGAACTAAAATATACTCTGGTGGGTTCTATCATCTATCAGTTAACAGCATATGTTAAGCTGATCTCAGATTTAAAGCCGTATGCAAGTCGTTTTGTAAAAATGAATGCACATGATATAAAACAAATCTTTGCAGATATAGAAATATAAACATTTTAAGGAAACATGATATTAGTTTAGATGGGCAGGCAAATTGGCTTACATAAAAGACGAAAAAAGAAAAGCTCACAAAAACTATGGATAGAAAAGAAGTTGTCAACTGTAGGAAAGACAACATAGCACAAAGTGTGAAAAATACAATTAATCACCCCACTGCCCCACAAAATAGCCCACAAATAAGATTCAACCATCCACCAAACACAATAAAAAAACAGTTACACCATGTTATTTTAATACGTTTGTATTTTTTCTAAATGTATTCTAATTGCCTTCTTGCCACGTGACAGATAAGGCATTTTTATTCTCACAGAGACGTTTACTCTGTGTGTGGTCGACATTTGCCCATGGGCGAGATTTTTCAGAATGACCAAAAATCCTTCAAATGTAATTTTTACCCTTAAGGCAATAGGGTGCGCACTTTCCCAAAAAGGCGTGTTTCATTAGACAGTGAAATAAATACAATTATAATTCTTAACAGCTGGAATTTAGGCACATAAAGTGCAAAACAAAACATAATATGATGGATCACTGCTGACCGGGCTGATACCATCACATAACTACATTTGACAACCTAGTTTAACCTGAATTCGAACCCAGGGTCTCTGGGGTGCTAAACTCAGCACTCTGGACCATGCAGCACTCGAAAAACATTACCATCGTATTCAAGAAAAAAAACGTTATGGTGTTTTAAAATGCTATTTAATAACTTACTTTTCAGGAAGACATATTGCTACGTTTATTGCAATAAAATCCTGTGTTTACTCAGCATATGTCTTAGCACTAAACCCAAGCATGCTATAATTTTATCGCCACTTGGTACTCGGCCACAAGTGTGAGTTCACAGACCAATCGGTGGGCACTAGTAATATTTACATCATGATGCAAAGTAATAATTATTTAACATTTAGCCAATATACACTGGTTAATGCTGCCAAGAAGCATAACCCAGCTGGCCAGTTAAACTAAAATATATGGAAACACAAAGCAGGTGGAGACTGGCACCGAGGTCGCCCTCGCAAGAGAGGCAAACACCGTTACAGATGTATCAATTGGTTTATTTAATCTCCAGGTTAAACAGAGGATACAGCAACCTACTACCATCATTGTCCTCTGCCTGTCAACTTCCACTTGCATTAACATTTGGGTTCTTTTTTTCTCGAAGAAATCAGCCACAAGCCACAATGGGTAAGGTTTGTCTCCTCAGGTGGCATGGACAAATGCTCTCGGCCAATAACTTTTTAGCCGGAGTCGAGGGTGCAACAACGCGACGCTCTCCCGACACGGGCGACGTGACGACGTACCAGTGTGCCGCCCCCAGCCACGGACAGGGGGCTCTTGACGAGGGTGATGGTCTTGGTGACGCCTCCGATCATGGTGGTGACCACCTGCGCCTGCGGCATTACCGAGATGGTGCCGGACTTGTGCACGGTGATGATGGGCCTGCCCGAGGTCCCCGACACTGTTCCAGGTGAAGACACCTGGGCCATGGCCGACTTCAGCATGGAGGTCGCAGGAGCGTTCACCTGAAGGGAATGGCGCTATACTCAAAAATAATACTGCTCTTAAAGATATCCTGCCGCTGTTACCGCCATCAGAGGGTCGTGGGTCTATTAACGTGTTAATGGGCCCATAGTGGTGCGTAAATGAAGAAAAAAGGATGTTGAAATGGTTCGGAGCTACCGATTGATCGCGTCATTCTTTTGCAGAGCGGCATCTTTTGTTGTACTAAAGCACCGTTAATGACGACGACCAAATGAGGTGGATCATCATCTTCACTTAAGACAAAAACTAGTACAACAAAATGTTTTTTTACATCTTAGATGTGTACCTCGGATCTGTCCTGAGCTGTCACACGCGAGTTTGAGGCTTCATAAATGTGGGGTAAAAATATATTTCAAAATTATGGAAAGGTAGGTCACCATAGCATTATCTAGTAACACCAAATGATACATTAAAAAATATTGGAGTGATGTTACTTAGTGTGATAATGACACGGCAGACCGTAACGAACAAATATTCAAACTTATATGGAACAGCCTAGAAGGTCGACATCCATCTCAGGTTGTATCTTCGTTTAAACTATTGGTTAATCTGGTTTGTCTGAATAATTGAGGTGTGATTATAACAAGTGTTGATATTAATGCAAGTGCCGACTTTAAAATGGTTACCAGAAATTAACTCTTAATGCCTCTGAACTAAATTTCATGAGGACTCAAGAATGAGGCATTAATTTCCATACCAATCTCATCGCCCGCATAAAAAGCAGAAACGGCAAAGCCACGAGCACGTAATTTGTGAACCATTAATTCCGTTCACAGGCCCCAAGACATGTCATGGGCTGAACAGTCAAATAATTTGTGGCAATATACTTAATGAAGTAATTAAGCGACTGAAGTTTTATTTCTATAGGGGACAGTGTAAAGAGTTGAAAATTCGATTGTTAATCGCGTTTGTTTAGCGTTAGTGATAGTTAAATGTAAAAAAAACACATTACTAAAAGTTATCATCAATCAACATGTCCAATAATAACTGCATTCTTCCAACGCGATGTAATCTACACCCCCAGGATTTAACTGCTTCTTCCAACGCGATGTAATCTACACCCCCAGGATTTGACACGAGTCGGGAACGACCGACGTCACTCACCACCGCTTTGAGATGTGAGACACGGTCCCTTACCACAACAGTGCCGGGAGGAACTTTAATGGTGCCTGGGATGCCTGTGGATCCAGCTGCGAGTGTGGTTGTGGTGGCTGCCAACGAAGAGGCCCCTGCAGGGATCTTTTGGGTGGCGGCAGCCGCAGCAGCAAGCGCTGCCATGCCACTCATCTGTGGCGTGCCAGAAACGGTCTGAAACAAAACCACAGTGAAAACAAAAATAAAATAAATTACCAACGGTAAGAGGTAGCTTTGATTATGCGCAAGGTTGAGCTGTTGACAGTTTGTGCTTTCGTGTTGAGACGTTAGCCTGCTATATTTCATGTTATAAAGGCATTGTTAATAAAGTTGGTAAATTTGTATGTGTGTAGTGACATCAGGGATGTCACTGTATGGTGCCGGCCCGGAAGGGTCGCACCATGGGTGGCTGTGTGTAATACCAGCCCTAGCGGGGCTCGGCGAGCACTGGGATAAGTGCGGGCACCACGCACAGCGTGTGGTGGGGGCTCCCTCGAGGGGGAGGGGGTGAGTGTCAGCCCAGGGGCAGGGTTGCCCCGGGCCGTGGCACTCTGGTTGACCCCGTAGACACGTGATCCGGAATGTTCACACAGGGGGCACCAGGTGGGGGAACTGGTGGGTGATCACGTGTCCGGAGAGGGCTCTTGAGAAGGTTCGAGAGGGAACGAAAATGTTCAGGAAGGCGGGGCGGGGCCGAGGGCGGAGCGGCCCCGACCGGAGAGGGATATAAGACGGGTCCCTGAGAGTGACCGGGGTCGCTGCATTCTACAAGCTGGAAGCTCGACCCTTCGTAGCAGTAACTCGCTGTAGTCTGGCAAAGGGGCAGTTACCCCTTTGTGTTACGGTGTTACAAATAAAAGTGTTGCCTCTAAAAGGAACAATGTCTGCGATGCAGTTGGACCCACTATATTTGTATCTCAAAGATCAAGATAAAATCCAAGTTTCAGCTGTTCGTTGTTAAACCAGATCTCAAGTGCAAACGAGCATAGGGTATGAGTTTGTTTCCAATGACTGCACAAAAAATCCATTCTATTTTGTTGATGAATATTTGCATGTAATATGTATTTTGTTTAACTTATTTTGCATCGTACGTAGCCAGCCGTGCTAATTCGAGATGCGGGACTTTTTGGGTTAGGCTACGCAATAATCTGGCCAAATATCTGTCCTAAGGCCTCCACCACCCAACATAGCCAAACAAATTTAATTATCGCATGCACAAGCACTTAACACGCCAATACAAGTATTATTTATTGATGAAAATAACTTTAATCGAGCTGTCATGAATTAATTGCAGTGTGCAAACATTACAAAGTAGATTATTTATTCATAATAAACTACTATAACATTTTTAACACTTCATTTAATGTTCAATTTAACAATCCTTTCCCTCTACAGGCTCATTTATTTTATCAGTAATTATGAATAAATAATATATGAATGACTGGCAAAGATAAGTGAAAAATGTGTAAAGAAAAATCATATAATTTTTAATATTTAGTTAAAATGTGATTGGTTGTTCCTGTAATGTGTTTTCTGGGTTTTTCTGAAGATGCTTGGCAGTTTCAAGCAGAACATCGTATCCGATTGCTTAATTTGGGTGTGCGAATGTTCTTCAACTTAGTGGTTGAGTTGAAAAAGTTATTGGCGAGTTCAATGCTTGCACCTGTGACAATTTTATTTGTTTGGCGATGTCAATTGGTAAATCTCAAGTACTGTACTATATGTTACTACTGTATTATTGGTCTGGAGATATTTGGTTTTGCATTTAATTTGGCTAAATTGTCGATAATTTACAAGAATACTTTTTTACAGGCATGTAACAAGCCTACAGCAGAGCTGTAGCCAGTTGTCGCCGCTCTGAGGTTTCTAAACAGAGGACGCTTCGTCTCATGACTTTACGCCTATAGCACAACTGGAGAAAAGGGGTCCACAAAAATTTGCACTAATTTATGAGAAATTACTCAGCGATTGTTCCAAAGATGAACTCACCCCCACCGTAGGAATATAGCCTTTCCAACACTGACTCAGGGCTGTGAAAAAAAGATGCGTGCTGCCCCACCCTTACCAGAGCAAGATACCTCTGTAAGTGCTCGTAATTCAGTGAACTATCGCCCTCTAGTGGCTTAGGGGGAAATAAACTGCTGACGTACAGCAGACCTCACACTAACTACAATTACTGAAACGAATGTATGCTGGCGCTGATATAAAACACCTATCCCGCTCTCTCCATCCAGGGCATATAAACAAATGCCAATTTTTCCTTTTATACTCACAAATCCTCAACCCTGTACCATATTTGGAGTGGTGACATGGGCCACCCCATGTTATGTCAGCCATAGGGGTTATTAGATAGTACTTTACCGTGCCGTTCAGTGTGGGTTATGAAGGGGGGCCAGAAGCGGTTCAGTCACAACTTGAGTCGCTGGGGTCAAACCACTGCGTTAAGGCTGCACAAACTTCATGACTATTTATAACAATTAATTCCCCCACCACATCACACGAGTATAATTTTCATTTATGATGTATGGATTCAGTTCATATGCTGGTTGTACCTTCAAGCAATAACGTAAAGAAAAACACCACTGCATTTTGGTACAAAGCGAGATATATAAAAACTTCCCTACCCACGTAATTTGTTGTTCCTGGCGCGACGTGACAATAGAATAACAAAAAGTTAGGGATTAAGTTTGGAGTTTGTAATTTTCTGCAGCAGTGGCACATGGAGCATACAGTGACACGCACCGTGGGTAGGGCGGAAACGGTGATGCCCGGGTTGGTGGGCTTGCGTGTGACGGTGAAGATCGGAGAAGAGGATGCACCGGCTCCCTGCGTGGTCTGCACCCGCACCACGGTCGTTCCTGATGGCAGCAAAAGGCGTACACGGAGCACACGATAACAACGGTGTTAGAACTGCTCACGTGGTGTGTTTGAAACACCAAGAATGTCGTTATCAGCACATATACAATACACGTGCATGTACAGCTATTTGTCAGTCCCCCCCCCACCCCACATTGTGAGGTTTATGGGGACTATTCGTCCATTCTTCACCAAACTGGTCAATATGGATTGGTGAATGAAGGAAGCACAGACTTTGGGGGCAAATGCCTATACAGTATGTTGAACGTTTTTACATTGGACGTGGTTAACCGCGCTAGTCGAAGGTGCGGTACAGTACAACTATATACTTTGCTGTACTGCCCAGGTAAGTTTAAAACAACCTGCTATCCATGCACTATCCAGGATTAAATCTCCTTAGTTTCTGAGATCTGATGAGAGCTGGCGCATTCGGATTGGGTTTTAGGCCTCCAAGTTGCAAAACTATTAGGGTGCTTAAGATACTTGGCCAATTCGTTAATAAGTAATTTTGTGGGCGAGAATCATTTCCAAATTGGAAAAGATGCAGAACATGTGGTTTTAAGATTACAAAAATCTATAGTGAGGATGGGAAATCAGCTTGCTCTGCCATCACCTACTGACCATCACACTTTGCAGCTCTGGAGGTGGCCGTGCCCAACACAGGCATCTCTCCATAATACAGGTATTTTTTGGGTTTTTTGTGTCGTTAAGCAGCCACCACCCGACACAGCCAATTAGTAAGGTTTGTCACGTAAACAGAACATGCCAATTCATTATCAGTACAGCACACCAGTGTGTTGTAAAGCAAAACCACAACATTTACAATCTGAGTATCTTTGTATGATCCACAAACCCCACACCTGAAGCACTGGCTTACAGTATCACACCACCACACCCGATACAAGATAAATCTGGCATCCCTACCGAGACAGATATCAAACATTTACATTAACCAATTGGTCGAATGTGGAAATGTACGCTCCCAATTTTCACGGTTGGCTACGTATGGTGCGAAAGAAGTTCAACATTCATAACAGTTGACAACAAATTTGTGAAGCTGCCTATCCAACGGGAGTGAGTAGTTTAACACGTAGACTTTCGTGACCAATATCATCCATGAGGTTTTTTTTGGGTTAGATCGCGAAAATATGTCGTCAAAATCCGCCACCACATGACATAGCCAACTAGTAAGGGTTGTCACGTAAACAGAACGTGGCCAATTCGTCACGAGTACAGCACACCGGTGTGTTGGAGAGCCAAGCCACAACATTTACAATCTGAGAAGCCTTCAGGCACTGTGAGGCTTTCCAGGGCAAATTCATATTTAGAGCTGAGCTTATAAGAGTAGAATGGTTTTGATTTGTAACAGTTTGGATATTTGACCATATACATTGACAAAAGCGTTAAGAGCCAGCATTTGGTGCAGTATTACATTTCCAACTGAATTTAATCAGCATCTCACATGCTACTGATATTCCCCGTGCCTATCACGTACTTAAATTTATGTACGTGACAAGAAATCACTGCTTGCTTAACCACTCCCTCGTCAACCACTAACTGTGGTCAGCAGTAGACCACCAACCTCCCCCCCTCTCCAGGCTCCCTTCAATCCCCCCTCTGAGAGTAACTAGTCCGCCTCCCACTGGACATTCTCGGAACGACAGTAATAGTTTCAGTTACATGGCACACAAGCAAATTTCTGCATGACTTTCCAAACAATTTAGGAGGAAATTTCTGTCAATTATATTGTAATTGTGCTATTGGCATCATGACATGAGACACAAGCTTAATTCAAAACTCTCATAGCTATCAGTGCCAACACAGCCCCAGGAAATGTCAGAACTGCCGAAGTCCCCCTGATGGGTCTTTATCCACGTGTGATAAAATATTTATATACTCTAACAAGAGCGCTTATATTAAATCAATCTGATATTTGTTATTCTCAAGAGCTGAAATAAGCCAAAATGTGAAAATCAATAGCGACGAGGCTGAGACCACCAATTGGCTAACTTGGAAACACGATTTGATTACACATCGCTGAACTCTGAATTTGAATGAGTTCTCAGCATTGTCAACTCGGTGCACTATTCATATTTAACATACTACAGCAATGCAGACCAATGCGAAGACATAATGCATGTAACAATACATCGTCCCCTCCCAGAAATTCAATTAAATGTTGCAATTCATGGTCACAAATCCATAATAATAGCATAACTTTGTTAGTGTCATTTGCTAAATTTTGTTTGCTCCATTAACCTAGATAAATGCATTTAATCTGAGAACCCCTGACAGTTGCTAAAAGAGGAGAGGATCTGTCCCGGACATCAACCCTCAGATAGGATGACAAATCTATACAAATGGGTAGATGTGCACAAACCGTAAACAATTTTCACACACACACAGAAACGAGGCATGCATCCTAAGCAGCTCACATGGTACCATTACCACATCTGTACACACTGGCACATCTAAGCGACGCAGCTTTTCTCACCTTGAGCGTTGGCTGCCCCAATTCCTCCGGCCGCCGATGCGCCCAGCAGACGGATGCCTCCGGTCGTAGTCATCTGTGGCATGGGGCTAGTGGGGATGCCGGCAGCCATCAGTGGCGCCGTGGCAGCGTGCGAGGGGCTCTTGTCGCCGGCCATGGCGGCAGCAGCAGCGGCGGCTGCAGAGGCAGAGGCTTGATCCATGGCGCTGACGCCTGCAGGGGCCTGCACTGGGGTGGCGCCGGCTGGCGGCGGGATGTCATACTTCTGTAGCTGTAGGAGGTAGGCGTCAGCCGTGCTGACTGCACCCCAGCTCACCTCGAGCGAGTCCGTGCTGGCGCGCACCAGCTGCACACGACCCGGCGCCGGTGGCCTCTCTACGTTAGGAAGGTGGAACGGACAGAGCGTCATCATCATCAGCCATGGTCCATCCACTCGTGGTAGATGAAGGCCTCCATAAGCCGTCGCCAATGTGTAAACAAAACAACTGACAAAACCCCAAAATAATTATAACAGATGAAAAGAGTTTCAGGGTGTATAACTCCAGTGCCCATGGAGGGACAATGGTCTTCGTGCAAACTGAGCTCTCAATTAAGTAATGGGACCGGAAAACATTTTCATTGTTTTTAGCTACGAAGCAGTTGGAGCTTTCAAGTTATCCACGCAACTTGCAGAACCTGCTGCAATCAAGGACCAGAAATAATGCACCCCTGTCACAGATGCAAATGACTAAAAAATATATACCGACGCCTTTGACCGCAATAAATAACGCGCGCGGACGAGGATGGCAGTGACTGGCTGTGAGCAGGGAAAAGATGCGCAAGCACGTACCTGTCTCGAGGTACCACAGGTCCTTGCAGCACACCTGGTTGTTCCAGGCCTTGCGGTAGCCATCTCGGCCGCTCCAGACAAACAGGCGTGAGTTGATGGACACGGCACAGTGGCCAGCGCGCGGGCGCGGGTTGTTATCCTCAGACGTGTCAGTCGGCACTGACTGCCAGGTCATCGTTTCTGTGCGTGGCGGAGGAAAAAGTATATTTAAAGGACGCGTAATACGAGGTAATTTCTTGTGTGCAGTTGACCAGTGGAGAATGCGTCCCATTTGTAAAATATGTGCGTGCTATAACTCATGTTTGTGATTATACGATTTTTCATAACACCAAATGAAAACTCAAGCTTACATCTTTACTAATAACATGTGCATTTTCCCATGCAATGGTGAGATGATATTGTAAATTGTTGAAAGTATATAGTTAAGTCGCTTTGAGATTCTTTGGCATTTAAGAGACTAATGCACATTCATATCAATTCATGAATAGGTCTGGCTTAAGCACTGTAGCTTTGTTGGCTGCCAACAGCAAGCAAAGCTTACAATCATTATTGTAAATCAGAGCATACAAAATCAAGCATAATTTCCCCACTCACCCAGGTTTAAGCAGGCGAGGTTGCTGGTGCATTTCCATTCCTTCTCATGTGTCGCTACTTTTGCATCTTCCAACACAAGGGGCACCCATCCTCCAAATACGAACATTCTGGAATAGCAGCAAAAAAACATTATTAACTCGCACACAAATCTGGGTGCTTCTTACTTCTGTCGAACTTTGTAAAGTCATTGGGCCCTCTTGAAAACCACACCTCACCATAACAAAATTTAATTGAGTGAAATGTGAACAAGATTGAAATAAAACAGGAAGCATAGTTATGCTTTTTCAATTTAAACCTCGATTTCACGAACAAAATTAAATGCAATAGTTCCCAAAGCTTACAATGTCCTACTGGAATTATGCTAAAAAAAATAGCTTCATACCTAAGATTCCTCCAGTCTAAATAAAGTTAAAGATTTTTATTGACATATTTCGCAGCTATAAATTACGCAGGATGTTCCACCGTTACTCCTTCTCAGCAAGCGTATCCGATCCCTTTTTTCAAGGTGATAATTTAGATTGAAACCCATCTATTATGAGACCTTGATTGCAAAGAAGGCATTATGTGGATGTCATCTCACATTCAACTGCCACCGTGACAGCATGGATCGTCAATGTTGAGGATTTGCATTTTGTTCACGTGTTTCAAGTTAACATATCTGCGAGTTCACCGCGTTGGGCGTGCGCGAGTCTTACTTGGGTCCGATGACTGTGGCAGAGTGAAGACTGCGAGGGAGAGGAGCAATGCCCGACATCATTGGCTGGCTCCAGGTCATTGTGTCTGCAAGTGAGATGGACGGAGTTTATTGCAATTTAAAAAATTGACCATATTTTACCAAGCTGGTCAGTGCAGAGTGATGAAGATGGGGGCCATAGACGTGGAAGCGTTTGACAAATAAGTACCGCAATAGATTTTGCTATACTGCATGGCGTTTGTAGTCAAAATAAAAGGTAAAGATGCAGCCCTCCAATAGCCTCCCGACACAGCTTCTGATGGAGGGGCCTCCACTAGAGAGCTCGAGAGGGTTCACAAATCAAAAAAGTACACAGCTGTAGGTGAAAGAATTTGATAACCATTACAATACATTGACTACAGAACTGAACAATTCATATACAAATGAAAGAATTGGTGAATTTTGCTGTCAGACCTCAGAACGCCACCCCCGTTTCTCCACGCCGCATGCGCCAAACTCACCAACGTCGAGCGTCCACAGATCTCCGAGGCGGCACCCGCTCATGCCTCCGTAGATGACGAGCATGGGCCGACGTCCCAGCGGCTGGGTGAGTGCCGGCTGTGTCGGGGTTCCAGGGGAGGTCTCAGGGGGCTGGGGGTAGACGACAGCCGTGTGGGACTCGCGGGGGGGTGGCGGGGCACCCTGTGTCACGGGGATGTCCCAGCCCATCACCCCCGAGCCCGGCTTCAGCTCCAGCACGTACAAGTCGTTCAGATACCTGGTGACAGAGGTCAACGTCGGTTTAAGTTTGAGCGACGCGTTGACATAACCAGAAGGATCGACTACAAGTTAAAGCATAATACCCTGTTGGCTATCAACAACAAGGCAACTCCTATGACTAAATGGGAATGGGACGCAAGCGTAGGATTGATCACCCTGTCGCTGGCCGCCTTTGGGGAGGGTGTATAGTGTGAAAGGCCAAAACACCCTAGGAACCAAAGGTACACTACTGACGATGCGCTCACCAGGCTCACTGTTCATGAACTCTTGGAAGTGCTTGCACAAAGGATAGTAACATCTCATCCTGTGTTCTTGGAATCAGGTTCATATATTCTTTGACTCAAGATATGAAAACATTCAATCATGTATAAGAGGATTGTTTTATATGTAATGTTATTTATTTAGACCAGAAAGCTTCACGGATTCTCAATGTTTGGCCAATTCAACGTAAAGGAGTGTTCTGAATGTGGGATGAAACTGGTTTCCGTGGATAAACCCCGCCACCCATATGCAAGAATAACACGAACAGTCTGTGAAGAAGACCGTAAACCCATTGGCTGTGCTGCCATCTCTTGGCCAATTTACGGCACAGCAGGTTTGGGAGTTTCAAACATCTGCACGATACACCAAAACCTTGTTTACAAAAAGCCTGGCTACAGGCGTACACCACCATGCACAACTCTAAAGACGAAATTATGTCATGTGCAGAAACGGCCACATTGTGATTTTTACACTGCACTAACACCCGAGTTCAATTCCTGGCCATGGAAAACATCAGCGGTGAGCGATATCTGAATTGGTACACAACACAGTGCTAACCACGGCGCTAACCCCCCCTCCCCTTTCCAAAACCCTTCACAAACCTGCACTCACGAGCGAAGTACACTCAAACAACCCCCACGACTAACATGACATGGGGAGGAGGCCTTCACATCCAGCATTAGGATTATCAAAGCACAGTACACTATTATAATGCATACATTTTCACAACAATACAACCTCAACAGTCAAACAAGAATCCACTCGGCGTGGGCCCCGCACCTGGGAATGTTGTTCTTGGGGTCCTCGCTATCGTTGGCAAGACCCCCAAAAAGGTAACACTTGTTGCCGATGAGCGAGAAGCTGTGGCCCAGTCGGGGACACGGGGGCGGCCCGTGCTTCGGGGGTTTCGGTTTTAGGCGCTTCCATTCCCAGCGGCTCGCCTGTGGGGAGCAACAAAGAAGCCGGTTAGAATGAGAGCAAGATGCCGGCCATAGCATGGGAATCGGCGCATCCCTATACGGTCATTCTCTTTAATTCTGACCTTAGTTCACTCAGGGTCCTGGTGCACTGCATGAGGCTGGAAGGGGGAACCTTTCCAATTCAAACACAACGCTTCTTAAGTCAGCAAGGGAAGGAGTTAAAATGAAACATTTTCAATGTGTTTGATGTTTGAACTTTTAAATAAGGAGCAATGTTCAAGACAGATTGGTGCTATAACAAATATGCAGCTCCATGAATGAGCCAACAGCCTTTAAAGTTAGCTAAGCATGTAATTATAGCACTCTGGTGATGTCACTGCGATATCATACGTGTCCGCAATTTTAAAGTCTTCATCATTAAGAATCCTTCAAACCTAAATTGGACAGCCCAAGGCACACAGCGGATTTACAAGATAACAGCTTTCTTTTGTGTTGCATTGTCCTCTAATACATGTGTTGTGTGACATTTACAATAGCCCATTCTTGCAAATGTCATCGCGGGGTTTTATACAACATGCGGGACTTGAGGATAACTGTGCGACTGCTGGGTGACTTACCTGCAGCTCGTACAGGTCGTTGCTGTACTTCCCGTACTCCACCATGCCGCCGAACACAAGCAGCCGTGTGCCATCGCACACGAAGCCGTACGCTGCGCAGCCCGGTGGGATCTCGCCACGCACCGCCGGGATGAACCATTGGTTTGTTGCTGTAAACGACATACCGCGGGTGTGAATTTGACGCAAGCAACGTGGACTTATAGGGTTGCGATTCACATAGCCATATGCAAGATGACCAACGCTCACTCAACAACCTTCTAATTCCATAAATGTCACATTTAAAAATTAACTTTTAAATGTTTATACCAACCACAGCATTATGAAAAAATCTGCCGAAATTCACCAAAATATCAGAAGCTAAGCAGAGTTGACTCAAGATGAAACCAGTGTCTTTGGCTCCTGAGCAGCAACATTGTCAGTAAAAGAGGGAACTGCAGCAACATCAATTGTACTGTGCAGTACTTCAATGCTCTGATGTCGATTCTCCACGCCTTCACCAACCCGCACTGGCCATTGTGATAAGAATCGAAAATTAACCCCCATAAGCAGCACAATATGGGGAAGCCCTCTTCCAGCAATGGACTGCCAAAAGGGCCGCACATGCACACCAATTGGTAATTTGTTAAACTGAAATTAACGTGTCAAATTCATATTTCACAATACTCACATGCTTTATTTACTTCATACTATTATTTGTAGGGCTAATCAGTTAAGGCAAATGTGTACAAATTTGTGTTCCTGGATGCACAATTATATAAAAAAATATTCACGATTCCCTTCGACATTCAAAGTTTGTACAAGGACTGTACCGATTGACCTCCTTGCGTTCCTATGTATTAATCACGATTCAAGAATCAGTTCCTTTTTTGCACTTGTAGTGAATGTAGTGCCCTCTACTGGCTAGAGGGTTGTATGTCAACCAAATACTGTACGTACATAAAACCTAAACGACTAAAATAAGCAAGTCGACATACGTTTAGTGGGCATAAGAATACATTTTGAATGATTAATTGATGCAAAGTTACACACATTGGTACTAATATACGGAAGAGCTATCATCTTTAACTTCAAATGGTAACCGAGGCCAACAAATAACATTGCCAATTGACCAAAGAGTAGAGCCAGGTTTACTTTTCATTTCAAGTGGGCACCCAATTCAGTGCACAATGTAAAGAATGCATAGACAGGGTGGCCCACGTCAGGACACACGGGGTTATTTCATTTATTTTAACACTGGCATTAAAAGATTTAGTTTCAAACATTAAATCAACTAAAATAACGCTATAATTACTTAAAATATAACCCTGTGTCCTAATTTTTGGACCACCCTGTACATTAACTCACGAGCGGCTTAACAATGTCAGGCATTAAAACTTTGTTGCTGCCTACCGTCGATATGTGCTATGGCTTGATGTTCAGCGTTTTTTGGGGGCTGTTGACATGAATGACGGTGTACAAGATCAAACTATTATTCCCTAGAATTAGCCGATGTTAGGAGCTTACGTGTTTACTGTCGCCGGACCTGGTTTGTGTTGTTTCACCTCCTTACCCTTGACCTCTTTCGACTTTGTGTCTTCATGTGAATGTGATTCGCGATTAGCACCGTTTTGAAATGCAAATCACATGAATTAAGCTATTATTATAGTAGAACATTATTATTTTTAGAGTGTAAAAGCACAGCTGTGCGGGGTGGTGGGGCATCTTCCAATAGCGAGCACAGGTCTGCTCATGCACCAACTTAAATGGCATGGATACTGTTAATTGCGTAAGTGAAATTCCACGTAACGTAACAGTCGTACAAAAAAAATAGGGGTCAAAAAACATTTGAGTCAGCTCATTGTGGTGCATATCACACGGGAATATGCGCAGTAGCATGCCTCATTAGGAAACGGTAGGCATTTAAGGGTGTTTTGCAAAACCTTTTCTGTGCCAGTATTTCGTAATCGGACGTTATATTGTCCTTTTCAGTAAAACGTCGTGCCATTTTTTTGTTAGCACGTTGCATCAAATCGTTCACGAATCAAATTAAACGAGCCTGCAAAGGATGTTAAGTGGATATTTATTGCTATGGGTAAACTAATTGAATACATTGTTGTGACTTTTCATGTGTGCGTGCCAAACACGCCTTTCGGCGCAAACAAAAAGTGGACAGGATTTCCCAGAAATTATCCAGGAGTAAAATGTTCTCCTCTTAGGACCAAAACATTGAACAGGATCGCTTACACACCAAGGTGAATTCGTAATTAACACACAGAAGGGCACTGCTTAAGCATATGGTGGGAATCATTTAATGGACAATAAACGAATCAAGAGCATGTGACGCATTAAGTACGGGTGCATTAAAAAATAAACCCCTTAATAAGCATCAGGCAGCGTAAATATTGGAAAGGCTGAGAAAACAAAACCGAGCAGCCTAATTGGGCATCCCGACCCTCCCATCTCCACTGAACACGCTCCCTCCCTCCCTCCTAGAAAGCTGTGACCTCATTTGCATTCAGTTGTCATTTTTATATAATTAGTAATATTTGTACAACGTCAATGCTTTGTTTCTTTTCTTCTGTGTCAAGTGAATGGAGGCTGTCACGTAAAACAAAGGCAGCTAAATAATGCGCATTTCGTTCCAATTGCTTTAAACACGATAAAAATATAGAACTGTTTGCAAAATACAGTACTAGACTTTGTACAGTATGAAAAATAATACACATACAAAGTAAAGAAATTCTAAACCAGGGCAAATGTACGTCATTTTATTGCATTCATTCAAGGGTTTCCCTCGAAAGTAGCCACAATCACGGAATTAAGCCAAGTATGGTGCGAAAAAAAGTAACACTTGATTTTTTTTTATCCCATTCACCACGACCTAAGTTTATGTATTCTAAAAAATAATGATGAATAAATATTTACATTGGTGTCAAGGTGTTTTGTAACCGAATAATCGCCACTCATTTAACTACAAGCTACAGTAGCTGGAAACCAACGCGTGCAGTGCTGAGTGTACTCCGCAAGCAGACATGCGTGTGGACTTCAGTTAAAACCAAAGGATTGAGTTTAAGTCCAAAAGTCTATTCGAATAAAAAAAGGCTCGCAAGGATTCGTATTAAAGAGTTGCTAAAATTACACCTCCCAGATGAATATCCCATTATAACTTGACCACATTTACACACCATGAGAACCTTGATTAAAACAATATAATAAATAAAATGTGCCCTTTGTTTGAAGCCACAGTAGACGATTGTGAAAAAAAATAGCCACCATCGATCGTGTAAAACCAAGCTAAATATTAAGATTTCCCAAAACATTGTAAATTAAACCCACCTCAATGTTGCGAGTTCCTAGATTAAACTACCCAGAGCCAGTACCATTCCTCTCATGAAGAAAACTTAGTGAAACCGATTACTCAAATTTCGTGAATTTGTTTTACATGTTCACTGCTGTACTACAGTAGATTGTGTTGACTGAATGAACGCGCATGACATTTGTTATCATTGCATCTGTATTGTCTTTCACCCAATGGTTGGATGACGTTACAACCCATGTCTCTCTTGACTTGGCCTCTATTTCTTCCGAGATATATTTCTGAAAAAATGAAAATTGTGACCCGCCTAAAGCAGGCAGTTTAATTTATGCAAAGTTTCAGTTTAAGCAACCGCAATTAAACAAATATAAAAAAAATTCCTTCGTGTAAAACACACAAACACACGGTGTCAGCCGAGAAGCGTCGGTTTATTGACTTGACGACACCCTCTGTTCCACCCACAGGGGCAAGAAAATATCTCGCTGGAGTAGGACCGGAGCACCGTTCCCCTGTGTGCCACCTCATTGGCCGACAGAACGACGCCGCCAGGACAGCGAAGAAGGCAACGCGGGAGCTGCCCTGAGGCAATGGAGGGGGCGCATGGCAAAACTAACAACACAAGCGCCTCCACTGACCGGCGCCATGTTATTACCGCCGCTGAGTGGCGGAGGGAGACGTCAACGACCGCGGAGAAAGGGGGGTGGCGGTGAAGCGGCTCTGGAGAAGCCGGGTTCGAAGGACCGGAAAGATGGGGGGAGCGGAGTGAGACAAAAGTAGTTCCAGTCACCCCGCTACTTAAAATAACGAGAGAGAGAAAAAAAACACAAGCCACTGTATGCTGAGAAAGAGCACGGGGAAGCAGGCGCTAGCGGTGTCTGCTGTCAACACAGCATCTCCCGCTCAGCAATTCAAACAATGACAACCATCACCACCACCCGCATAAAAGAATCGCCCAAGAGTAAACCAGCATCGCAATACTTGCAAAAAACGGCGCACTGAATGCCGAATACAAACAATAAAAACGTCACCAATTTGAATCGCGCAATTGTTCGAACGAGCAAAATCCCCAAAAAAATCCCGCGGCGTTCTCGCAGAAATAAAAAAGCACAAGCCGCATTTAATTATTTATTTAACTCGGCGGCGGTGATAAAAAAAAAAGCGCGGCCCGCAAGGCCCCAGCCGCCTCAGCGCTTATCCACAAACACAACACAAATAAAACAACAAAACCAGACACAGCGGCGACTCGCGCGCGCGACCGCCGTCGTCGCGAGCTGCGCCCGCCGCGCGCGCCCCGCGCCGTCGAAAAGGCGCGAAACGTCGACGGATCGCCGACAAATCGCGACACAACAGGCGCCGCGAGCCGCTTTGGCGCCAAAGCGGAGCAGCACAAACACGGCCGCCATCTTGACGCCGCCAACCCCCGCGCGCGCGCGCCTCCCCCACCCCCCCTACGCCACCCGCCGAGTCGCGCACAGCGTCACCCGCTTCGCTCGCCGCGCTCTACGCACGCACCCGTGTTGTAGACGTGCAGCTCGTCCACGATGCCTTCGTTGCCGCCGCCGAACACCACCATGAGCTCCTTGATGGTGACGGCGCGGTGGCCGTGGCGCGGCCGCGGCACAGGTCCCGTCGAGCCAGTGATCCGCTTCCACTTGAGCGTGGGAGCCGCCATCTTGGGCCTCGCCTTCCCACAATGCCGAGCGCGCGCGCGAGACAGCCGGAAGCGGCCGTGGGGGATGGATGGGCGGGGTGCTGACCCCCCCCTCCCTCCGTCCCCTCCCGCCTCTTCCGCCACATCCCCCGCACCGGCTTCCGGTGACGAGCGGGCCCCCCCCACTCTCCCTCTAGCCCACTCCCTCTCGCGCGAGACTCTTGCGTCACGGACCTACCCCCCCCACCCATCATCACGCACCACGTGACCCACTGAGACCCCCCCCCCCATCATCACGCACCACGTGACCCACTGAGACCCCCCCCCATCATCACGCACCACGTGACCCACTGAGACCCCCCCCCCCCAACCCCATAGAAATGAGAATCTTGATCCTTGGAGGAATCCCGATGAGTTGTGAATCTATTTTTTTTACAGACGTTCAGTAGGGGCGGGTAAAGGATACATTAAAGACAATCCTACAGTCGTGCGATTGTGGGCCATATAGTAAGCCCTTAAGATGTACATTATACACAAGCCACGGTGCGATTAATGGGCATGCAACACAAAACATCGACCACGTAGTAAAACCACTGCAGTCAGCGCTTATTTAACGGAGGAACAGCAGAACTACACGAACTACTCTCTCGTTGTGGCCAGCAGCAAACGTCCGACATTGGCATTTAGCAACTGAACATTGCCTCCATAGGCAGGAACACTGTAGTACGATCTCGTGATGTATTGCTTCAGCACCATCGGTTATGTTCTAAAGAATTCCACACACTTAGCAGGTACTGTATGTACAGTTACATCCAGCATCATCAGGCGATTGACAGAATTTTAACTCGTTGATTGTTTTTTTAGAAAACGTACGTGTTGCATTTTAATCAGTTAAGTTAATTTCTTAGTGAAATGTTCTTGTAAACTCTCCGGCCACTCGTGACCCTTAAGCCATCTTGCAAGTTGCAGAGGAGTCATTGACGAGGAATCGATTAAGGGAATCGATGTGCGAAGTTGGACGCATGAATCGAATCGTGCGCATAGCGGTGGGGAGGAGTGAACCATTACGTCACATGACAACGGGCGCGTGACGTCATAACGAAAGGGCAATCAAAGTAATCGACGGCCATCTTACAAAGGGGCCTTTTAAAATGGGACCTTTCTTTGCCAGTATAAAAGCATGAAAAAAATGATAGGTTTTACCCTTTCTGGCAATACTAATAACAATAGGGTTTACCCTTTCTGGTAATAATTGCCAACAAGGGTAAAGCCTATTGTTTTTATTAGGACACTTTTAATAAAAAAAATAATTACCGACTTAAGTGTTTTTTTTTTACTGGATGTGTTAATAAACGATATATTTTTTTATATTTTGCAACAACTCGTCGATTTAACAACGAAGCTCGATTACCATTGAGGGTGTGCACGCGGCGCCTCGCCCCTACCAAGATGGAGTGTCCCCGCCTCGCAATGCGCCGCTGCTGCTGTTGTTATTAATTCATGGCACTTTCTTTGTTTTAAGAACGACCACCACCCCCCCCCCCCCCCCGGGGGTAATGCTTGAACCGCACAGCTAATTTAACGAACAAACAAGAACAAATGCAACACATTCGTGGATAACATCGTGGCTTTAGAAGGAAGACATATATAACAGCTGACGTTTCGGGCAATGGCCCTTTTTCATTGCACGTAAATTATGTTTTTTGACATCTACATGTATGCACCATTGTCAACGCAGCAGCCACCGCAAATAAGTTGATACATTTAACACACCGGTCTTGTAATATCCACTACGCAGCGTTGCACGTACTCGAATTGATATGTACTGTATACATAAAAAACTAGTTAATAATTAAGTGCTTTATACACTATCTGGCCTCTAAATAATAATGAGTACATGCGCCAGTGGTGTAGCCACATACGTTTCCTCTCCAATACAATACTGCATTACATATTCGGATATAAGCATAACTCCATACGGTCTCTTCACACATAAAAAAAAACTTAATGCTTCGTCCATTGATCCCCATGGCGATATCCCGGGGTACCAAATAATAAAACAAAATGGGCCCAGGCAATGAAATATTTTACTTCTGGGACACTATTTTTTCCAGGGTTTACTTAACCATCGTGGTGCCTCGTGCACAGCTCGTCGAGATGAGTCGATAGCCGCATCGCCGACCATCAACAGACTAAAAATGACTGCATCACGGACATTGTGCGAGAGCCATGGTTATATGGTTCAATTAGTTCATCAGCTTAATTCAAGACCAATCCCAGTGAACGTGCAATAGTCGGGCAACGTCGGTTAACGTTGGAACAACGTTGGTTGACGTCGGACAAACGTAATGTACCATTGGAGCCTCATTTGCCAGTAGCAAAATATGATAATTGGTTTTTTACCCTTTTATCTGGCAACAAAACTGACACCTTTTTTTACAAGGAGTCATGTTTGCATAGACCACGATACCTGCAGTCGGAATGCAAACAAAAAACATAACTCTGATAATGTATGCAAGCACAGTGCATACATTATCAGAGTTATGTTTTGAATGCAAACAAAACACATAACTCTGATAATGTATGCAAGGACAGTGCATACATTATCAGAGTTATGTTTTTTGTTTACATTCCGACTGCAGGTATTGTGGTCTATGCAAACATGACTCCTTGTAAAAAAGGGTGTCAGTTTTGTTGCCAGATAAAAGGGTAAAAAACCAATTATCAAACGTAATGTAGTCCAGAGTTTGTATCAACATTTTTCTTGATATTTCTTCAGTAAACATGCAAACGTTGAGGTTGGCCCTATGTCAACCGACGTTTGCATGTTTACTGACATATCAAGCAAAAATATTAACAAGCAAAATGTTATTCTTGGTTCTTTCGGTAAAGTCACGTAGAAGGGAAATGTAAAAAAAACAATAAAATTCTCACGACGTTTCGATTGCAACACAAGCAATCATCAGGTGTGAAAACTACAGCAGGAAATGTTTTGCTGAATAAAAAGGTGAATGTTTGACACAAGCAAACTCTGGAATGTAATAAGAAACTATTCATATGCCAATTAAACAACCGGTAATCAAAAAATATGTTGCAATTGAATTCTCATCAGGTACACCACGGTGTCAAGGGCATTCTCCTACCCTTATCCATTTTAAATCCCTGGCCTATGTGCTATGAAGAAGAGCCATTGCTCGAAACGTCACCTTTTGCATATTTTATGTTTATTTGAAAGCCACGATGCTATTAATGACCAACGTGTTGAGGTATTTTGTTGGGTTGTACTTTTGCACCACTGCCAACGCAACAGCGGCATCACCAAATACTTGAACTCTGGCCCTGACTGCTGCAATGCGTAGTGGGGCTGCCATCACATTACATCACAGATGACTCTTAACGCCTGCTTAAATGCAAATTCAACCCTCCCCCCCCACCCAGTGGCTGAATATCCCCTTGCAATTACCCCACGCCATCTGTTCATTTGCACATAAACTACATTTACGGACTTGAATTATGTGCTATAATGATGTATGGGACATTGCCCAAAACGTGGCCTGTTACATATAGTATGCATTTCTTTTTAATGTTAAGGCCACAGTGTTATTGATACACGTGTTGGGTTTTGTTGCTGCTATTTGTGCGTGTGCACCATTACCAATGCAGCAGCAGCAGCGTCAGACAATATCGTATACCGTATAGATTTGCATAACGAGTCACTTTCCCTATCTTTTTCTCACGAGACTCGATTGATTTATCTAGATTAGATTAAGCAATAATGAATACAGCACATTTCGGGAATTACAATGTGTACAGCGTCCGATTGATGTCGATTCAGCATCTTAAGACGTTTTACAAAAATGGCAAAGCTATATTCAAGTTTAATATGAGGTTGGGAGTGGGTCAGGGCAAGGAAACGCGGCTAAAATTCGTTGATCTGCCTATATCGTCTGCATGTAACTCGAATATCTTTACATACTAATGAGACAGTCACCCTATATCCTTTTAATGTTTCTTTAATTTAATGCATTTGTGCTATTTTGTAATGCTATATTAGGAAAACAAAGTTTTGCTGGCTGGCTGCCTGGCAGGACGTGACAGCCGGAGGGGAGGCATGGAGGGCCGGTCACTTCCAAAGGACATGCGGACTGCTGGTCAGCCTACAAATACATTTTCCTGACTCGACTGTACAGGGAATTTACTATTTGACGTTGATTTATGTTTCTGCAATATTTTTCGATTTTTGCACGTCATCCTTGTTGTTTTTTGCTCTGATTTCCATTTGCTTCATTGGCGCACTTTATTTGATGGTGTTTCGCTTTTGTCATTTTGGTGACACTGGTCAACCGTGGAAAGTTTGACCATCCCCGGCATCTTGGAGTTGCCACCTGGTTGAACAAAATGAACTTGAAATAATCGCGTAAATTCTCTCATCTGTACTGCTCTTATCTTTTGTCATGTTTGTGTGACCTGAACTGTCCGTTTTGTCTGTGCTACCATCGTTTACGGACATTTTGCACGTCCGTAAAAATAAAAAAAATACATATCATAGGTGACGTTTCAGGTGTTGGGCCTTATTCATAGCAATGCTTATGCACCACCGCCAAAGTAATATTACAATTCCATTGTTTTAAAATAAGGTGAGGCTTGAAAAGCATAATAAACCGAGGGTCGATAAACAAAGCAGGCACTACTTTGTGGGAATTCAACATTGGTGGTAACCCTTGGGAATAAGACTGGCCTCGGCTACCACTATTGTAAGTCTCAAAACATCGCCACCTAGCGCCCATTTAAATGAACACAGGGAACGGGTGAAGAAAATACAGCACTGGACAGCCCACTTATACTGCTGGTGGACAGAGGCAGAAGGATCTTAAAAAAGTGACCATTGTTTTTGACTGCCACGCCGGAAGATCGGCAACTTCTGGATTGTCTAGTGTGTTCACCAGCACATCACATCAGCATCTCCCTGATTACGTAATTTACATTATTATTATTGCTGTAAACTGTGTAGTTTTCACCATTGGGCTGTGTTTATGTAGCTGTCTCCAAAAGTAAAACATCAAATTGACTCTGAGGGTAATCCTAAGCATGCATCTACCCATGCCTCTTTAGGTATTCTTTCGTTTTTGTTGCATTTTCTTTGTCGGTGTCGATAAGGAATATACTTTACACAGATTAACAAGTAGCAAACTGAACACACTCATCAACAGCACTGTGGTCTTGAAATACAATCACAATCGGTGACCTTTCGGACAATGGCCTTGTTTATACCACATTGCTCAAAACGTCACCTACTATAAATCGTATTCTTTGATGGCAGAATTTTTGATGAATGCGTTCAGTTTTTCTAGCTTGATTAATTGTGCTTGTGCACCACTGCCAACGCAGCAGCATCACCAAGTAACTTGTGCACAGATTAGAAACGTTGTCATTCAGGCACATTGGTAAGTTGCAATTTACATGATCAAGTTCATCTTCCAATAAAAAAATACATTCCGACCTGCTCCCGTCCACGCATCTCTGTATCTCATCACATTGACCACCCTTGTTCGGCATCAAATAACTGCTCAAAGTCAACACGTGCTCTGATGCGTATTCCATTTGCGCCACCACTAACAGACAACTCCAATTGTCGAGCGAACTTCATGCACGTGACCTTTGGTGGCGGTGATAGGGCCCAGCGGTGGCGCGTTCGCCGCTTGTTGTTGCAGAGGTTCGCGGTTCAAACCCAAAGGCCGCCCTGCTTAATTACTCAATTGGGATTATACACAGCAGCAATCGTTTTCCCCCTATTGGCAGACTAAAGCCCCAGGTCACTCTTGCACCCGAGAATCACCCTGGTGTCTTGAGTTCTCACCTCCAACTAGCAAAATAAGTCAATACCTGTTTTGCTCATCTTTATTCTGAGTCCAGCTTTGCGGCCTTCTTCATTGAGTTATTTTGACATTTCCTGTAGTTTATTCTCATTGGATTTCGCAAGAAACACGTCGTCAACAAATCTGGGCAAAACCCTCACTCAGAGCAATCTCACACCATCTACCCTGAATATGACCTCGTCAGTCCAAGTCCCGCCCACGCGGCGGTTGAGTCCACTCGCCACACGTGTAGCGGTCGCAGCTACCACATGCCATGTGAGGCTCAAGCATAGCGCATAGCAGGTGGCACGCGTGCAAGGCTACAAGACAGACGGCCAAGAGAGACAGCTGAGCTTCTATATCGACTGTGCAATAGCCAACATCAATTTTCACACAGCTTTCTCCTACAAGCTTGTAAGACTGCGAGTGACACGAGTTATTGCAAGATTTCGAGGTTGTTTATAGGCCGGTGCATTTAATTGCTTGGCATGAAGTGGCAACTTGCTGTTCACTTCAGCGGGTCGGTTGACGGATCGCTGTGGACAGGCATTAAATTGCTTTGGAAGGCAGCAGAGGAAAGCCGCATATCCTAGTCATTCATACAAATAGGTGGATGAGACAGGAAGTGAAGTGTTCAGTCCAGTGATCAAATAAGCATTCTTTCAGTGAGAAATTAATCCAATATCAGAAAAGCTAATAGCCAGTATTTTGTTATCGATTCAGGCAGGCAGTGGCTATTGCTGACAGTCGTTAGCCAACTATTCCGGCAATTCCTGTGAACTAGTCAGTCAGTCGTTATCCGGACATTGGAGCAGCCATTAGATAGCTATTGAGTCAGTTATCAGCAGTCACCGGTAGCGATTCAAGAAAGTGGACAACAATTCGGGCATCATCAGTCATACATCCCAACAGTTCTTCGCCAGTCATTAACAAGTTAATAATGCAGACATTTGCAAGATATTCAGTCATTAGTCAGATTTTCGATAGTCAGTTATTTTAAGACATTTAGACATTAGTCAAATGTCTGACATTGGTTAGATGTTCATGAAGTAATTCACCAAGATAATCAGGGAGTCCTTTCGCCAGCTTTTAAAGCAGTATTGATCAGCTGTTCAGTCACTAAAAGTCAATTGCGATATACTGTATTCACACAGTAAGTAGCTAATTATTCAGTTATAAGCCAGATATTCAGAGTCATTATCAAGTTATTTAGACAATCATTAGCCAGAATGACAGTCATTTGCCAGATATTCAGACAGTCATTTGTCAGATATTCACAACGCCATTAACCATATTCACTCAGTCATTTAACCAGCTATTCGGAAAAGCAATTAGGCAGCTATTTTGTCAGTCATTAAGCCAGCTATTCATGCACTCGTTAGCCGGGCATTGGACAGACATTAACTAATAATTAGCCAGACATTAGCCAGCCATTGAGGCAGTAATCGTAGGCGGCCATACGAAAGAGGAAAAAAGTCAGGGATTAGGCAGTCATCATCGAGACATGTCAAAGCCCGGAGAGTTCACGGATCGGGCAGTGCTGGATCTGAGATGCGGCTTCTGTGGCAGGCGCGTGTCTCCGCGGGGCATGCGGGCGGTGCTGCTGTCTGACCCCAGCACTCATCTCTACTCCACAGACGCGCCACCCACGTGGTCAGTGACCCACCGCACGCTTTTTTATCGTCAAAGACCACGCACAATCATACACTATTGGACACCATCACACATAGCATCATCGTCATAAGAATTAATAATCATCAGACACTGATGTCATGGCTCAACATCGGTACATCATCACACTAACATCATACATAACTCATTATCATAAATCATCATCGTCATGTATTATCAAACATTGTAACCCATCAAACAAGACAAGGGAAAGATTTATATTATAGCCAACACGTATGTTATAAAGACCAGCTTGGAAAACGAGGGTGTGGTGTGGTCAGAACCACTCCCTGCCGCCTTTGTGTCCCCAGTGGTGATGTTTATACACCGCACCAGGTACTGATTTGAGGCTGAGTCGACGTAGGGAAGGCTCATGACCGGTTCAGATAATCGTAACTGGTATTTTTCTATGAGCGGGAATCGAACTCGGGTCGCCGGTTTCATAGCTCGGCGCGCTCACCTCTACACACATCGGCAGACACACAGACAGACATACAGACACATAGACACACAGACACAGACATACATACAGACACACAGACAGACATACAGACACACAGACAGACATACAGACAGACATACAGACACATAGACAGATAGACAGACACACAGACAGACATACAGACACACAGACACATAGACAGGTGGTATGCAGGCAGAGCTCCTGTATGATCCCAGTACTCAGCTCTACTCCAAGGACGTGCAATCCATGCAGTCAGTCAAAGATAAAGATCCCCCACATAGCCTTAGCAGACTGTAGGGGCAAGTGCTGTTAGCGAGCACCTATGAAGGCCGTCAGTCACACACACACAGACACACAAAGAGATGGAGGATGCAGGCATATACAGAAACGTGCAGATAGACAGACATAGAGATCGAGTGGAGCGGTGGCGTAGTGGCCAGCGCACTGCCATTTGAACCTGGCGACCTGAGTTCGATTGTCGACCACGGCTTATCACAAGTGGCGAGGGATGATATCTGAACACCAGTCCTGTGTTCCCCACTTGACACACACTTCGACATACAGACATCCCAGTGAACATGGGAACGTTGGGACAGCGTTGAGCCAATGTTTGTCCATGGGTTCTAACGATATATGCCAACGCTGGCCCTACGTTGACAAAGATCTGCCCCCCCCTCACCCACCCCATGTAGCTTTTAAGAGACGCTGTGAGTGAGCTCAGCTCACGAGGGAGTGATATGGTCTAAACCAATTGCTCTGCACTTCAAGGAGACTGATAGCGACACAGCTTCATCAAGGCCACTCATTGCTCCTCGTGAAACCGCACACTTTTCAATTACCCCCCTCGTATATATTGCTAACTGCATGCTATATTCTACTGTATGAGTAACTGGCATCAAGATTTATTGGCAGCTGTCTATCAGTCATCAGGTGGGACCGTCACAGCTGAATTTGCTGTATCACTTGATATATTTGCTGTATCACTTGATACAGCAAATTCAGCTGTGACGGTCCCACCTGATGACGTATCACTTGATACAGCAAATTCAGCTGTGACGGTCCCACCTGATGAAGGAGACTTGTGTTGCCTCCGAAACGTCGTGATTTTATTATTTTTTTAATTAATTTTAATTTCATTTTTTACCTACGTGACTTTTTCGAAAAAACTAAGAGTATGAATCCTTGCGGTCACGAAAGCTCAAAATCTAGAATTAGCTGTCTATCAGCTCCAGAAGGCAGGAAAGTAGAGTGTGGACTCCATCCGTTCCATCTGTACAGGATAGAGTGTCGTACCATCGCACGCGTGTTTTTTTCAGGTGCTCCGGTTTTTAACCCACATGTATAAACGCTCATTAATTGGCTGAAAACATCTTAATGTATAGAGGACAGCAGAGCATGGATAATTGTTGGGAGACCCGGCTGACGGTGTGGCTGCTGCCTTCCCTCTCATCTGTGATGGGGTTCGTATATTTGTAAATGTTTAGTGGGAAACTTGAAGCAGTGTTAAATGTCAGGCTGATCTTGCCCCAGTGTCAAAAGGTCACGGTATTTTCCAGATCAAATTAACATTCAGGCAGTGCTCATCTTCTGAGCCAGTTGTGGAAAGTCCACATTGTTATAGTCGTGGTAAGTTTATCCAGAGTTGACTTACCCAAAAAAATGGTACTCATTTGATCGATCCCGCTGAGATGACGGGATGAATCAACCCCCAAATCCAGGAGTTAACGCCAGCACTTTCGATTGAGAGCCCGCTTTCTCAGCCGCTGAAAAATAATGGCCGGTTTGCCCTCTGGACTGTAATGTTCAGGGGGACAAATTATTTGATTTTCATACAAGTACGTTTTTCGCAATTTTTCTGGTTGTAAACATCAACTATATTTGTGGCAAATGTAAGATTTCCAAACCTTCTGGACCATCATTATAATTTACTTACATCACACAGATCGTCTATTTGTATGAGATATACTACGCCTGGATTAATTAACCGTATAGTATTGAATATACAGTATGGAACAGATGAACATTCATTCATCACAAGAGAGGGTTTCATAATATATACGTTTTAACCCACAGCTGAGATCACGATTGATATTCAAATATAATTAATCAACAAATGAGCGTAGTGTGTAACAATTTAAATTTCAGATTTAAAAGAAACAACGAAACAAAACACGTGGAAATATTGGGTCACGGAACGTTTAATATTTGAAGGTAAAATTGGGCTGTAACATCTTTAAATAGTAAAAAAAAACGGCACATTTTCAGATCAATAAGATTCCCATCTTTGAAAAAATGCATTTGTGATTAGATGCAGAATGTGGTTTTAGTATAAACTGTCAGTATCCAGGAAATGCAATCGTCGGGAGTGAATTCGATAATTTATTAATGACTTAAAATAACAGTGACAATAAACGTATGTTCCAATCCTTTGCCATTCCACTGCAGGACAAAGGACTCCCCCATGCCATGCAGGTCATTGAGGTTTAAAAAAAAATCATATTTCACCAGTCTGGTCAGTGCGGATTGGTCAAATAGGGTCCCAGGACCCTGTTCGGATACCTCACGCCACCGATGTCAGCTGTGTGCCAGGAACCAAGCATAAATAAACAATACAGTTTGGATCGAATAGCATTTAGATGTGACGTGCATCTCGAGATTAACTCATGTTGCTGGGTGCGTAGGACAATTAACTTACCACTGTCCTACCCAAGGTTAGTAAATCAAGAATACAATTGAAGTTTTGTTGTTTTGTAAAAAAAAAGGAACAATTCAATTGAATTTTGGAGGGCATTTGGGGGGGGAGATTTACAGCTGCAGTTGAAAGACCCCCCACTTGCAGTGCAAGGTGTGAGCGAGTGGCTGTGGAAAAAGTATCAGGCAGGCAGTTGTAGATGTGAGATCCTAATCGTGACCTCATCTACCCCAGCGCTGACCTTATCTGGCTCGGAGCGGTTTTTGAGGCGAGTTGTATTTTCCAAGGCAGCTCCAACCAAAAAAAAACAACACAACACGAGACGCATGCAGCGAGTTTGATAATGGGTGGGTGGCCGAATCTGTGGGTGAGTGTTTTCGGTTTTAGGGTGGGTGATTTTTTGAGTGAGTCTGTGGGTGAGTGAGACAACGAGTGGGTTATTGATTGGGCAAGAAAGTGTGTAGGTGTGTGGATGGGTAGGTGTTATGTTTTGTAGGTGGGTGAGTTTTTGAGTGGGTGTGTGAGTATTTTGGTTATTGGTTGGTATGATTGTCAGTTGGAAAATACTGAGTGAATTACTGAACATGCATGTATGAGTACTTGAGTGAGTGGGCAAGTGTGGAATACATGAACGTGGGGCGCAGTGGATAGCGCACTGCCCTATGAACCCAGCGACCCCAGTTCGATTTGCACCCACAACCAAATGACAAATATCAGAACTGGTACTGAGCCTTCCCGACGTCGACTCAGCACTGGGGAGACAAAGGCGGCCAGGTGTGGTACTGGCCACGCCCCCCTCCCCCGCTTCCCCCGGGTGCCGTGCTGTGCTTCAAAAGTGCTCGCTAACAGCGCTTGCCCCCAACATTCTGTTAAAATCTACACGGGAGATCGTTGTCTTCTTTGAAAACACGAATGAGTGTGTGCACAAGCTGAGTGTATGATTGAGTGGGCGAGTGAGTGTGTAAGTGTATGTATGAGTGTGTGTGGGTAAGTCTCAAATGAGTACCTGGTGAGGTGTGTAAACATCACCACTAGGGAGACAAAGGCGGTCGGGCGTGGTGCTGGCCACCCACCCCCTCGTGTGCCGTGCTAGCCTTCATAGGTGCTCGCTAACAGCACTTGCCCCTACAGTCTGTTAAGGCTATACGGGGGATCTTTATCTTTGTCTTTGTAAGTGAGTGTGTGTGCGAGTTGGGGTGGTGAGCGCAATGTGTGCGGCGTGCAGTGCGGTAGGGCTGGTGGGCCCTCTCTACTCTCCCGAGAGCTGCGCCTGCCGGGTTCAAGATGCGGCCTGCCTCACCTGGTAGGGCACGGTCCTCCCTGCACTCACCTTGACGATAGAACCGTGATAGGTGGTTTCCCAAAGCATTGCCGCGACTGGACACAGACTCTGTCGGCCACGTGCATTAGCACCGGGTTCCTACGAATCCCCAAAGGTGCCTTGGCGCGTCTCTCCAAGCTTCGTGCATTAACGCACGCACGTTTCTTCCGCAGTAAGTGGAAGATCAATATGGCTCACGAAACTGCGGACCATTAGGCATTTCACTATTCTATGCTTGCGCGTGGAAATATATTCAGGAGCTCGATGGCAACGTCAAGAGAGCTTCAGGAGAGAGTTGGTGAAGTTTTGCTGTTCCTCCTCCTCCGTTAATGGAGCGCAGACGACAGTGGCTTACGATGTGGTCCATAGTTTGAGTTACCTGGCCTCAACGGTAGGGGTGGAAGGCAGTAGCCCTCTGACGGTGGCCAAACTGTTATGCCATCGGGTTTTAATGTCACCTCGAACGCAACGAACGCCGTCATCTTAGTGAAACGGACCTCGTTGATTTGAATCCAGATACGATCAATATACATCGGGAGGGAACCCATCCCAATTGTCGTCTGCCGCTGCTTTTATTTTTTTAAACGCCGTATCAAAGAAGAAGATTAACACCAAACCCTAAAAATATATCACCAATGCTCTGTACTTTCACCAACCCGCACTGACCAGTGTGGTGAAGTATGGTCAAATAGCCACCACAAATCCGCACGGCATGGGGAGGCCCTCATCCACCAGCAGATTGGCAAAATTGCTGTACATGGACGGACATGTACCCGATGTCACTGCTGTACAGTTTCTCCGATGTGTTTCCAGGTTGTATACCTTGCAGTTTGGCACGATGTCAGACGTTTCGCTACATGTTTGGGAGCTCCTTCTCTGATCCGCGTGTTGGTGGAACACTGAATTCGATTTTTTAATGTGTGTGTATTTTGCTGGGGGAGTGAATGATTTAGACATTCAGCGCCTGAATTAATTCCCTGAAGCTGCGGAAGCTCTCACAGCACGTGGGAGCGAAACGTCGGACACCGTGGCGAGAACCACCTGGTACAACCTGAAATCACATCAGAGACCCCAGTGCATCGCACATGCAGCCAGAATGCAACGGGCACGGAAAAGTGATTTATTTAATTATTTGGCACGTGCATTTCACACGGGGTGGGGGGGGGGGTCATACAGATGGAACTCACTGAATTCGCTCTGCCGGTCAGATAATTATCTTCCAAGGCACCCCCCCATCAATACCCAGGGGTGCGGGTATTGAAGGGGGGTGCGAAATGTGAACGCTGAATCCACTACCCCCCAACCCCGGCAAAGTTCCGAGAGTGAATGGCTGTGAGACAAACAAAGTGTCAAGAATAAATGGCTGTTCGACAAAATGAACTGGACCCCCGCAGTGGAAACGCGCTGGGATACCACGTGGCGGTGCCGTGCCGCCCCTGCCTCCTCTCCTGCCACAACGGCCACTTGTGGATGTTCCACAGCCACACGTGCCGTGCCACCGAGCGCCTCGACTCATCCGGTGAGTCCAACGTTGCCTGGCGACTTCTTCCGACGACGCGCGATTTGCAACCCTGTAAAGCAGTGTTCCTCATCGCAAGGTTACTGGCGGCCCCTGGTGGCGTTTAGTGCGGCCCACGACAATACACAAATGTGAAAGACCCCTTGCAGACGACGTGGTCGCCTTCACACTGACGGTGTCTCATCGGCGAAAGTGAAGAACACTGCTGGAAAATGATCTAGTTTAAAAGAGGGGATGTGGCATACAAACATGCTTCCGGTACCATACATGTTCTCCAGGTGCTCCGGTTTCCTCCCAACATGTAAGCGCATTTCAATTGGCCGATAACACTTGAATATATAGAGGTCTGCAGAGCTTGGGCAATTGTTGGTACAGGCTCACACCGTGTGGCTGCTGCCTTCCCGCTTGTCTGTGGTTCCTCTTTGGGCCTGCGTTGTTCTCTGTGCGGTGCGTTACAAGTTTAAATTATTATTCCAGGCTCCCCTCGCTTTATGCGGTAGATGCGTTCTCAAAACAGAGGCGCGCAAAGCAAAATCGGCGTAGCATGGACCGCACAGCCAGCCAACTTACAATGCACCGCACGAGGAGACAGCTCCCTTCCTGAGTAGCGCACACAGTACACACAATGTTGTCCCACGTCCGACCGCATAGCAGCCCACAAGTGAATTAAAACCGCATAGGTTGCGATTTTTGGTGGAAATAGGTTTATCCGCACATATACGCGAAACGGCACAAACGGAACGCGCGTCGATCGAGGGAAACCTGCAGCCAGTTCGTCCGTCTCGCGCATCGTCGCCGCGTCTCTTGCAGGAGTCGCCGTTCTCCTGTGGGGCGTCCTCGCCGAGACGGATGACGACGACGACGACAGGTCTGGAGGAACCCCAGGGCATCCGCGTGGACCTCAGCCCGTGGCGAGATGAGTCTGAGTGGAGCGGAGGCACGCGGCGTAACGGACGCACGGTGGCGTGCAGAGCTGAGCAGTTGGTGGCTTGCGGCTTCCACGTTGAGGACGCCAACACATTCCGCTTCGAGTTTTCCAAGTCTCTGGCGATGACGTGTGCTTCATCATCAGCGGGGTTTTTTTTTCTTCCACGCATAAGAATCACACAGAGATCAAGAGACTCATGCAGAGACCCATCGATTCACAAATAAGCCCATAGACAAATACAGAAACCCAGACTCACACAGAGGCCCATAGACTCGCCTATATGCGAATCAGAATATGTTTCATACTGGAGGAATCCGATGAGCTATAAAGATCTTTTCACAGATGTCCTCAACGACCATAGGCTCACAGACCTGTAGATTCACGCAGACACTCATATATTCACACGGAGACTTGTAGATTCACATAAACATACAGACCCATGGACTCGCATAGAGTTCCATTGACTAATACACAAACCCATAATCTCACACACAGACCCATAGACTCACACCGAGACCCACGGACTCTCATAGACACCTATGGTTTGCAATGCGTCATTCATACATTCTCCACGAGACGGGCGCACACAGCCCACGTATCTTCTCAGGAGGACCGGTCTGATAGAGCCCAGCACGGGTACATCACCATCATCATCACCATCATCATCATCGCCATCATCATCGCCACATGTGTCCTTTTGTGTTCCAAATATCAATGAGCATACCTGTCAAACCTTTATTAGTACATATCTTATTACAGACCAATTCAGACCTTATTGGTCACTCCGCAACCTTTATACATCTTAACGTTCATCCCTCAAAGTCCCATCACAAGAGAAAAACACCAAAAAATAGACAAAAAAACTGTTTTTTGCCCTCATTGAAACGGCTGTACGTCGTTTGGACCTGAAAACTCAATTACCCTGCACAAGAATACGGGTAAACCGTACGGGTAGACAGCTATGAATGAAATCTTGACGTAAAGCTTTCATGACTGCAGGAATTCATATTCTTTGGGTCTTTCGGTAATGTCACGTAGATAGGTTCAAAGAAATTAACAAAAAAACTACGACGTTTCGATATTTTAAGAGCAAAGCGACTGTCCTTTTCGGAGCACAGTAATCCAAAACAAACATTTATTTTCTTGGCTCCCTTACAATCGCCCAAAAATTCGTATACCACCTGGGCGTGACTTTCGGATTCACGTGAAACATCGAGCAACCTCCACCCACCCACCCACCACGTGGCGCATCAGGAGCGGCGGCCGGGCACGCCTCTGCTGGTCCGGGGACTCACGAAGCGCGCGAGCCTTGGTCGCGTGCGGTCGATGGAATCTCCCTCGCCTGTTCGATGAAATCTTTCTCGCCTGTTCGATCCCGGTACCCTGACGATGCCTGTTATTGTTGTTGTTGTATATTTGCAGTCCGCGTGTTCTCTCTCGCTCCCTCTCCTCGTGGTGGTCGCGTGGATTTTTCTTTTCTGTGGGGTGTCCTCCGGTTGTGCCTTCCCCCCCCTCCCCTCCCACTCCACGTTTAGAATGAACGTGCGTTTAGATCAAGGCCGTAGCCATGGAGTCAACATTGGGGGGGAACCAAATCTTCCAGGGGGTGTGGGGATCCCCCCCCCAGAAAAAAAAATCTAAATTTGAAAACGAATTTCCTGCCTAAAATATAAAAAAATTCACTAACACATATGATGGACTTTTTATTTATGTTTTTACAATAATATCTAATAGTGTATTGTATTACATTGCTCTGTTTTAACTTTTTTACCTTTCCTTGTTTCATTGTATGTAATGGCAGAGATTAGGGATTAATAAAGTACAACCATAACCACACTCATATAAACAGAAATCTATTTTATAGAAATATATTGGAGGGGGCATTTTGAGCATATTTGAATATATATTTGGGGGGGGGGAAGTGTCTCCCCAATATATATTTAATTACGGCCTTGGTTTAGATTATTTGTCTCCTGCTGCTGCGATAGATTGCCACGCGTGGTCACATCAGCCACTTTGATGAGCTATCATCACGCGTTGGCCAGGTCGGCTCGCACATCTAGCTTACCTGGTGAAGTGAAATCGTTTAGGAAGGAAGGCAAGGCATTGCTGGATGTCAGAGATTTGGAGACTCCAGAAAAAGAGGGTTTTTTGGGGGTTAGTTCGCGTAAATATGAATAAGCCCACAATATTTACAATTCGAGTACATGTTGTGGGTTGTGCGTTATAATACTCTCCAACACACCGGTGTGCTGTACTAGTGACGAATTGGCACGTTCTGTTTACGTGACAAATCTTACAAATTGGCTGTGTCGGGTGGTGGCGGGTTTAATGACGCATTTATATTGACGCGATCTAACCCCCCCCAAAAAAACCCTTCATAGATGATAGTGATCGCGAAAGCCTCCAACGCGTTAAGGGGCCGTCCATAAATGACGTCACGCACCTGGGGGGGGGGGGGGTCAGACATTTGTGACAATGTGTGAACAGGGAGGGGGGGGTGGGTGGGAGAAATGTGACGTCACATCAAAATGCGCAACTTTAAATAATATAGACAACACGTTCTACTTAATTAAGTAGACTTTTTGATAAATGTTTTCTTCTACATCATCAGAGTGCAGCGGCACATTAAATACACACTACAATGACAATAGTTTAAAGAGATTTGAAGCATGTTTTTTATGGGGGGAGCAGAGCTTTGTGACGTAATATTTGAGGGGGGGTCTGACTTTTCGTGACGCCGTGTGACAAGGGGAGGGGAGGGGTCAAATATCGTCCAAAATCGCGTGACGTCATTTATGGACGGCCCCGAAACTGATTTCATTCAGACGCTGTCTCCCCGACAGACCTGGTCTTCACCTGAGGACGGCTGCTTGCGTTGTGGCCGAAACGTCGTGAGAATTATTTTATTATGTTTTATTTTATTATTTTATTATTTCCATTCTACGTGACTTTACCGAAAGAACCAAGCAGATTATTTGGATACAGTCAAACTTGCGGGCTTACAATGTGGCCAGGAGATGGCAGTACAGCAAGTTGGACGTTTTGAGTGGCGTTATCTCCGTCTATGCTTGGTGGGTTTATAATTATTGTTTATAGCGTGTATTTTAGATTGAACTATACTTGATACATTTTGCGTTATATTATCCGTATAGTTTGCATTTTTTCGTACAATGTTCCGTGAACAATACGGACATTTTTTCGATTTTAAACTCAATCAATTTCCTCTCTCTGAATCGCATCACTGGTTCGTAATGTGTTCATCTGCAAAATGTGCATTGGAGGCTGTAGTTTGGATCTTGTGTTATGAATTCCAGATGCTCAGACTTATATGCCTTATGTGCACAATGCTATACATACAAACATTTAGGTGATGCTGCTGCTGCATTGGCAGCGGTGCACAATTAACAGAAACAAACTCAGCATGTTTGTCAAAGCACTGTGGCCTTAAAAGTAAAAACAATGGCGAAGTTTCGGCCATTGGCCCTTCTTTATAGCACACAAGGGTTTGGAGATTGCACTTCTTAGCGTTTTGAAACTCAATTTCCTCTCTCTGAATCACGTCACTCGTTCGTAACGTATTCATCTGCAAAATGTGTCTTGGAGGCTGTAGTTTGGACTGGACTTTTTACAATATCAGGACCCAATAACTCTTATTATCCACTCTCTGGCCTCTCTATTTACGTGCTACGAAGAGGGAACGTCACCTGAAAAGTAGCCTATTATATAATATTTGTGTTCCTTTTAAGGCCACAATGTTTTGACGAATATTTTTAATTAAATAAAACTTGGAAACGTCACTGTACGCTGCCATGGCACCATTAGAGAGGTTCATTTAGAGTTTGCATGTTTCTCTCCCCCTTGGTCGCATTGTTTTTTCTCCGGGTCCTCCGCTTTTTCCTTCCGCAATTTAGAATCCCGCGTGATGATAAGCCACTTCACTGAGCTACCATTTGTGGCCAGGTAGCTTCTGAAAAAGAGCTGAATAGCTCAGTGGGCCTTACCTGGTGAAGTAAAAAAAATATTTATATTTGTTGATAGCTTACGTATCCAACCAGTTCCAGCGCCAGGGGGCGCTGGGGTTGGCCCTGACGACACCACCAGATGTCCATTCGCCCTCTCCCACCCCAAGGTCAATTCTCGTTCGCGGTGAATCGCTCTTACGGTGTCCCACACCACGTAACAACGCTCCTGCCACACCCCCACACCCCCCATCCGAGAGAAGGTGCTGCCAGGAATGTGTCTTGCAAGAGTCGGTGCCAGCCCATCCTGTGTCGAAAACCTGAAATCCATTTTACGTAATAGGTACTTTAGGGCAGTTGTTGCCTACAAGTGCTACCTGCAACGTGTTTACAATGAGCGACTCTGGCAATTCGGTGCAGCCCGAGTAAGCATGCAACATTGACGTGTGGTTGTAACCGTTGGCCCATCGATGTGCCCAACGTTCCCATGTTACAGTCGAGTTCTATAGAGCAACGGAGTTGGGACACTGAGTTCGCTGCAACGTGTGCTCGACGGTAAACGATCCATCTCCAGAGCACACGCAACATCGGGGTGGTCACGTGACGTCTTGTCTGCAAGCTCATCTGAAGTTGCTGTCCAAAGTCGCGAACGAGGCAGTGGCGGTGGTCAGATTGGTCGAGATCTGGGCATCGAACTTTTTCACAGGCAGAACAACATGTGGCCGCCAGCATTGGTGGTGACCATCGCACAGCTGGCTGCAAAGGTTCCAATATAAATGTATACAGTTTAACACGTAGGCTTTCGCGACCAATATTATTCATAATATAGGTTTTTGGGTCAGATCGCGTTATTTATAAATGTGTCGTAACCATCCACCACCCGACACAGCCAAACAGTAAAATATGTGTCACGTTTTTCAAAGGACAAAATAATTCACTTCTTTAGCCCACCGGTGTGCTGAAGAGAGAATCAAGAGCATTTTAAAATTTGAGTACGACGTTTTGCTGGTAATTACAATCAGCTTCATCGGGCAAGCTTCATCGAGCAAGCTGATTGTAATTATCAGCGAAACGTTGTACTCAAATTTTTAAATGCTGTTGATTCTCTCTTCAACACACCGGTGGGCTAAAGAAGTCAATTATTTTGTCCTTTGAAAAACGTGACACATTTTTTACTGTTTGGCCGTGTCGGGTGGTGGAGGGTCACGACACATTTATAAATAACGCGATCTGACCCAAAAACCTATATTATGAATAAATGTATACATCACGTGATATGAGAATGCATTATCTACCGCCACCAGTTTATGAACGATTGATTGCGGTGAATAAATTCTGGCCTCTCCAAGGCCGCTGTCACCTCTCACAATCCTGCGATGTTAATAATCCACCCAGCACCGACGCGCAAACTGATTTCATTGCTCCATCTCCTCGGACGATGTCGTATCGAACGCGTTCCGTTCCTTTGGCTGCAACTCCGTTTTTCTTTTATTCTTGACCATCGGTCGTCTTCTCTTTATCAGCGGCGCATTTGGCCCATGCCGACTTACTTTTCCCTACAGTTTGTATGCACATCGAACTTCTACGGCTATCCACCCGCCGGTCGGCACTGACCACAGAGTCACGCGGAGTTTCGTAAAACTTTTAATCGGATAGTTTATTTCGTAAAAGCCCCGCTGAATGCTGTCTGCGGCGAGGACCCAGCAAACATAGCAAAGTCGGGCCAACGTTGGGTCAATGTTGGTCCAATGGTTCAAACTACATGCCAGTTGCGCTTACGTTGGCACCTGGTTGGAACCAACGTTGTGCCAACGTTGGTCCAACGTTCCATGTTTGCTGGGGAGCGCTATCAGCTGACGAGCAGTCGGCACGTTTAAAGACCCCGGCAAGAGCACCAATGGGAACTGTCATCAACAAAGAAGAGAACTTGGTTCATAAACTCTGCTGCAACACGAAGAGAGAGAGAGAGAGAGAGAAACAACCTCGGAGGACTTTACGTCAATTATAACATTTCGTGAGAGACCGCAAAAGGGTTACACGATCGATGCGATAATGTTTGAGAGAGTAAAAGAACACGACAATGCAATAAGTTAATGAGTAAATCATCGCGGTCCATTTTTTACTCCGTGATCTTCTGCCTACAAGCGCATATATGTATATGTTCTGTATAAATGTGCTGTAATTCGGCCATCGTTTTTAATTTTATGAACAGAGATGGCCCATAGTTTGTAAGCACGCGTAAATTTTAATTTCTTCAAAAAAATATACGTGGAGCCAGACTTAATGTTTGCAAGTATACATTTTCGTCTAAATGTTCGCAAAAATTAATTAATAATTGAGTAATAATTTACAGCCCTTTGTTAATCGACTGCTGGATAGTGGCCTAACCACGGTGTGTCAGTCATTAGGATTGGTTGACCATACTTCAGCACGCTGGGTCAGTGTGGGTTCCTGAAGTTGGCAGGTGGCCAGAACCAGGGTCAGATACATCGCTCGCCACCAATGTTACCAGTGGCTGGCAAACAAACCCGGGTCGCCGGCTTCATAGTACGTACAGGGCCCTAACGGTTACGCTGCGGCGTGGGCCTTTGATACCGCTCATAAAAAGCGAGCGTGGCTTTGGCAGCGCACGTCGCTAAAAGGTGACGGTTACCGACGTTCGAGAATAGTGACGGGGGTGGCGGCCGAGGAACGGAACGCATCCCAGAGGACATCCACCGCAGAGAGAGAGAGAGAGACGGAGCGATTAAAGGAGCTCGTGTGCGGGAGCCACGCGTGTTCTTACGAAAAGCGAGAGATGGTGAGGTCTCGGGTGGGGGAAAGGGCGGGGGGAGGGGGGCTTCATCCAGAAGGGGATAGAGCATGGCTGATGATGATATGAATCGTGGAATCGGATGAAGGAAGAGCATGAACAGATGATGTACACCGACGGTCGCACGGACCACGGGGAGATTGAAGTGAGGAGGAGGAAGATACTAATTTACGCACGGGTGGCAACCCCACACGAAATGAAGCCTCTCGGCGTTTCGTGAAAACCGGCGGCCAAGGCCCCCATCGTGCCACCACTGCCGCCGCCACCACCGCCGCCGCCGCCGCTGCCACAGGCCCGTCACACTTCTTTGCGTAGCGCCACCTTGACGGTGGCGAACGCCTTTCCCATGGCCTCGAAGAGCGGGTCGCAGAAGGTGTGCACGCAGAGCGCGTAGATGCGCGACGCGCACTGGATCTCGATCAGGTAGCTCTTGACGCACGGCACCACGGCCCAGATGTGGCAGAAGGTGAGGCACGCGAAGTAGAAGCCCCAGATGAGCGCCAGTGGGACGCCGCACAGCCCCGACAGCAGGCGGTAGCACCAGTACTTGGTGACGGTGAAGGTGGTGAAGCTGGTCTTCCACACGCCGTCGAAGCTGTAGGCGCCCTCGGGCTCGGCGATCACGTCCTCGAACTCCACCTGTGCGCCGGACGGGACGGACGGGGCGGACACAACGGGAGGAGCCCAGGTCGGTGTGGAGGGATACGCGGGTGGGTGGGTAGGTCGGTGTGCGTCACGTATGGACAGATGGACAAACGTGCAGGCAGGCAGATGACTGGAGGTGTGGACGATTGGGTGGGATAAATTGTGCATACGGATGGATGGAGAAGCAGATGAAGAGCTGAACCGATGGGTGTATAGAGGGATAGACAGAGGAAGGAGCAGATAGAACGATGAATTGACAAACGGACAGATTCATAGATATGTGGACAATCGGACAAATGAATGAATTGATGGACAGAGAGCTCGTTTAATAGATGAATGAAACACATTTACAAAGAGGACAATTAACGTACAATAATACTGTCTAATCGCTATAATTTTATTATCTACCGACCCTATAATAGTAATTGCACACATCGGGGTGGGGGGGGAGTGAAGAGGACGTGAAACTTTGATGAACTTACCTCAGAGTCGCGTGTTAATGCGTGCGCATATTTTTAACGGGAATTCAAAATGGCGTCCACCCGCAGCGAATGCGTCACTACCTGTTGCCAGGGGCAACCGCCGTGGAAAACCAAACGGACCAATCGCGTCTCGCAAATCCCTCACATTTCGTCCAATGAAACTGCGTATGGTCCGGCGACACACAGACAAACAGACACACACACAGACAGATTTGCGATTTTATATATATAGTAATTTCATGAACCCATGAACTCGCATTAAAGCCCAATAGAGCCCGTAGGCTAACAAAGGGCCCACAGGCTAACAGAGGAGCCGGTGGTGCAGCTGTCGAGCATACAGGCAGTGTCGCTGCACCAATGACGATGTCAACCACGCTACGCCACTGGTGCAAGCGTGGTTTGTATTAATGATTACTACTACTACTATGCTTCGATTTAAAGCTTTCGTGACTGCAGGGATTCATCTTCTTGGTTCTTTCGGTAAAGTCACGTAGAATGGAAATAATAAAATAATCAAAATAAAACATAATAAAATAATTCTCACGACGTTTCGGCCCACAACGCAAGCAGCCGTCCTCAAGTGAAGAACAGGTCTGTCGAGAAGAACCTGAGGATGGCTGCTTGCGTTGTGGCCGAAACGTCGTGAGCATTATTTTATTATGTTTTATTTTATTATTGTATTATTTCCATTCTACGTGACTTTACCGAAAGAACCAAGAAGATACTACTATGCTTAATAGTAATAATAATAGGTTTTTACCCTTTTAACTGGTACAAAACTGACACCTTTATTCAAGGCATCATGTTTGCAATGACCACAACACAAGTAGTCAAAGTAGGTGTCAGTTTTGTACCAGTTAAAAGGGTAAAAACCTACATATTATATTTTGCCACTGGTAAAAGAGATCTCATAGTGTAAACTACTATGCTTGTTTACTCAGGAAAGCCTCGCTGGGTCTCATGTCGCTTTTTTAGGAGGGACCTGCCAAATGTAAACAGCAGGGAGCAACGTTGCTGTCCGTGATCCCAATTGAGTAATTGGCATGCCGTTTGTTTCAGCATCGGGATATTTTTTTTAGCCGATACCATTTATGTGAACCAGAGAACACGGAGGAACCCCCCCCCCACCCCCACCCCTTCCAGGAACATACAAAAACGTACGCGGAAAGGAGGCACCCGAGTCGGGAATCGAACCCGAGACTTTCTCACTGTGAGGCACGAGTCGTTTTTTTTTTAAATCCTTTATATTAAGTTCGCTTGCTTGCTTGCGTGCTTGCGTGCTTGCGTGCTTGCTTGCTTGCTTACGACCGTGCAAATCTTTCGGTCGTTTTTTTAACCCACTTCCCGTGATCCAATCGAGCTGACATTTTGCACACAGACTCGTTGTGCGAGACAATTAATGTTCGTGAAAAACAAATTCAAAAATTTTACACTGTTTAGGGAAAACAAATTAAATATTTAATTACCAATTGCTTAATACTGGCAGACAATCATCTGACCCATAGGTGGCAGCCATCTCAAGCCAGAGGACGAGAGGACTCTCGCCGCCACGCATATAAAGTGAAAAACTTTGTTTTTACGGGTTATACTTATTTTTACCACCGCGCCATCCAGGCACCTGGTGGAGAACCGCTTGACCGTTGCCGCGGTAAATCACGCGAGGAGATGGCTGGGTCGATGTAATTAATCGAAGAGGGCCCGTTTAAGGGCTGGGAGGTATGAACGGACAGCATTCTTAAAAAAAGTCGCTTGTCTAATGATAGAAAGCGAGCAGAGGAGGAACTACCCGCACCCGATTCGCACGCACGCGCACGCGCGCACATGCGCGCGCGTGCGCGTGTGCCAGAATGCAGACTGCCTCCCACACCCTGCGCCTATTTCTGCACCCGTGCTGCCACCCACAAAGACAAAGATCCCCCCACTATAGGCTCGGCAGAGTTTTGGGGCAAGTGCTGTTAGCGAGTAGCAACCTATGAAGGTCGGGGACACATTACACGAGGGGGTGGGTGGCCAGCGCCACGCCAATTTGTTGCCCCATTGGAGCAAGGTTTTCCGCATTCGCGAATTCGGCATTCGCGAGTGTTTCCAAGAATGTAACCCTCGTGGAGAGAGAGGGTTCACCGTATAAAGGCCAGCACGGCAAACGAGAGGGCGGCACGGCCAACACCAGGCCCCCACCGACTTTGCCTACCCAGTGGCAATGTTTACACACCACACTAGGTACGCATTTGAGGCTGAGTTCACCTAGGGGAGGCCCAGAACCGGTTCAGATAATCGTCGCTGGTGTTGGTGCCTCTGAGCGAGAATCGAACACGGATCACCGGGTTTGTAGCGCATTACCGCTGCCAACCCCCGTCCAGCCATCACAGACTTTTGGGGCAATTGCTGTTGGCGAGAACTTATGAAGGCCGGAACGACGAACGATGGAGGTGGTGTGGCCAACGCTCACGGACAAGTCTTTGAGCTCTGCACAGATAGATTCAATAATCCATTTCTGTGCTGCTATTACCTGGCCACCTCTCAGCCCAAGCCTATGAAACATCTTGCGTTCCTTGGCAGTCTCCCATGCAAACACTAACCAGGCTCAACGCCTGCTGAGCTTCTGGAACCCGAGGAGATCTGGCGCAGTTTAGAGGCTGATTTTGTCATCGTCAAAGCGGTACGATATTTTATCAACCCTGGAGGGATGATGATGGTATTCAGCACCACCACACACTGAATAATGTGATGATGTTGCTGCATTGGCAGCGGTGCACAAGCACAATGAACAACCAAACACATTCGTCAATAACAACACAGCGCGTTTCCTTCAAAGGGAACATATATAATAGTCGACGTTTCAGGCAATGGCCCTTCTTCAGAGCACAAAGAACATTGTCCATAGCACGTGATTTATATATATAAAAATGAACTTTGAAGAAGGTACATTGCCTGAAACGTCGCCAAATATATTTTCTTCTCTTTTAAGGCTACAATGTGTTCTTGATGAACGTGTTGAGTTTTTGTTGTTGCCATTGTTACACGTATAGTAGTATATATATGTACACAGCTACAAATATGTATACATGATGGGTGCTGTAGTGCATGGATGCCTGGATATCTATGGGACCTTTTTCTCAGTATCAAAACGACGAAACAATAAGAATAGGCTTCACCCTTTCTGGCAATTAAACAGGAGATGTTAAGATGTTCAAACATCAAACAGACACACTGATCGCAAGGCATCACGTCTGCATTAAGCATCCATGCTTGGGACAAAACATGTAAACACAACATGCTCTGATATAATATATGGGCATTGTCCTTCGAAACTGATGGGCCTACACCAGAGACAGCCTTCTTATATGGCATTGGCTGACCAGTGTTACAACAGAGAACGCCCAAAGGCGAACACTACAAAGCAATGCAAGTATCAAAGTATGAATAGCTCGGATTGAAGAGTTATATCTACGGGGCCTTTTTGCCAGCATCAAAACGATGATAGGATAAGAATAGGCGTCACCATAACAGGCGTTTAGATGATCAAGCACAAAATAGATAACTACTTGCAAGGCATCAGTTTTAAAATACAACGCAGATATTATCGGCGCATGTTTGTTCGCACGTTTTTGCCACGGGCACGTGTGGTGAATGCCTCGCAAGAGGGTGCCCATTTGGCGTTTGAGCATTCTTAGCGCCTGTTTTATTGCCAGAAAGGGTAACGCATATTCCTGTGACTGTGGACGATGAGCATGCACAGTGCCACGACCCCCAGCGGGCCATGGGCTCGCCTCTCACGCACGCGCGGACCGCAGCCTCGCCCCGCCGGACTCCGCGATTGTAAAACTCAATCCACCCCCCCCCCGCCGCACCCCCGCGCCCCCACCTCACCACCCTCATCTCTCATTGTTACAATGTGAAGCCCCCCACGCCATGTCTAACTCGAGCTGGCTCTGAGCCATGTCTAACTGGAGCTGGCTCCAAGCCATGTCTAACTCGAGCTGGCTCCAAGCCATGTCTACCTCGAGCTGGCTCCAAGCCGTGTCTAACTCGAGCTGGCTCCAAGCCATGTCTAACTCGAGCTGGCTCCAAGCCATGTCTAACTCGAGCTGGCTCCAAGCCATGTCTAACTCGAGCTGGCTCCAAGCCATGTCTAACTCGAGCTGGCTCCAAGCCATGTCTAACTCGAGCTGGCTCCAAGCCATGTCTACCTCGAGCTGGCCCCAAGCCGTGTCTAACTCGAGCTGGCTCCAAGCCATGTCTAACTCGAGCTGGCTCCAAGCCATGTCTAACTCGAGCTGGCTCCAAGCCATGTCTAACTCGAGCTGGCTCCAAGCCATGTCTACCTCGAGCTGGCTCCAAGCCGTGTCTAACTCGAGCTGGCTCCAAGCCATGTCTAACTCGAGCTGGCTCCAAGCCATGTCTAACTCGAGCTGGCTCCAAGCCATGTCTACCTCGAGCTGGCTCCAAGCCATGTCTAACTCGAGCTGGCTCCAAGCCATGTCTACCTCGAGCTGGCTCCAAGCCATGTCT